CTATTTCCAATAGAAATAAGAAGCACACAAAATTTAATAAAATCTACGAATAAGAATTCAAAAATACAAAGACTCACCGGTACCATCCATGGTACAGATGCTGAATTCAGCATTCTCAAACTCATTAGGTTAACTGCAAATTCCAATCCATCATTTTATTGCCGCTCTTGTCATATGCCCTTAATTCTATGTCCATTTTTGCACTTGTCATTTTTGTTCTGTTTTAATACACGGGGACGAACGCCAATTGTTAACATTGTTTTCTTCTTGCTGTTTTAAGTTTTAATTTATTGAATAATCTTTAATTTGAATTTAATTTCAATTTTAGAATGATTACGTTAAAGCTTGGTATGGGCAATTCTTTGGTAACGGAATTACGGAATTTTGTCACTTTGTCAAGGATTATTCTTTCCCAAGAAAATATGTTCTATGCTAGGCAACTAATCTAAACATGGAAAGGGAGCCAAGACCCAGTAGAATTGATTGACCACTAAAAAAAAAAAATCCCACAAGATTACCCTTTAAGGGGCGGAGCTTAATATCGGTAACGGAATTACGGACAGAGGACAAGCATATTTGAGTTCTCGCGTAAATTAATAAAACTCTCTGAAGTTTTGAAATTTTAAAATTGGACACTACCTGTTATTTGTAGAGTTCAGGGGTGTTGTTAACTACAATGCAGAACAATGTTGAAAAAATAATCACTCTTTTCATAATTTGCATTTTAATCACGGTAACGGAATTACGCCTGGGCGGTAACGGAATTACGCCATAGGTTTACATGTAATAGGTAAATGCAATACTTTTACATTGAATTCAACATAAACTCATCACAATACAAATTTTAGAAGTTTATAAAATGCCACAAGGAGAAAGCTAAGTGAAAAATCGGCAGATCAAAATGTAAATGTAGGCCTAAACATGTCTGGGCTTCATTTTTTAGGTCAAAGGTCAAGGTCAAATGAAAGCAATGTATATATGTATATTTCTTTTTACCGAAAATCGAATTTTACTATGAACAATTGTATTATCGTATTTCACTAGTTTATCGTGGAAAATACAATAAAACTGCACTAGTTGGCATTTCTGAGCAAGGGAAGATGTTAAGTTATGCCAAGTAGAAGTACAAATACAGTCTGGTACTCAACTTTCATATACTTGTTGTGGAATATATTTTCTGTGGGTACCAGACAACGGCTTTGGCAACACATGTATTTCAAGGGAATGTACATCATTGGCTTTTGCTGTAATTTCAAGAAATGAACTATTTGAGGGGTTAGTATAATAGATCAAATATTTGTTACACTGACATGTTTGAAGTTTTGCGTTCGAAAATGCTGGAAAAACCAAGAAAAACAAAACTGTTCAAGTAGTCTGGTTCCTTGACTCCACTAAAGGTAAAATGGATCAATTTATAGATGCCGGAAAATTGGAGGGTAAGGGAACCAGACTAGCTGGCCTGCACCCGTTCATGAACATGTAACAAATAGCAAACAAAATTTGGACTGGAAAGAGTTTTTGTAAAGTTGGAGCAGTAGTTGAAAAATAGTTAGGTTTTTCCAACGGTGGTCGGCCGACCACCGTTGGAAATGTATACAAAAATATAATTTTCTTGAAAATTACTTCACACCAGGTGCCATAAGTTTACAGGATGCTTTAGACTGTCATTTACCAACATCCTAGCAAGGTATTTCGTAAAAACTTGGTAGTTTTATTTTCTGATGTTTGAAAATGTTGTATATTCCCTTTAAGCATCCAAACAACTATTAGCATTTTTTAAATAGTAAAAAAGAAAAACTAAAAGTAAAAAATATCAATGGAACACCTGATTATTTACAAATTAAAGAGGGAAATGATTTAACAAGTAATTTAGTATTTAAAGTTATTGTCCAAGGTTACATGCAAATCTCCTATTTAATATGTCATGTACATAATTTGGAGAAAATGTGCATACTTTGTGCATGCGTAATTCCGTTACCGTAATTCCGTTACCATTTCGTAATTCCGTTACCACTTGGAAAAATGCCAAGAAATTACTATTTTAAATTTTTTATTTTTCATTTATGTTTACATACATGATTTGAAGAAAAAAAACAAGAAAATTTGTGAAATAGGTAACTTTTGCCATTTTTTCGGTAACGGAATTATGTGCTAATTTTGACATTTTTAAATGAAGGCCTACACTATATATATATATATATTTATTTTTTTAGATTTTTTTTTAATGACCCTGAGTAATGTTAGTAACTTGTAACATCATAAAATAAATCAAATCTTTTCCCTATAACTCAGAAAGTAATACATACACAAAATTTTATTTTTTTACCAAATCTGAACGTTTTTAATCACAAATTGCAAAAATCACTGTTTTTACCAGAAATATGTATTTTTTTTCAATTTCGTTTTTTGAACTGAATTCCCCATTTAATTGAGGTCTGGGAAAAGTACAAAAAAGGTTTAATATGTAAATATTTATTTTTGACATTTTTTGCTCTCCCATGGAGAATTGCCCGTATACATTCGTAAATTTTATCGTAATCTTGCAAAACTGAATTATTTAAGTCTTTGACTTTTTATGTATAAGTGGTATTTTTATCAAATGAAAACCAAAATGTATTTAAACTGTAAAGGTGTTTTTCCAAGCACCTTTGAAGATAAAAATGTAGGCCTTTTGTACCTGAACAATGGAGAGCGCACTTTCTTGATTAGTCTGGTTACATGTTTCGATTTACATGCACTATGAAGGCTAATGTTTAGGATCAATGACCCACATGCGATTAACTGCAGCATCGACGACTGTCTGTCGGAAACAATATTCTTAAGGGGCCATTAAAAATTTTCAATATTTTTTAATTTAGATTTTTTTTCAAATTGTGGGTGGGTGGGTCAAGGTAAGTCTATGACAATGACCTTTGCAAATTAAGTAGCGCCCGCTAGCGCATCATGAACAAGTATGAATGCGGCACTTCCACGATGCTAAAAAAGTGGCCGCCATCATGGATTTTTGCGATATGCCGGCAGTTTTCGCAGTTTGGACAGAACAAAAGCTGATCATGAAAAATCCATGGTTGTCGTTAGAACATTTTGTTCATTCGTCCTGTTTGCCGTCCAAAAGTCCCAAAGAAACAGCTTTTGACACTTAGCGGCAATGAAAACTTTTCCAAAAACGACATGCCTGCCGTGCAGGAACGCCAGTGGGATGTAATGACGAGTTAGGCCTTTCGCGTATGCAGCTTTTTGCGTCGTTATTTTTGTTACGGTCCTCGCTCTTTAGTTTGGGTCACATCTTTTCTTCCATGACCAAAATGAAATATTTCTTTATCATTCTAAAATTAAATTTGGAAGACTTTTGGAATCGTGGAACACTTTTCTTCTGGGGTGAAAGTGTACTACAATACGGACTCCTACTTAGTCCAGTTTTGCAAATGAGGTTCATAAGAAATGAATTCCGAATTCCTAAACAGACTTCTGTATTGAGATTACGTTTTAAAATAATTGTGGGCAAAACATGTTGAAACCTGACGCCACTTTTTTTTTATTCATAATCATCTCAGTGTAGGTCAGTCTTTGCCAAAAAATGACAAGACATGAATCTGGGACTGAGATATATTTCCAATTTTTTTTTAGGAAATACTTTGAAAGTTGTCTTGACTCTCCATATCTTTTGTACTCAACCGCTGATGAAGTGGCGTCAGGTTGCAACATTTTTCCCAAGTGGGATCAGTTAGTTCTATGAAGAAAATGGAATGCTCTCACAAGTTATTTTTGTGTATTTATTTATTTTTTTGCAGAGAGGCCTAGGCTAAAACTTTAAAGACGTACGAGTAACAACAGATATTTGTGTTTCCTTAACGGAACGGGGCCCGAAACTACACCGTTTTACTATCTTTTGGTATTAGGCCTGGAAATATTTTTCTAAAGATTTGTTAAGGTTTTTTTTTTTTAGGGTTTACACCGTCCAAAATTCTTGTACTTAATGTCACCTTTTCCCAATAATTATTTTTTTTTGTTATTTGTATTTGTATCTAATTGTATTATAAAAAAAATAAAATAAATTAATATGTATGTTAACGTCATGAAGCCATGAGGCAGATCTAGCCTATTATTACTTTAAGCAAATGAACTCACTGGCATGCGGGCAGGGAGGTTCGATTGAGAACCCCCCCCCCCCACCCAGCGTAAGGGATTGGCACGTTTTATGATTTGTTTACAATTGTCATATTGCCTAATTTCTTTCATGTAATGCTTTCACTTCGGCTAAATTTTAACTTCTAGAAATTCCATTCTATTTTTTTTCGCTTATGTTTTTTGAGGATAAATTTAAGAACATTTTGAAATTGAACAACTTTTACCAGAGACATAAATTTCTAAATAAACAAACTCATGAATCCGGGATGTCTTATAATATCCCTAAAACTTAAAGTAAAGCTCGCCTCATGCCTATGTGCGTGTGATGAAAAACTGAATAAAAGCTTGCACTGGTTGGATGAAATCAGATTGTTAGTATGTTAAACAATATAACTTCCTGGGCCTGACAGTGATTAAATAAATTCTGTTGCAATTAGTTCTAGGTCAGGCCCTATTTTGTAAAGTGATGGGACTATTTCGCTTGTATTGCATAAATATAAGGAACGGTGGTGAATGTTTATAATAAAAATATAGGTTCCTCTCACCGTACAGTATTTATATCGCCAAACCAAGGAAATTGTTGTGATAGAAAAGAATCATACATTTGGAGCTACTTCACAAATGTATTTCAGTTTTTCCATTATGCTAAACAATATAAGTTAGGGCCTATACGAGTAACAGAACGATTCAGACAGTGAGTCGTCGCGTAAACTTCTGAACTTCCTCGGATCGTTGAGGTCACCGTTATCATCTCCATTCTTATTCAGTTTGTAAAGAAATGGTCGTACCAATCAAATTGCAAAAGCGGGTATCTCGTATCAAAATGAATAAATATATTGGTTCGATACATCTACGTCCAGTAATTAACTTACCCGTATGCGAAAGTGTGCTTAACTTATTTCCATCCACAGCGTTCCCTGCCACGAAGGTTTCGCCACTAACATCTGGAGCAGTTGAGCTCTGATTGGCCGGTTTCCCAACCACATTCAAGGATAGCACTATGAGTTCAAATATACGATAATAAGTGATTGAGCGAGTAAGTGGGTAAGTTGGTGACAGAGGGAGATTTCACCCCAACAAACTTCGTAAATACGTTTGGGTCTTTTTCCCCCTACATTGTCGGAGTTGGTCTATAGTATAACCTCTGAAACAGAGAGAGCGAAGAAATATGTGTCGCCGGATCCATTAGAAATGTTTGATTCGTGGCTTTAATGGGTATGATTTTGGCTTTGCTCATGTAGATGCTTTTTAAATTAATTATAGCAAATCTAAAACAAAGCATACATATATACATTACAAGCGTATAATATCAATGTCAGTTATAATGTCGACTCATTAAGTACAGTATGAACGAAAATTACAGTGACCCCTTAAAAAATCGTCTTGAACCAAATACATGTGTGTCATGATTATAGAGTCCGAGCGCACATAATTATACGCAGCAGAGAAAATTTTAAAAGCAGCCGATGCCGTTTGTGAAATTTCAGTGGGAAATTATCAAAGCATTCTGAACACTTGATCAGTGGTTCAAACTCTTAATGTAAAATTGGATTTGAAAGGGGCACCTTATGATCATAACATTATCGAGTGCATGACAGGTATTGTGCAAGAAAAATAGGAAAGAGAAAATACAATCTACGTTCACGTAGTCACAGATAACTATTGTATTTAAAACGATTGATTTTTAAAACAGAGAAATGATCTTAAAGAGAAAATCAACTTTTAGCTTGTTTACCTCCATTGAGAAGACAGGCGTCCATCAACAACAGCAGTACACCTAAACGATCCCAGCGTAAAACCGACGCCATTGTTAGGCCTACACATATAGGCCTACACGAAGTTCCGTTATTTCAACGTTCTACCACCGAGCCCGGTGAACAACCCCTGTTTCCCCTCAAGCGTGGCGTAGCTAATACTGTTTTCAAAGCCCTTTCAATTTTTTCTTTGTATGCAAGTTCACATCAAGGGGACCCTGGATCGTGCTGCTGCTGCTCATATACTGCTGCTCGATTAAAAGTGACTGTGTATTTATTGTGTGGAGTTCCATAGCACGGACAGCAAATAATGCCTCAATTACTTCCTGGTCGACCGAGCACAGTTAGTTCCTTCTATCGAAACATCTCATTAAAATACGAGAATCACCAAAACCATAAATTGTCAAAGAATGAATAAATGAGTGAAAAATTGACAGGAATCTAAATCACATGGTGCATATCTAGTTGCATAACAAACAATACAAGCACCTCACAGTCAACTCATTATTTTGTTTCAAACCCTTAGTTTTTAAGGCCTGAAAATCGCGTATGCCGATAGCAAGGAAGTCTCATTGTTGCGGGCTAACATTAAAATAAGAGCAAGGTGGAGTGAATATGTATTTTTTTTTTAATATAACCAAAAAATTGACCTTCCCAACATATAAATAATGTTTGTGCGTCATGTTTATACCTCCGTCTGCTTTTTAATATTTTAAATGTAACGCTGCCCACAATTCAGCCTTCTGGCTGCGATGGGAGATTGAAATAAGCCATTACATAAAAAATAATAATAATTATACGGAAGCAATGAGTCAAAACCTGGTGTATTTCTGAACCACTTTGGTCTTTGAAGAGCTTATTACACGTGTCCATGTATCATTATTAGGAAATTAAAAGTCACATATTGAATAACATTTTGCAATTTATCTGAAACTGAAATTGACAAAGTGGCATTAAAAGTGATGGACTTCATTAAATAGTGATCATAATTTCTTTTGACATTTTGCGACAGAGAGACATAAATGTTTCACTTTGAACTTTGTCCTGCACCGCCAACACCGGACTTTAAAAAAACCCACTCATGATCAATTAAATATTATCTATAACAATATACGTACATGTATCAAGGAAGGGGAGTTCACAGTTCGACCCACGTGTGTTATATCCATGTAGAGTTGGCTAACGTCATTATTTAATTACAAACCAAAACTAAAAGTGATCTTAACCCTGTACAAGTAAGCAAACGCCGAGTCATGTTTGTTTCTGCTCGGAAGTAAACCAAGTTGAGACAAGTCTTCAACATCCTTTTGGAATCATTCCAATTGTAAACGCAATGTTTTCCTCTCAGAATTTACCATTATTTTCCTTATTCTGTGGTTTTTTGGGTTAGTATTCGTTTTTTGATTCTTTGTTGTGTTCATATTCATGTACGAAACAAATTACTTTTTAACAATGGAAAAAACCGCAATGTATAGATTAACATTGCAAACTGTTTAAATAAAACTTGATTGGTATTTTCTATTAATTTAAGAAATAACATCATTGCAAGTGACAACGTATAATTTCAAGAACTCATAAATGGCCGGATGAAAACCTCTATTTTCGTATATTTATTTGGCACTATAGTCACAAACTGATGGCTTTTTTGTGTTATTGCCTTGTCACGATTCTTTTCTGGAATTCGGACTTTTTGTGCAAGGAAAACAAATATTGCGGTATTTTTAGGAGCACATTTTGCCGCACAAAGCTAAGAGAAGCAAGTTCGAGTTATTTCGAATAAGGAAATATGGCTGTATAGGCCTATTGTATATTTGACTGGGAAGTGCCGTTATTTTATCGTATATTTGTGTTATTTGATTTACTGACACCACATGTGTATCACAAAATAATGCACTTTTTGTGTGGGGTATTGCTGTATCATGATTCATTTTGCAATGAGGTTTTTTGGTCAAGAACAAGATGTTGCAATTATTTTTAAGACCATTTTCTTCACAAAGGGACGCATCGTTTTACATGGAATAAGGAAGTATGGCTGTTTATTTTATTTATCTTTTATCTGTTACTTAATTTATTGTGGTAAAGTTAATCTGGGTTGGTCAATGAACTTCAACGTAGTTAAAGACGACACGTCTCAACCTTGTCTTTAGATTACAATTTTCCTAATTTCTAGAATGAGTGATGTCCTTTTCGGATATAAATTTGAACCTTTTGCCATCAAAACTGCGATATCATTTTCGGGCATGGAGTGAGAAAAAAATAAGCTAGCAGAACAGCTATACATGGTACCAAAATATTTTGATTAACGCATTACCTCATTTTATTTCTCAATCTGAGTACATTGCTTATATTGAAAATTCCCGTTTACCGATGAAACCGTAACCGTAGTAATCAAAAACAAACGGATGAAACCATTAATTGAATCAATAGACTGAGTATCCAGTGCAGTATTATGATTATAGATACCCATAGTCCGACAAATCAAGAAGTGAGGAAGGTATAATAGGCCTACATGTGTGAAGTTGAAACTTCTTCGTTAATTGCAAGTCATTTCTGAATCGGATTACATTGCGTAATTAGCAAAATTCCGAATAATTATACCGATGAATTAAAGATAAACTAAAATTCTGTTATAAAAACAACTGAATGAAAAAAAAAAAAACATTTATAATGTAAAACAGGGTATATGTCCAGTGTTATATGAAATGTATACTCATATTCAGACAAAATATGAAGTGGGTTAGTTATAAACTACATGAGGTAGCTTATAAACCGTTTCCATTAGAACCGGAAGCCGATGTCCTTTCTCACAAAAGCTGCTTCCTCTTATAGCTGCCACAGTATACTTTAAATAAACCTATAAACTCATAAATTCAACCAACAGTTTTGTATGTTTTCGGTGTGCAGCTGAGTAAACATTTTAAGATTTGTATTTGTACCCATGAGAAAATGTAAACCAAAGAATACACCAATAAAACATTTTTTTAATGGAAATCTTTACGTACACAAATGTAATTTAAGTTGGTTTAAGATTCATTATCTGGGTACATTATAATTCTTTAAAATGATTTCCACAAGAGTTTATCAATCTTAAACTACTTCATTCGCTCACATTTCTTGAGCGCACGACGTATTCTATAGATTGTACTGCTATAGCAGTACAATCTTGACTTGAAAATAAGGTTTTCGTGTAATATAATATATTCTGAGCAGTTTTTTTTAGCAATCATCAGTTTTCATGTAAACCCCTTTTAGGAGGGCTCGTCCTTGAAAACATTTGGACTAAAAATATTGTGCAATCGAGAGGAAAACACACTCGATAGATGCCAACTTGTAGCCTACAAACACTACAGGGAATTTTATCCGAGATAACTAATGCAGGCCTAACCAACGTCTGTCTGCATGTAAAGCATGAACAGTAGATTAATTAAAAACTTCTTGCATTTATTTCCGCCATTATTAGTACGATCGATACTCTTAACGGGACATTTTCAATCACCATTGACCTACTTTATAAGAGTCACGAGTTTTGTGCTGTTGTCACATGACGAATTAGTCATGTTTTTATAAGTTCTCGTAGACAACACACGAGTCCAAGTTGACCTTAGCGCACTCCGCATAGTGTTGCTGAACACGGAAACGATACACATATGAAAATTGCAACTAAGTAATTAAAGGGAAAATACAACATTTGCAAACATCAAAAAATAAAACTACCAAATCATTTTGAAATACCTTGCTGGACTGTTAGTGAATGACAGTGTAAAGCATCCTGTAAAATCATGGCACCTGGTTTACTGTCATTTTCAAGAAAAGTGGTATTTTTGTATCAATTTCCAACGCTTGTCGGCCGATTTTCAGTATTTGAAGCCTATGCAGTTAAAATACTGAAAAAGCTGTCTTCGTGGAGACACTGTGGCGATTTTGCCTACTGGTTATTGTAAGAGTCAGTTTTTTGATAGCTATGTGTTCGACTGTCATCCATGACTCATGAGCAACTGTGTAATCATAATTCCCCCCCCCCCCAAAAAAAATCATGTTGCGCACGCACTCATCAACTGATCAAATTAATTAATTAAGTTGATCGCGGGCCAGGCAGCAAGGCCTATAAACAGCTCAGCAAACACAGAATAAACAGTTGATTTACATGTTAACTGTTAAGAATGCATTCCAAAACAAAATGCTAAGAACGCACGCTAAAAACCTAAACAAACAAACAACGAATTGATCGACCACCATTTACCCTATTTTATCTGGCTGTGAAAATTTAGAGCAAAGAAAAAAAACAAACAATTCAATCCACCTTTTTTTCAATGTATTAGGAAACCAACCTTTTTTCTTACCTTTTCTGTAATTTAATTATATGCAAGATACTTGGGAGTAGACTTGAAATAGGGCTAAGTAATGAAAGCAACATTGAAGTTCCTAACAGCTATCTTAATTTACAGCTTAGCGTTACTTGGCAGAAATTGGCAAATTTCCAATTTTTGTTTCATAATTTCTTGATGAAGGATATTTATCACCAGGAGAATCTTTCTCTAGAGATTCTCGTAGACAGTGGACGAGTCCAAGTTGGCCTGGAACACATCGTAGCACATCGCATAGTGGTCCTGTCAAACGGAGAATCCAATCCATGTGTCAATCAACAGTTGTTAAAAAGATAAATTCATACCAAAAACACTCAACCGATAAAACGAAGTCAATCTAGGCCATTGCACAAGAATTTGTTTTAAGCCTTGAGTGTTTCTATATTCTTGACCGACTGAAACCCGAACAATGAGGTCAGTTTCAATAGAGTTTGGAAAACCGGTCATAGTAATAGGCCCTTGCGGGTGGTCGGAGTAAAATCTGTGCTGTACAGTTTTGAAGAACAGGTGGAATGATAACAACATGAAAGCATTAAAGTTATCATGACATGCATTTTTTCTTAGGAAAATATTTTGTGGAATTTTCTACTCCTCTGGAAATTTTTTGAGATCACTTTTTGGTTAATGTTATTGAAAAGTGAACTTCTTTAAACATTAAAATTGTCCATGCTTTTGAAGACAACAGAGGGCAGCGTTGCCGTGATGTCCTTTAAAGGAAGACACTGTTCAGTTTAGGGGTTTTCTGTTGAAACTGTGAACCCAAACGTGTTCTCTTTGAAAACATTTGTGAGAAAAGTTTGCTCATTGGCTTACTGTCATTTACGGACACAACAGCGAATCACCAAAGAAAAGAACATTCATGACAGCAAAATATCTAAAATTCTAGCAACTTTTAGTGCTCAAATAAATGTGACTTGCTCGTGAAAATGTAAATTTGTATTAGCATGAAGTACCCAAATACCATTGAAAATGACAAAACGAAAAATGAAAGGAGATTAAATAGGACAAAAATGTGCATTTTCAAGGATTGCATGAAAAAAATTACATTGCATGGACCCGAAGTTGATTTATTTTCAGATTGAAAAGCGTCCAAAGCATGTACTTTAAAGAACTAAGAACAACTTTATCCCCACCCAAAAAGAAAAGAAAGATTGTATGAATTGATGTACTAGAAACAAGGAAACAAGGACTAAGTATGTTTAACTTGTGCTTTGCGCATAATTGTAAATTTGTATCAAATCATTACGTATTAAGTGAATAAGTTATATATAAGTGAATAAACTCACCACAGAGTACATCATGCTGCCGTTAACTGCTCGGAGGCGAAGAACGGCTTGAAACACGTCTACAACATTCTCCTCTTGCAACTGTTCCATCACCGACATCAGAGTGCAGTAAACGGCCGAGCGACCAAATCCATTCCTTGATTGAACAATTTTTAAATGCAGACTCTTTAAAAAATATTTCCAAGTCACTTAATCCTAAAATTGGGGTTTAAAAGTTCAATATTCAGTGACAAGTACTGTACTTATATTACAAAATGTATCTGAAGTTGAGAGATGAATCCCTTAAAAAAATTGGCCCTGGTGAACAGTGACTATTTGAACAAGCAGCACTATCGTGTATTTTGATTGCTACTTACATGCAGTGAACCACGATAGGTGGTCTTTCCTCGTGCCATTTTTGAGTCACCTCCATGAGAGTAAGTAATCCTTGTCGAGATCTGGGCACCGGCTGATCCGACGGCCAGTCTTGGACTTGGAACTGGCAGACAGTTCGTATGGGCTCAGACTAAAACAAGATTGCAAAAGTATAGAGTTGAAACTAATTTATTGTATTGCATCTTTTCGAGCTTGAATATTTTTTGTTTTAAATTGAAGATGAGATGTTTAATCAAGTGCATGGTTATGGCTTGTCTTTGTAGAGATTAACGATGTAAAATATGTAGATCTGCCGCGATATACAATCTAAAACTATTCAACTCGTATCTATTGCATATCCTTTCTCAAGTTAAGTGCAGTCGAATATGTTAGATCCACAGAAGTCTCTCTCAAACATAATTTGCCCATGGCAGAACGTGTTATTTAAATTACTTTTCATTTGTTTCATAATAGTTACAAAAATTTAGAGTTTACTTTGGCTTTGTTGTTGCGTAGAGAAAACGTGCGCCCAGTAACACCCTTGTACTGTGTAGTCTGTAACAGCTTCACTAGCAGCGAGCCAAATTCGATTGGTCCCTCTTCTGGCCAGTAACGACTCATTGTCTATTCAGAGAAATAATCAATGAAACCATTATTATTTCTTAAATAAGCAGTAAATCCATGTTATACATATTTGTTTTGCTCTCTTAAGCAACTTTTTAGGACTAACTTTGTCGTTCTCATCCAAAGGGTTCAGCATGACGATACAAGTCGCTTTCTGGTCGTACACCAGACGCCAAATGTCAGCAGATGTGTTGGGCATCGGCATCTGGGTCGCGATGTACCTGTCCTTCTTGCGATAGCCCTGCAGGGTGAGTACAAACTTGTTACAAGTAGTTTATCAAAATCAAGGATAGCCTAAACACCGAGCAAATTGAAAGGGATTTGAGCTGTACTTTAACTTGTAATTTTACGTAAGCAAGTACAGGCAAAAGTTGTAAAGGCTGGGCAGATAACTACCGGTACAATTTACAGAGTTTTCTTTGGATTCTTGAATCGATATGACAGTGAAGGGAAATTTAGACAAAGTTGCTTTATTACCGGGAGGAAGCTTGCGTTGATGTAGTTGGTATCATCTTCGTGTACGTCGGTCATCAAGAATGGTCTGGATCGATCGGCTGCAGCGAAAATGCCATATTACAAGAAAGAAATACCACTGTTAGGTCTGTAAATAACAAAATGTTGCTTGAGGGATGTAACATCTAACAACATCACAATCTGATGTTGATTCTTTCAAGCAATCTCAAAACATACATCTTAATTCAGGCTTATCATCAGACTCCAACACGGTGAATAGGGTTTGTATCTAGACACCAATGCTTCACAAGTTATCATTATTAGGTCTGTTATTTGCATTGATTTGGCGTGGTTTGTAACAAATAATTATGTGCTCGAATGTAATCTAAATTACAGAATGATTGTAGTTTTTTTCAGTTTGCCTTCCGTCACATTGTCTTCTTGACATTCAGAGGAATCCCGTGGCTATGTTTATATAGTGCAGTAATATCATGTGACATGGTAGCATGATATTACTTTGTGTTTTCTTACACATCACGTAGCTATCTTGATATTGTAATTATAAATCAAATGCAGTCTCCCCCCTAAATATCAATTAAGTTGATACTATGGAGGCATGAATCCTCAGATAAAAATGTAAAATCTTCGAACCTTTTCTCAGGTTGTTTTCTAAATAAATTATCTAATGGAATGAATTGCACTTCAAATCGTGGCACTCACTTGGAATAAAATCTGGATATCTGTTCTTGGATGCATTCTCTGGTAGCTGTGCTGATCTGCTGCGGTTATTGCGACGACTCAGTTGCACTTCACCCAACGTCTAAAATAAAACGTTAACTTCCTTAGATTAAGGAGTCTCTCTCAGCTGTCCTAAGCAAATTCAGATTAATTCAGTTTTATCAATCAAAAGGGCGTAAAAAAAATACTGTGAGCAATTTTTTCTTGGTCATGTAGTGGAAGGCAAGTTATTTGTAAATGTCGCTAAATGAACTAAGCTTCATTTATTGTCCTTTCCAAGGAAATACTTTTCAAGAAAATATTTTCCCCACTTGTCAAACTTAGTTGAGTATCATTCCTTTTTTTCAACTGTCCTCTCTTGTGCAAACATAAAATCTGATTTTGCCGTCCTTGTATAAATAACAGAGTCCTCTACCTTGTACTGTTTCTCTATGCCTGTTTTCTTGGAACCAGTTTCGGTCTTCTTCAGAGTAGTCAGCTGTCGACGGAAGTTTGTCATATCGTAGGTAGTCTCGCCAGTCATAGAGGCCGCAAGGAGAGCGTCGAAGATGAATTTGTATTGCTCCTGAAAAAAATAACCCAGATCAAGTCTTGATTTCCTGACCAATCCGAAAATGATGCCTTTAAGTCAATTAACAATTTTTAAGTCAATTTAAGTTTTCTCTTAGATGGTGTTTGTTTTGTATTTTGAATTAAAGCTGTGATGGTGCATCAGAGTTTTTTATCATGTTGAACACGTGAGTTAAGAGCTTGTTTTGCTGAAGAGAAGGTCACTGTTTGTGTGATAGAATATTCCGTCGTAGAAACGTAGGTTTGGGCTACACTGACGTAATTTCATACAGTGTCAGATACACTCATCAGTCTATGGCTCCTGATAATTCTTGTTTTGTCAAAAAATTTTTTTGCGTAACTGGACTACCTTACCGGAGTCTGTACCATCTTGATCCGTTTTTGTCTCATGCGATGGATGAAGGCAAGAACATTGACTTGTCCCTCCTGTTTCATCTGTTCAAGCATTGACTCAAGGCAGATGTACGTCCCTGTGCGACCAACGCCCGCACTAAAATGGAACCAAAGAGAACACAACTTTTCAATCTACAGTATCTTATATGAATGATAATGTTTGAATATGTGTCCTCCCTAAAGCAGCTGTTTCTTTTCATTTTTGTGTACATAATCCTTATTACTATGGAGACTAAGTTTGTAGCTGGTATTTTTTTTCTTCCTCACTGTCGATGAGATTGGCATGTTATGAGTATTTTGGAAAAATGCTATTGTAATCGAGCTACATAAGGATGAGGCTTTGTCTGGTGGTTTAGCAAACGATCTTACCTGCAGTGTATAATAGTTCGTCCTTCGTTGTGTTCAGCGTTCACCACTCGCATGAAGTTGAGCAACGGTGCCGGATATTCAGGTGGTTTCATGTCTGGCCAGGTGTTGTAGTGAAACTGCTTCACCAAACGACAGTCATCTTCATTGTCGATCTATATTAATAGAATGAAAATTGTTTGAAAACTACTTAATTACTATGGAATGTCGTATGTTAGATAAAGGTTAAAAGTGCAAAGTGGTAACATTTACCGGCATGATCTTGAAAATCCGAATTGTGTGGTCCAGAAATACTCGTTCGTCCGCAATCGCCACAGTTATACCAGAATACGCCGAAGTTCCCGTAGTTGGCCAATACTGCAGACACTTTGCCTAAAATTTACGACAAATTGATTTAAAAAGGTTGTGAAGTTAGTCTTGTAAGTCCTGCATTTACCTGCTTGAAGTGGCATTGCCACAATGTTCGAATTTATTGTAATTGTGAAAAAAAACTCTTATTTTTTTTTTACAACCTCACATTGGAAAATTGCTGTCCTCACAACGTGCTCTCACGATGTTCGCGTTGAGACTAGTCGGAAACAAATATTCATAAATTTTAATATCAGTCCTTAAACACATCACCTTTCCATTTTCCACCGGATTCGTCAGCATGACAATCTTGTCCACGTTCATCTGCCACACCATCCGCCACATGTCATTGAGAGACGCATTGTTGGGTCCTAATGAGATTACATGAAATTCAATGTGCTTTAATATTTCCTGGGTATAGTAGAGGGAATATGATTTATACAAACTCAAATGAAACAACCGGTACATTAGGGAGATCATGAAGTAACTTATTTTACAGTAGGGAGACATTAGTAATAAGGGAGACATTTGAGTGTATCTCGTTTGTTTAACTAGAACGAATTTTACCGTCGCAAGGTGCTTAAAACGATTCCTTAGCTCGAGAATAGTAAAATTATAAATTTTCGGTAATACAGTAGGGAGACATAAGTAATAAGGGAGACATTTGAGTGTATCTCGTTTGTTTAACTATAGAACGAATTTTACCGTCGCAAGTTGCTTAAAACGATTCCTTAGCTTGAGAATAGTATAATTAAATGTTCGGTAATTATTATAAAATAATATATTAACAAATGTTACCTTGGCTGGCGATGTACTTGTCCGTCTCTTTGTATCCCTGCAGTCAAAAACGCAAAACTGTATCAACTTGCAGAAATTATATTGGATGCCCCCTGTAATATGACTTACTGATAAAAAAGCCTCAAGTATTGCAAGCTTGCTATTATACTTATTACTCATGGAGTCATTCCAGAATCCAACTCACTGTTATTTAGTTAACTTACATCTATGTAGCAGGCATTAATGTAGTCCGAATGAGGGTCCTCCTCTAAACGCGTCAAGACAATGCGAGAATGATCATCTGTGTTGGGAAGATCGGTGTATAGTTAGAAACATGAAACGAAAACCTCTTAAATTAATTGAAGAACTGTGATATGATTTGGTTTTTGAAAAACTTCTCAAAGATTGAACATACAGGCGATGACGTTGGCAAATCGGTTCTTCTGCCTGTTTTCTGGCTTCTTTGCCACTGTCCACGGGTGTAACGGACCGTCTGAAAGGGTCTAAAAAATAAAATGACAAACTGGATTGAGAACCACGAATTTTGATTTGAATATTTTTGACCTGTAAATCCTAAGAATTGAAATCGCTCTCTCTCTATGTGTTTTTCCCAGTAAACCGTACATAATTGATTATATAATACTCTTGACAATTCACTTCAAAAATATATCACCGCGGAATATTCAATATACCATCGTCAAGTTTTACCAACTCTTTAAAATTTGTACAACATGCCCAGATTATGTTTATCCAAAAACACAATAAATACGGTAGCCAAATCTCTACCAATCGAAACAATCCAAACGAAAACTGTACCTTGTAGTCTGCCTCAAATCCCCTTTCCCCTGCAAGTTCCTTCGTTTTTATGTAGTCAGCTAGCTTATCAATGCGAACGGGTACTAGATTCTTGAAAGACTTCTGCCTCGGCTCGGGCACAGGTGTAGTTGGTTCCGCAGGTGTAATTGGTTCCACAGGTGTAGTTGGTTCCGCAGGTGTAGATTGACCCCACACTTCATCACACTCATTGTATGCGTTAGGTTGAGTTACTGCAAAAACATAAAGTAAGCATCGGTTTACCTCAGTAACCGTGAAGGGGGAACCGCATTTGGATCAATCACCAATTAGATTGTGAGATTGACTTCTTGAAAGACAGCAAACTCTTAACGGGAAGAAGTCTTTAGTTTTTTTTTTAACTTCAGACTCAGTACAACACAATTTGTCTTGAAAGATTTTGAGAGAAGAATGAGAGAACAATGACAACACGAAGAATCTGGCGAAAGAGACATAATTTAGTTTAGGCGACTTTGCTGTTTTATAATGTGCGATTGTTATGACACCATTCGTCGACCCTAGACATCAACAAATTGTGTTTGACCTCCGAAAATATTTGGATATAGTGTTAAAATGAAAAACAAAGGTAACGAATCAAATATACCTGCCCTGTCATCATTTTTCTGTTCTGGTAGTTGGTCCAGTGACAGCATCAATGATCCCCTACCCTCAGATATGTCTTTAGCTTGAGTGGATCTCCTGTTAATTAATTCAATTTCCAAAAATAAATTGGGTGAAGTTTTCAACTTGGCACCGCTACTTTCTCTTTTCTACATGGTCGCCCTCTATTTAACATATATGATCGCTGATATTTCTATTGATTTGTTTTTACCTTTTGTAAACAAAGATGGCGGCTATAATAATTATCACCAGTGCCAATACCAAAAACACCATTCCTACAGCAAGTCCTGTGGAATCGTTCGGCCGTGATACTGTAAAGAAGATTCAGAACACGAAATTTACCTTCAATTACAATCATCGTAACTGAAAATTAACAGAAAATTATTTTTTTTACATTACTTAAAATCCTGAAAGTGGCCTTGAGCGGGGAGGTGCGAAACAAATGCTGTTGGTTAAAGTCAAGTCGTATCTGATTATTTTTGAGATATTTATAAATATATTACATTATGTTGCTGGCTCTCTCATGGTACCCAGTTAAATACTTTATGAACATGGCGCTTTTTATTTTGAGAATACCTTTCACGGTCAAGGCTTGCGAAAACTTCACCGTTGCTTCCTAAAGTAAACCAAAACGAAGAAGTGAAAAAAATAAAACGTTGAAAACCAGTTTTTAGTACATAACTCCACAACATTAGATTTAGATAACGAATAACCTTTTTTTTTCAAACATTGAAAACTTTCTCTCTGCATTCATTATTCAAATCAGTTTCAATGCACTCTATTCATGTTGACCAGTTTGTCATCAGACCCGAAGTTTAACAAAGTGCTTCCACACTTTATTTTACATCTCGTGTCTTGCTTCTTTCTAAAACTCAGATTCATGCCAAGAGTTTAAAAGCATCCGTCTTTAGATTTTGAGCACTTTTAAGAGATGATGAATGTCGTGCTTACCGTTTCGTTTCCCTTGCTGACGGAACCAACCCGAATTTCATAGACACTGTTTGTCTGCAGTGGTGCATTGGTATAGTCTCCATAAATCTTGGAGTCTCCGACGACAAATTTGTTTGGAACTTTGTTTTTGTTGAATTCAGCAGCTATGTAGTTATCTGCGGAATCGCTGAAGTGTTGAGAGATCGAAGCTTCCCTTCGAGCCACATCAGTGGGCTTGACCTTTTTCACTTGTACGATGTATGATCTACGAAAGGGAAGAAAAATGGGCATATTTTGATGCCACTAAGCATGACACTATTAATTCATCATGAAACAGCATCTCTGACAATGGGAATGTATTGTTTTTGCAGCTTGACAGCAAGAAGATCCTAGTCGGTCATCTTAAGATTATAGGAAACCCTTGTTAAGGCCCAACAAAGAAGTCTCCGGTTTCTTGTATGGAGCTTGCCCAAAAATTGGTGCGGCGACGTGGTTTTTTTCCCCTACCTTTTTTTCTTCTTCAAATGTCGGCTGATGTTCCAGATTAGGCTTTGATCCTCTTAAAACTGTTTGCAAATTCCTCATTGTATGTTTTTCTGCAAAGGTCTAGTTTAAATCCTTCTATAAGAAGATTGAAAATGATGTACAACTTACTCTATGTACTTTCCACCAGAGATCAGGGCTGTTAGACCAATTGTTACGGTAGTGTCGGTCGTCTCGCCTTCGAATACCGTCGGTTGAGGTGGGGCTAGTATGTCTGTTTAAGAGACAACAAGTTTTGTCATACATGATGTATGTGTTAAAAAAGAGCAAGGGCACTGTTTCTTATTATAATGCGTACTTTTAATTATGGTAAAAATGGAGAGTTTATTTAAGTTCGGTATCTTTTGATTAAACACGGAGAAGATTTTATTTAATAGGAAATCGGCCAACATGATTTTTATCCCCTGGCCGTATACTCAGAAACTTCTAATTTGGTTTGTGAGTTTCACTTAGTAGTCTAATCACGCATATTGATATGGGGGATGACAGGTCAAAGGTCAACGTCACTATTGCTAAAACAATAGAAATCTTCCATTTTGGATTGATGTTTAAAGGCTGCCCATACCACTTGTGGTATTGCAACTGTTTTAATTTCTTGGTGGTGGTATCTATCTATATTTACTATTTCTGTTACTTTGCCTCCCAGGATTGATATGGCTAGTGCTATCCACTATAGCCATAGCAATCCTGGGAAGCAAAGATCTATGCATAAGATCTATACGCTATACCAACAAGACATTAAGGAGAATTGGGATTCATAGGTAAGTTACAAAAGCACTGTTCCATATCGTGAGGAAAAATGACACTTACCTTTCGGTGGTTTAGTGTAAACTTGCACGAGTTGTGACTCGCCCACATTCCACAGGTTTCTAGCTGAAACCTTGAATTCGTATTGTGTACTTGGATTGAGATTGTCCTGTACAAATGGAGCGCTGGCCGTCTCATTTTCCATGAAAGTGTCCGTCGGAGTGAAATCTGGTTGATAAGGTCTTTCTATTGCCCTGTGTTGTACCTAGTCAAGAATATTAAGTATTTTTGTCGTAAATTATGGCATTATGCATGGTCAATTAATGTAGCACTTGCAAAAGACAATTTTAAAGGTGGTCTACCATTTGTTCACTACATATGATCTTGTGCTTGTAGGTACGATACAATTCAACAGGGAACTCGTTCAATGGTTCAATGATCTCTTGTCATTGTTTTCCTTGAAAAGTGGTCAGCATTCAGAAGATAAATCATAAAAAATACTCCGTTCGATGTCGATTTATCGATTACAATGCACTTTTTTGTTTTCAATTTTCATTTTTTCAAATTTTTCAATTTCTCTATTTTATCAATTTCGCCACATACAACATAACCACTTATTTCTCCTTCAGGGTTTAACGGAGGATCCCAATCCAATGTAACCGCCTCTTCAGTTCGGTTTGTCCAGCTAAGGTTCTGTAATGGTCCCGGCTCTGTAAATGTAAAGAAAAAATCAGTTACACTCACAAAATACGGAAGTGAGCTCAGTTGCCTCGAATTTTTTATTTGAAAGTCATTGCGATGACAGCGCATAATCCCGTGAAAGTGACACGGGGACACAAAGCTCAGAGATGCAGGACAACGTGAATGATTTTGCTCATGTGGAATAAAACACAAACTGGTATTTACCTCCAACAACTGTCACGCTTATGACTTCGCTCCAAGGACCCGGCCCGATTACTGTCTTCGCTCTCACCTGATAATGTCAATATGTACATTCTTATTGGATGGTAAATGAATTGTAGCATAGCCTGGACAAAACCTCATATCTGATCTGATTGGTGTCCTCATGCGAACGCGGGGGGGGGGGGGGGCATCATTATTTTTCACTTTGGCGAAAAACATTCACATCTCATTTGTTATTGAAAACATTTGAGCGCCATTCCTGCCGTGTGCAGTGACATGGTGTCTTTCTTTCTTGCACAGACACTTCTAGTGTGTGCACATGAATTTAAATAAGTCAGTCATACCTCATGCCATACGCCTGCAAACCGGTGTATATTAAGTAATATTTCCTTTACTTGGACGAATATGTAAATTGTACCCAATTAGTCCAACTGTACTCAGTTCCAACTGCGATTTTAAATTGTCCATGTTTTTTGGGGGGTAATATACAAGTAGTTACCTGTACGTTGTAAGTTTGGCTCAATTGAAGGCCATCGATTCTGTATACGACAGTGATGCCCTCATCTGTCACCTTACGTGTGTCATCTTGTGATGTCAAGGCAACGTCATAGGATGTAATAATCCCTTGCGGGGGATCAGGTTTCATCCAGCTAGCCGTGATGGAATCTTCACTGACATTCTTGATGTGGACATTCCGAGGAACTGTAGGCTCTGGAAAAGCAAAGGATGTTGGGATTGATGCAGGTGTCATGTGAGATTTTTTTCTCTTACGTTTTGAATCTCACCCTTACACGTGACATGACCCTTACATGTCACTGTCCTAGCTGTATATTCTGAGCAATGCAACCAATGAATCTAACATTTTACACTGGTACTCCGGCCCAACGGCCTTATGACTTGGGTGTTCAAAATTGCCCAACACTGTATTAATGATATCAAATCCAGTGAAATATGCATCACATTTCTTACACGCATTCAGTGCGAATCAGCGACATAGCTTGGGGGGGGGGGGGGGCACGCCATTAAAAATCGTCATTCCTCCAGTCGCACTCTGCCACTGGAAATTTGGCAACCGGAGAAAATTACAAAACCCAGATTAGTTGGTTTAACATAATTTGCCTTCTCTGAATATTTTTGTTGTTTACTTTTAACTATTTTAAACTACTGATTTAATTTTTTAAAACTATTTTTGTGCGATTAGCAGGTTATTTTCACGTCCGTTGAAAGCGTAAAGTGCCACCCATTGTCTGGCCATGCCCATGATCTTGGTTTTGAAGAGCGCTCCCATAAAAAGACGGTGTTCATCCGTCAACATTTTTAATTTTTCGGGAGCTGTATGTACAGAGGAAAAAAGTGTACCTTTCAGCACGAATGAAATTGGGCGCCCCACCACTGTAACATCCAGCCCCCCCGCCCCCCGCGCCCCCCCCCCCCCGCGCCCCCCCCGCGCCCCCCCCCCCCAAAAAAAATGAGAACCCCGGCTACGCAGCTGGTAAGCGGTTTACTTCAGCCCGCCCTTAATGCTTTTTACCAAAACTTACCTGCTTCTGTTGTCCTAACAACCACACTGTTACTGTACGTCCCGGCCGTCCCATCACTAGTGATAACTGCAACTTGGAAACTATATTCAATATACGGTATCAGCCCATCCAATGAAACAAATGTTTCAGTGGTATCGGATTTAAGCGGTGGTTGCTGTCCGGTTAGCTTGTGTCGGTAACTGGTGACAGATGGATCCGTCTGGCCTCCACATTTCGGCTCACTCCAGGAGAAAGTAAGGCTGCGTTGCATGATGGATACTGATTTCACTTCTCCTGCGAAAGGCGCCGTATCTGAAATGGAATCCAAAGGAAATATTGTCCCAAGATCCGAACTTTGCTGTGGTCGCCTATCATGAACAGGGTGCTTAGTCACCTGCAAATTGAACGGAGATGTAAAGAACGCAGCGAGGGTACCAAAAGAGCTGAACGACTGCTGCCTCGATTTAAATCTTGGTCCAGGAACAATGCGATTATTTTACTAGTCACTTAGAGATCGAGATCCTTTTGTCATGCCGCACATTTTGCAGATTTTAAATTCTATTTCGACGTTTTGCAATGAAATGTTCCCACATCCAATCATCTTCGAGATTCACCGTTTCCGCATTCATAATGTGGATGCATAAAAACACTTGATTTATCCCCCTGCTTTTTTACTTTTTGCTTAAACACTTAAATTTACCCGACAGTGATAGGAATAAGCGTACTTATTTTGCACTGTCTAAACATTTATAAATATTCTGCACCACCAGTTTAGGGCGGATTCAATTATGCATTTATCTTACTTGAACACTGACAGTTGATCCCGTAGTATGTCGGGTTACAGGCATCATTGCTGCATTCTCCTGTATCCTTACTGCAGGTGTCCCCGGAAGCACAGTGACATGTCTGCTTACAGTCAGCTCCATACTTCCCTCCAGGACACTCTAATGAACGAAGAGCAATCATTAACCCTCTGCATTAGTATAGTATGCGTGTAGATGATAGAAGTTTTCCTGACACGAGGTATATAACGGTGACAGTGACTCGTACCGACATGTCATACCTGTGTAGAAACAGTATAAAAAGGTGCCTTTTCCAGCGCTCAAAATCATCTTACCATTAAAGTCCATTGCAAGAAAACAAGCACTATGTATGACCAACTCAACAAAATTGAATAGCTAAACTCGACAAGATTAGCTACACTTGCAGACATTAAAGCGTTTGTTAATTTTCTCTTATGGTGATCCTCAAGCAAGCGTCGTTGTGTGGATCAGTGCTATCAGAACAGGTATAACTTGAATAGAGAACCAATATTGCTACTCACCTTGCGTGCAGTCTAGTCCGGTGAACCCTGCAGCACACGAGCATCCGTAAGGATCAGGAAGACAAAACAAACGACCCTGGCAAGCGTCGGCGTGATCATCACCGCTATCAGAGCAGCTATAAACACCATTTTTACCGAAGACATTGCGGCCGCGTGCTGTGTGCAATCATAAGTATAATGTTGCTATTAATGTACAGAAATGGTGAGATTTATACATATTTTCTTTTTTTCTGGGTCTCAAAGCAAACCCACAATATACCACAGTTTAACCATTCCGATAACATACACATCTTTATCAAAAACACTAAGTGCTTTGTTGAATTAGAGATGCACGTTTTAAGAGCCTAATCGTTCCCATCCTAGCTTTGTGCATTAGATTAATGATTCGGATCAAATTTGATTCAAGGCATTGCGCCAATGATAATTGTAGGCCTATACCTTGTTCACATTGTTCTCCACTGAAGCCCGGAGCACAGACACAGGATCCAGTCTTGGCATCACAAACGCCTCCGTTGTAGCATCGACGACAGACATTGAGACAGGAAGACCCCCACTTTCCCAAGGAACAACCTGTTTAAAAGAAGGTGACAACATTAAAGAAAATATGGAATGAATCCGAGAGAAGCACTGGGTTTGGGATGTCTCACTCTGCAGTCGAAGATTTCTTGCATTTTTACACAGTGATCGTTGTTTCTGCATTATTGCAAATGCTTTTGTTTTCAGGTATTCTATTTTTCTCTAGATGTTTTCTAGAGATACTTTTAACGCCTTTTTAGATTTGCACTAACCTCGTACAATGAGCCTCATGATGCCATGCAGTTGTTGATCCTCCTGGCCAGATACGAAGCAGCTGTAGACTCCTCCATCACTCACAGCAACATCATCAATAGACACACTGAGCTGGTCATTCCAAGATGTGATGACGTCACTCCCATTTTGTCGCCATCTGTAGTTGATGTTTGGTGCTTTCACATCTCGCATCTCAAGTTGAATCGAGTCTCCAACATTTGCTATCTGAGTTCTCTCGACTGCCCGTATCTGTACGTTTCCATCTGAAAAAAAAAACCCCAGCTCGATTTAGGCTCAGTGCCTCTTTCATCTAATAGCTTGGAACACTAATCTTGAATGTAGTTCATCATTTCCGCCCACAAAACAAAGAAAAAACCGTCAAATTGGTTGAACGACTTCTTTACAAAAACTGAGTTTAACTTGCATCAGCTTCTCCTGTTCAAAACGATGTAACCTTTCCGTGTATTTTCTGTTCTTAATACACACGGAATGTAGACCGCCAGCTAGTTCAGCGTTGGTAACTTACAGTGATTGAATACGTTTTACAAGGTAATCTTTGTTGCTGCCTTTTTCTCTGAGCAGTTATTATATTAGACAGTAATTCTAGTACTTAGGAATATACTACCTTTGGGCACAAGAACGGTTTGGATCCTCGTCATAATGCCATTTCTAGATGCCTCAAGGTAGAAGACGCCGACTCTGTCACCCCCATCCTCAGCAGGTAGTCGAAGCGATCTCGCAGTGCATTGTAATGATGGCTCATCTTCTTCTGCTGAACCGGGAGGAAGTCCATCCATTCCACCTGTTGCCAACTGACGGCCAAATGTGACACCAGCAGGTATGTCATTGGGACCTTTGTATGCTGTCAGGACGACATCGCTCGTTGCAGTCAGGTGAATGACAGCAGGATTAGCGACGAGAGTAAAATCAACTGTAGATTAAAGAAAGCGAAGTATCTAACTTCATTTCCCACTCAAGCAAAACACTGCGAAATAAGTTTGATGACACATCTCGATTGTATTTTTTTAATTCATTTCCGTTTCTTTTGCCAGAGATTTTGCTTTTTGTGGGTGAAACGTGATGCAACGTTTTGGACAAACTTTGAAGACATCATTTACAGATAAATCTTCGGGGTGATCAGTCGTTTAAAACAGTGGTCTTATAAACAATCATTGGTGGTTTACCTGTTGGAAGATCACACGGTAACAAAAGTACCTCACATAATGCGAGGTACGTCCGGTGTGGAATATCGATGCTGACGTATCGAGCAGTCAGTCCATCAGGTGGATTACAGTCAAACTCCATCCAGTTATTGGCTACGGCTTGGTATGTGGTAACTGGACTTCCACACATTGTGTTCTCGGTGGGCACACTGCTCATACCAGCTCGAACAGCAGCATCCTTGAAACGTGTTCTTTCGTTTACTAATGACGAAAAAGGGAAGAAAATTAGTAACATTGTCTGCGAAAATTAATACAGTTTTGGAAAGAAATTACCCGTTTCCGAAGGACTTCCGTCAGTTAAATAAATTCCAATTTCTTTTTACAGAATGTGAGGCAAATCCTTAACAAAGGCTGCTTCACAAAGGCCTCCTTGACTTTGTTTCCTAGTTCATATTTTGTCTTCTCCTGTGAATGTAGCTCTGAAATCAACTTACCAAGGGGAGCATCCCAGCTCTTGACTTTCACCATTCCGACACATTGAGCAAACATCAGATCAACTTTCCACCATGGATTTACTTGCTCATCTGTTTATAAAGTAGGCTTATAATTTTTAGCCAAAGTAGTGTAGTTGGTAAATTTAATTTAATTTTAAAAAGACAGCAGTAAAAAAGAATTAAATAAATAAAAACCACGAAACAGTTTCTCGTCCCCGCATGTTTTTCCCCCTACCCGCCCCTTTATTTTAAACATACATTTGCAATATATGTTGTCTTTTTTGGAAACAAAAATATCAACAAGAGAGTCAAGGAAATGGAAAAATCCATCGGCCATCTTGAAATTCCGCCATCATGGAACAAAAAGGAATTTCTCCCTCATTTTTTTCAAAAAGCCCCAACGACAAACATTTGTTTTACTTGCCGGCCCTAATGTAGCGATGGTATTCGAGATGGTAATTTTATTTAATGAAAGTATTCGCAAAGTAAGCCTTCCGAAGCCTTTATAGGGAAAACCGTCCTCAAATGCAGTCATTGAACAGACAGGTCAAAGGCAATTCAGCAGTAACAATGAGGTGTTTGTTTTTTGGTTTATGCAATAAATTCCGCCTTACTTGTTCGGCTGCAATGAGGACTTTTGTAGATGAAAGCTCTGTCCACCGCTCGATCAGCACTCGATTGGTTGAATTCGGAGCTTTGAGAGGTCAAGCTTCCGCTTAGAGTAATTGCTACAAAAAGAACATAACAACACATAATGGCATCAAAATAGTGCGTATTCTTAAATCTGCGAATTTACCATTTATTTCCGACGGCATGACATGTGACTTGTTCAGGTCAGCAAAAGCCAACTTCGATCTTAACACTTGACTTTGTAATGGCAAAAATACAGGACCTAAGAATATATTTTTATTTCCAGGCCATCACAGCATTACATTTCAAGCATTACTCACCAGTTGAGGTGAGAGCTTCTTCATCCACGAATTCTTCAACCATGACTTCACCGAGTTGAAGGATTTCATCGGTACCGATGATATCCACCCTCACATAGCGAGCAGTGACCACAGGGTCTGCTATTACAGTAGTAACACGCGCCCCTCCGTCGGTTGTACCGTATTCAATTGTTCCTAAACGTCTGTTCTCTGAACAAACTTCACTCAATCCAGCACGTACTTCAGCACCATCTAAACGAATATCTGTATGATGTGGAGCACATTAATGTAATTCATATGTTGCGTTAACAGGGACATGGTTGATTGGATATTTCCATTTAAAATAATCACATATAGTCCTACACAAAATCTAGAACGCAATAATACACAATAATCACTGCGGTTCGTCCGTGAAAGAAACTTATTATCTAATTATATGGGCTGGCAGATTTATTGACCTCAGTTACGTTTTCATCGCGGGGACAATAATGGTTGTTGACTTTTTCTTTTTGCCTAGTTTTCTTGGTGGGTATTCGGAGAGACATGCAAAAATGTTCCATATGATGTTTAGGGAAAAATAAAGATGACAAAGTAAAAATCCAGGGTTGGTGGAATTTTTGATTTATTGATTTTGTTTTAATCGGATTTGTTTCTAAAACCTAAATAACATTATTTTTATTGAATTCTGATTTTTAAAATGTTTGTTTAAATTTTCAAACTATTATGTCTCCACGTTTGTCTAAATCTTCCCATGCACCCTTACATCCATCAACAAGGAGTTTTCCGGTTCCTATAATACCCGTCATCCACAGAATTCAAGTCAGTATTCGGAAATTTCCAAACAAATTAATTTTTCCAGACATTGACAAATGCCTTTGAAAAAATATACTGAATCAGTCATAAAAAATCACTTAATTTTATGTATATGTAGTCAACCTCGTTTGAACAAGGGTACATAAATACTGAAGACACCTTAAAGGTGCATGGCTTGATTGATACGGTCGAAATACATTGTGTGTGGATCAAAGTTGTGATGATGATGACAACTTTATATAAAAAAGGGTTTTTTGATGGTTTCTTTATACAAGGTGGACAACATTTATGATGAAATCGGTCCTTGCACCTAAATGTATTACGTCAATCTGAATCTAAATGTTTATGGAGAAAATTCAGGAACACCTTTTGGAAATTAAAATTTTAATACACCTTTGGTAATCCTGCACCAGCAAAGATGTTTCGTCTTATTACTGTACAACAGGTCATTGAATGAGCAAAGCAAAAGTGAGTGTGCTGACTGAACAAGTCAAAGACCCTCAGCCAACCCTGAGGAAAACATTGTTGGAAATATCTTGCAATTCTTTTACGTGTAGCGCTAACAACATCGTTTCAATAAGACTAGGGATTTGCAACAACAACGAACGGTTAGCAATTTCGAAAGGGGTTCTTATTTCGTCTACATGTTTTGGTTCTATTTCAAAACAGCATTGTTTACATGAAATACAAAAGAGGATATAATTATGCTATAAACTGTTTTTGGTTGTAAGATAAACGAGAGAGTCGTGCTTTGATAATCAGTAACCATTGGTGAATTTTTGTTGTATCAAATCCTCTGAATTTTGTTGTTGTCTCCAATCCTCTGTTCTTGACTGTCTTACCATTTGTATCCATTCTGTTGATGATAGTAATTTTCTTCAAGCAGTAGACAGCCTCCAAATTCAATTGCCACCACGGATTCGTTTTCCAAAAGGCAGGTTTATACGCTACACACATACAAAAAAAAAACTTTGTTGCTTCTCCACTTAAGAAAATGCTCAATCCCATCTTATTTAACAATTTAAATGCCTCAGAGTAAATCTCGTTTAAAAATGTGATCTGATGTAAAGCGATTAACAAACTATTAAAGCCAATATATCCTATGATAACGAGCGCCGGAATGGCAATCCGGAGTTCGCAGGTTTAAACCTACGCATGTTTAAACTACAGTCAATTTCTTTGATTTATATGCACTTAGTCAGCTTCCCTATTTGGTTATTTAAAGTTTGAAATAGAAAGCCGTATCCATAATCCTCTTTGAATGATCCCTGTTTGCTATTACCAACATTGTGGCTTTTGGTGTTATCCTAGGCTACATAAAGTAAGAATACGAGTATTTGGACAAGTATGTGATTGAAAAGTAACATATTTTGAAATGGAACATGCCGGTGTGTATTCAAGCGTGTTCTCCGTTTCAACGAAGTTACGCATCCGTCCAAAATCGGTAATTCGAGTGAATTTGGATTTTTTGGGTACTATTACAATTTATGATATGATATATAATGACACAAGATTGTATCTTTTGTTAATTACAAACTTTAGGTGGCGGATATGCGGAATATTTTGAAGCTCCATGCTTCGTCCAATTAATTTTACATTACATCTAGTGAGTAAAATTTCTGAGATTTTGATTACTGACGAAGTGAAGAATCTTCTATTTATGCATGCGGCACTCGTGGCGAATGTATAAAATATATCTATATGAGAAAGTGGTGTCTCTGTGCACATACACTTGATACAAAAGGCGATCATGTGCTTGCCTTACAATTAATTGTCTTCGTCTAGACGAAGTGACGAGTAAGTTAATTATTTCTAGGCCTAACTTATTTCTCCTTATTTAAAGATGCTTTCAGGAAAACGCAAACTGAGAAGGACAACTTATTAACTGGGCTACGCATCAGTGATATATTTTAGTAACTTTAGGGGAGGAAAGTACGCGAAATCGCGATATGAAAAATCGACAGACTTTGAAGGCAATTCCAACAAGTCGGTTTTGCTGCTGTGGGCAGTTAGTCCCCTTTGTCAAAATGGTGGCGCAGTATAAGCAACAGTCATATTTACAGAGTGGCTGGGAATATGAGAATTTGGACAAGTTCGTTTGCAAGTATTTTATTGCATACCGGTGGCCGGTGTCAGGCTGTCTGTTCAAACATCCATAGGCTATCACTTCCAACTGTTATCTCAGTCCAGTGGCTTATATTAAGGGAATAAAATGTGTGTTCCGGAGGTATAATAACACTCTCTTTAAGACCGGTGTGAGTCTGGATGGGTAAATATCACCCATCCAGACTCACACCGGTTTTAAACAGAGTGTTTAATACTGACGGAACACATATTTATTCCCATTCATAAATACATTTTTGGTCAAAAAACCCAATCTTTTCGGTCCAAAAATCAGAACAATAAAAAACTAGACGTTTTTAACCATTTTGTTCAATAATTTTACTTCATGTTTTACGAAACACCCCTCTGACTATAATATGGAATGACCCTCAACAATTGCGTGCGCGTCGCGTATTCCACCTCCATGGTCGCGCGTCTTGCGCGATGTCGCGCAAAAACGCAGCTGGGGTGGTGTAGTGTGAATATTGGACTATGAAATAATGATGCACTGGTAGTTTTGCGCATGCATACGTGGGAAATTTGAACGTTCAACCAATGAAACTTAAAAGGCACCGTTTTTTTGGGAGTCCAAATTTCATGTGACACTAGAAAAGTGTTTAAGACAAACAAACCCAAAGTGAAAATTGAACATCTTCCAAATTAAACTTCACACATGGCGGTGCGGGGAACTTCATATACTGAAATCAATAAATGTAGGCCTTTTAAAGGTTTGTTAAATAACGTACCCGTGTGCGAAATTGTGGTAATGTCTCCATCCACAGCTTTCTCAGCCTTGACACTACCGGTGGCGTCTGAGCTCTGGCTGGCAGGTTTCCCTCGCACATCCAGGGACAGTGCTGTATTTTTGAATATAGAGTAATACAGTTTTAATTCAAAAGGAAGTACCTCTTTTTCCCCCTTCGATTTAGGGGCCGTTCACAATTATCAACATTTTCACAAGTGTACAAAGAGTACACTTTTTCAAGACCCCCCCTCCCTCCTAAAAGTGTACGAAAAAAATGTTGATTTTTTTCACACAAGTCTATATATAGACACTTGCATGTGATTTAAAGGGTTTTTGTAACTTTTGTAGATCAAGTTTTTGTACTATACATGTACGTGTACATACAGTACATTTTCATGTACGTGTGAAGGACAATGCCGCGCATGCTGCACACAATACGTTCATGGGATGCAATGCGGGGCCTGGCGCGGGGCGCGACCGGCTCGGCAAGTGCTCGATCGGCATCGGTTGCGGCTGTTGGCTGTGGCGACGGGCGAGATAACAGATCGACATTTAAAAAAAAAAAAGCGTTAGGCGGGCATTAACGGGCGAGAAAACATATCGACATTTAAAAAAAAAAGCGTACGGCGGCCATTAACCCCCTCCTCCCCAGCGTACGGCTTGTACGCTCGTGAAAATGTTGATAATTGTGAACGGCTTTAATAGTTGGCTGTAATTTCAACATTTGTTGTTGCGACAAAGAAGTGTGACGGGTCGCTAAATCGAAAGGAGAGTAGCATAGGCGTTTTGTGGCTGTTTGGCCTCAACTAGGATTATTTAGCAGTGTTTGAGAAGCTTTTTTTTCGTGGAAAGTCCCTTTTGTATTTTGGCTCATAAACACTAAATCGGAAGCCGGGTATGCATAGCGTGCATTTCACATCATCATCGATATGTTTCCCCTACAAATCCAGTATATGTTTTGATGCATAATTCATTTTGATATATTCCATAAAAAACAGTGTCATTGAGTTTCGAGGGTCAAAACATTATGCAGATACGCTCTTGCCAATCTCCTGCATCTGTCTCATTTAATAATACATAAAAGAAAATACACTTAAAAAAGTTGGGCCAAATTGGCTGATAATTCGACCAATGCTGTTGAATTATCAACTGCCTACACTGTTGGGCAAATTCGTCCCAATAGTTTTGTTTGACATTTGTTTTTACTCAATCAACCCAGTATGAGGTAATTTCATATATCAATGCATGGTAAATTACATTGGCCAACAGTATTTTATCTAATCTTTCTACAGTGTTTCAAGGCACTCGGATCTTGTTGTTTAGGGTGTCAGGTTTCTACAAGAAAATAATGGATTTGAAAGGGACCTTTGAAGTGACATGATCGGTTGATAAAAAGCTAACATTCTACAAGCAACAATACTAATAAAATCTACTCTACAATGCATTTGGGGATATCGTATTTGATTCGAAAGGAACACTTCTCTTTAATAAACGCAGTCAATAGTGAAAGTTTAAAAAAGATAACTAATTAAGTTGAGGAAGTCTACTCCTGGTTTGCTTACCCCCGTTAAGAAGACAAGCGTTCATCAACAGCAACATCAGACCGATACGATCCCAGCGTAAAACCGACGCCATTGTTAGACCTACTCGAAGGCCTACAAGCAGTTCTGTTATTTCAACGTTCTACCACCGAGCCCAGTCAACAGCCCCTGTTTCCCCTCAAGCGTGACGTAGCTGAATACTGTTTTCAAAGCCTTTTCAAAAATGTTCTTTGTATGCAAGTTCACATCAAGGGGAACCTGGATGTGCTGCTGCCGCTCATGTACTGCGGCTCGTTGTAAGCGACTGTGTATTTAATGTGTGGAGTTCCATAGCAAGGACAGCAAATAATGCCTCAATTACTTCCTGGTCGACAGAGCACAGTTAATTCCTTCTGTCGAAACATCTCATTAAGATATGAGCACCACAAAAACCATAAATTGTCAAAGAATGAATAAATGAGCGAACATTTGACAGGAATCCAAATAACATGGTGCATGTCTAGTATCATAACAAACAATACAAGCACTTTACAGTCAACGAATTAGTATTTTGTTTCGTACCCTTAGTTTTGAAGGCCTGAAAATCGCGTATGCTGATCGCAAGGAAGTTTCATTGTTGCGGGTTATACAGTAAAATACGTGCTAGTTGAAGTTAATATGTAGCAAAATCTTCTCAACATAAAATAAAAATAGTTGTGTATAATATTTTACCTCCGTCTACTTTTTAATGTTTTCAATGTAAATCTGCCCACAATTCAGCCTTCTGACTGTGATGGGAGATTGAAATAAACCAATTAATAGTAATAATTATTACGGAAGTGATAAGTTGAAACCTGGTGCGTTTCAGAATCCATTTGGTCTTTGAAGAGTTGATTACACAGAGCATCCACGTATCATTTTCATTATTAGGAAATTAAAAGTCAAATATTGAATAACATTTTGCAATTTATCAGAAACTGAAATTGACAAAGGGACATTAAAAAGTGATGGTAAACAGTGACCATAAGTTCATTTGATATTTTGCGACCGAGAGACGTAAATGTTTCACTATTAACTTTGTCCTGCACCGCTAACCCCGCACTTAAAAAAACCCCACTCATGATCAATTACATAGTATCTATAACAATATACACACATGTATCAAGGAAGGGGAATTCACAGTTCGACCCACGTGTGTTATATCCATGTAGAGTTGGCTAACGTCATTATTTAATTACAAACCAAAACTAAAAGTGATCTTAACCCTGTACAAGTAAGCAACCGCCGAGTCATGTTTGTTTCTGCTCGGAAGTAAACCTAGTTGAGACAAGTCTTCAACATCCTTTTGGAATTGTTCCAATTGTAAACACAGTGTTTCCCCGCAGAATTTACATTTTTTGTCCTTATTCTGTGGTTTATGGGTCAGTATTCGGTTTGATATTTTTTTATCTTCATATTCATGTACAATACAAATCACATTTCAAACAATAAAGTAACATTGCAATCTGTTTAAATTAAACTTGATTTGTCTCTTCTTTAGTTAAGGTTGTAATATCATTGTAAGTGACCAACATGTAATTTCAACAACTCATTAATGGCCGGATAAAAAGCTCTCTTTTTGTTGATATACCAACAACGATCATTTTTGGCACTATATTCACAAACTGATGCATTTTTTTGGGCGGCATAGCCTTGTCATGATTCTTTTCTGCAAATCTCACGACTTTTTTGTAAGGAAAACAATATTTTTTACCGCACAAAGAGAATCAACGCACGTTATCTATACTACAATTCAAGGAATCTCTGTCTGTCTGTCCGTCTGTCTGTCTGTCTGTCTGTCCGCCGATTATCTCCAGAACCGGGCGACGTATGAAGTTAAAAATCGGCGGGTTTTTTGCTCGGGACAGCAGAATGTGCAGTGTCGAGTTTGAAGTGGTTTGGACCAGCGGTTGTCGAAAAAGCTGCAAAAAAGCAGTATTTTCTGAGGCCCAGCGCGCCAGAATATAGCCTAGAGCCCGGCGCGCACTGATGTTCTTTTCAATTGTTTACGTCATGTTAAAGCAAGAGCGCGCGTGCTCAATATGACGCAAACAATGCAAAAAGGACGGGCACGCGCACGTGCATTGTAGGGCGATACCATTGTCCAGTATGGGTGAATAGCACTGCATACCACGTTTCCGTATGTACACGTACGTGGTGGCTGCACGGGCACATTATTTTTGCAGTCGACTGAGCGACCATTGTAGGCGGTCGAACTTCAAACTTGGCACAAACTTTGACGTGAGTGTGCGTTCAACCTGTCAAAACAACACCATTGAATCGCGTGCGTTGTTTGCACGAGCAGTTTTCAAAACTTGCCCCTCCCGAACAGGCACATTTTCAACTGGCCCTGCACTAGTCTATACTACAATTCAAGGAATCTCTGTCTGTCTGTCCGTCTGTCTGTCTGTCTGTCTGTCTGTCCGTCGATTATCTCCAGAACTGGGCACCGTATGAAGTTGAAAATCGGCGGGTGTATTGCTCGGGACAACCGAATGTGCAGTGTCAAGTTTGAAGTGGTTTGGATGAGCGGTTTTCGAAAAAGCTGCAAAAAAGCAGCATTTTCTGAGGCCTAGCGCGCCAGAATATAGCCTAGAACACCACGCACTGCTGTTCTTTTCAATTGTTTACGTCATGTTTGAGCAAGAGCGCGCCAGCTTAATATGACGCAACAATGGAAACGGGACGGGCACATTGTAGGGCGATAGCACTGCACGCCATGTCTTCGTACGTACGCGAGTGGTATGCACGGGCACATGCATTTTGTAGTCAACTGAGCAACCATCACTGCACTGTATGTAGGCGGTCGACTGAGCAACTCTAATACAATATGGTATCGCCCTACAACTACGCCCTACAGTTGTAGGGCGATACCATATTGTCCAGTAGGGGTAAATATCAGCGCCGGGGGTGACGACATTTTGTGCGTTTAACTTGCGAGTGTGCGTTCACACCATTGAATAATGTGCGTTATTTGCACGAGCTGCAGTTCTCAACTGCCCCTTCCGAAATACGCACATTTTCGACTGGCCCTGCACTAGTCTTACTATAATTCCAGGAATCTCTGTCTGTCTGTCTGTCCGTCGATTATCTCCAGAACCGGGCACCGTATGAAGTTGAAAATCGGCGGGTATATTTTTCGGGACACCAGAATGTGCAGTGCAAAGTTTGAAGTTGTTTGGACCAGCGGTTCTCGAAAAAGCTGCAAAAAGCAGTATTTTCTGAGGTAAACGTGGCAGTATATAGCTTAGAACATAACACCCGCACGCACTGCCGTTCTTTTCAATTGTTTACGTCATGTTTAAGCTAAAGCGCGCGTGCTCAATATGACGCAAACAATGCAAAATGGACGGGCACGCGCACGTGCATTGCAGGGCGATACATTGTCCAGTATGGGTGAATACTAATGGATCAATGGGTGAATAGCACTGCATACCATGTTTCCGAATCTACACGGGCACATTATTTTTGAAGTCGACTGAGCGACCATTGTAGGTGGTCGAACTTCAAACTTGGCACAAACTTTGACGTAAGTGTGCCTTCAACCTGTGAAAACAACACCATTGAATAGCGTGCGTTGTTTGCACGAGCAGTTCTCAAAAACTCTGCAAGAGTATGCAACCTATACCAGCGGCAAAGCAATTTGCGTTTCCCGAACATGCACATTTTAGACGGGCACTGCACTAGTATTTCCAATAAGGAAATATGGCTGTATATTGTACTTTGGACTGGGAAGTGCCGTTATTATATTTTATATTGTGTAACTTGATTTACTGGCACTATATCATAAAGTGATGCATTTCTTTGTGGTATTGCCGTATCATGATTAATTTCTGCAATGAGGTTTTTTGTAAAGAAAAAGGCATTGCGGTTATTTTTTAGCACCATTTTTTTCTTCGCAAAGGGAAGCAACACTATCGAATAAGGAAGTATGGCTGTATAATTTATTTATGTTTTATTTTGTCACTTGATTTATTGTGCTAAAAGTCAATCTGGAGTGCCCATTAACTTCGGCTTAGTTAAAGACGACAAGTCTGAGCCTTGGCTTCAGATTAAAATTTTGCCAATTTCTAGAATGAGTGGTGTAATTTCCGGACATAAAGGCCTTCCGCCATAAAACAGCAATATCATTTTCGGGCATGGAGTGTGATAAAAATGAGCCGCAGAACAGTTCTACATGGTACCAAATTTTTTGCTTAACACATTACCATATTTTATTTGTCGCTCTGAGTACATTGCTCATATTGAACATTCCTGTATGCCGATGAATTAAATGATATACAGCCATTATAATTAAAATCCACAGCAAACGAATGAAATCATGTATTTAATCAATAGACTGTGTATCCAGTGCAGTACTATGAATCTAAATACCCATAGTCCGACAAAATAAGAAGTGAGGAAGTTATAAATACGTGTGTAGTTATAACTAGTTCGTTATTTACATGTCATTTTGAAGATAAATAAAAATTCAGTTCTAGAAAACAATTGAATGTAACTATTTATATACAAAAAGGCTATACTTTTGTATATCCAGTGTAATATTTAATTTATACCCAAGATCAGACAAAATAAGAAGAAGTTATAAACTACATGAGGTAGCCACTATTATAAGCTATTTCCATAAGAACTCAAAGCTGATATCTCGCAAAAGCTAATTCTTCTTATAGCTGCCACGGTATACTTACAATAAACCTATGAAGCAATATAAATGTACAAATATATCCAGGGATGTTGGTGTTGAGTCCATTTCAAGCCCAGTCACGAGTAAACCACAAGTCCAGTTACAAGTAAATCCCAAGTCCAGTTACAAATAAATGACATGTACAAGTAAATCACAAGTCCAATCACAAGTAAATCACAAGTCCAGCTTACAAGTCCATCACAAGTCCAGTCACAAGTAAATCACAAGTTAAATCACAAGTTTAGTCACAAGTAAATCACAAGTCCAGTCACAAGTAAATCACAAGTAAATCACAAGTCCAGTCACAAGTAAATCACAAGTCCAGTTACAAGTTATAGTGGATGCACAATAACAAGGAATATCTTTGTCAAAGCTCAGGTGGATAGTTTGTAACTTGAATTCGAAGTAGACGACTTGTGATGGACTGAAATACATCCCTGAAAATTCTTGGTTGACGGAATGTTCGTTGACCTGTCTTTTAATATATCGGACAACAAATGAGTGTACTTTCACATCATTGTGTGGTAACATGCATGTGACCTGTCATCACGAATGAGCTTTAAGTTGGATAGTGTCATGTTGCAGTGCAGTGGGGCAAAACCAAAACTTGAAGTGTTGGTTGATTTTTTATTTTCATGTAAACCTTATCTGTAAGTCCCGTGCTACCTTTATCCTTTTTTTCTCTCTCAACCATCTTTAAAACCTATTTTCATCCTGTTTTAGTAGGTGGGTCATTCTATAAATTTGGGGTCCAAAGTGTGATATTTTTCCCGTCCCTGTTACCTTGGTACTTTGTAATTTGCTATTCAAGCATAATTAAAAGTGACTTCAAATGATTGTTTATTTGTTGGGTAGGTAGTTTGCTATTCATAATCACTCTTGGAGGATGACTGCATTAAGGAGTGCATCAGAATTATACAATCATAGATGTCAGATGTAACAGGGACGGGAAAAAAAGTGGACCCCAAATTTATAGAATGACCCAGTTGACTGTTCACTCACTGTAACGCAACCGCAGATTTTTAAATGCCATTTTCTGAAGAATCAGTTTTACAACGGGCCCCTGAGTAAGTTGGTGGTTCATTATAAATGCTGTATGCCATTTGAAAGCTCTTGTTCTGCAGACATCTTAATTCTAAAAATGTCTTACTTCAAGCTTATTTTGTGATGACAGGTCACATGTACAGTCATGTTTTCGGTGTGCAGCTGAATATACATTTGAAGAAGTATATCTGTCATTTGTACCCATGAGAAAATGTAAACCAAAGCAATACACAAAAACAAATGCTAATGAAGTCGGTTTAAGATTCATAATCTGAGTATATTATAATTCTTTAAAATGATTTCCACAAGGGTTTATAATCCCAAACTACTTTTTTTTCGCTCACATTTCTTGAGCGCACGACATATTCTAGCAGTAGAATATAGGTTTCAAAATGAGGTGTCCGTGTTATGTTCCAGACAGTTTTCTTGTTAACAGTTTTCGTGTAATCCCATTTTGGAGGGCTCGTCTTTGAAAACATTAGGACTACAAAATATTGTTCAATGAACAAAAACACACTAGATAGAAACCAGCTTATAGCCTACAAACGCCAAAGGAAATTCTATCCGAGATAACTGCATTAAATAATGCAGACCTAACCAACGCCCGTCTGCATAAACAGTAAATAAACACTTTTTGCGTTTATTTCCGCCATTATTAGTAGGACCGATACTCTTAACGGGACATTTTCAATCACCATTGATCTACTTTATAAGAGTCAAGAGTTTTGTGCTGTTGTCATACGACGAATTAGTCACGTTTTTCATAGTACTCGTAGACAAGTTGGCCTTATCGTAGCACATCGCATAGTGGTCTTGTAACAAGGAAACGATACACACGCACAAATGCAACTTGGTAATTAAGGCTTTCTTTTAAAAAGCTGGGTACATAATGAAACCCAAGATCCATTGCCTGCTCAATGCTCATTGGTCTTTGATGTCTCCGTTCTATCTTTCCCTGAATTTGATTCAAATGGTTTAGACCACGAGGCATAACCACAACGGAAAAACAAATAGATTTAGGGGCCATTCAGAATTTTCAATGTTTTAAAATTTCGATCTTTTTTTCCAAATTGTGGGTGGGTGGGTCAAGCTAAATAATTGAAAATCGAATTCACTTTCCATGGAAAAGATAAAAACAAACAAAGAAAGACACATCTGGGTACGTCGGGTTACCGTACACACAATTGTCCTGGAAACAACAGTACCAAAGTACAGAAAGTCGTACGCAAGAGCTCCCTAGCAAGTATCGCTGACGCCATTATGATTCCAAAATTTCTCACTGTGTCACACATTGAAATAACTAAACAGCGTCGTTGTATTGTGAACACATAAAAGCATTCAAGTCGCGTTCTTGCACACTTTCTGCAAGTCAACATAGATATCCTTGAACCACTGCCCCTGCTTTGCATAAATAACAAGTGCACATGAATGAACGATTCGACTTTTATTCAAAGAAATTTCTATGTACAGTCACCAGACTCTATTCAGTAAAGTCCCCGTCAAAACGAAAGTAAACAATCCAGGTGCATAACGCACGGCTACACCCTCGTACAGTGTGGCAGGGACACCAACAAGTAACACAACAACTAATTTTTTTTTAAAAAATTGATAAATATTCTGATTGAATTTCGTTAAAAGATACTTGTTGGTGAGGTATCACATATTTTATCACATAAAAGAGGAAGACCGACAACTTCACGCCGTCACTGAACTAGACACCATGTACATGGTGTGAACTAGACATGTACATGTACATGCAAGTGCATGTACATGTACATGTTCAGTTTTTTATTAATCGAAATTAGGGGTGGGTGGGTGGGTCAAAATGATTTGGAAAAAAAGTCGAAATTTTAAAACATAGAAAATTCTGAATGGCCCCTTAGCAACCAAAGTGAAAAAAAAACCAACCACACACGGCTGGGATGAACATTAACCTTTTGAAGTATGACAGACACATGGGAGGGCGCTACATATTTAAAGTAGATGATTGCCGGTAAAAACAAAAACCTGCATTTCTGATTGTCCGGGCACAGTGGGCGTGTCCGTTGTTATTTTGGGCATTATAAACTGGAAATCAGCCATTCGTCTATATTGTATTTGAACGATTATACCTCAATTAAAACTGTGGCAATTGTTTATTCCAGCCTATCTGGTTTATAATTTCTGAAAGATTACAGGAAATATATTATACATGTACTTGATGTTTGGAAACAGTTTTGATGGGCACAATTTGTAAACCAAGTAAAACTCAATGCCACTAGCCTTTCCGCGAAGTTGTTGTTTATTGATTTTTGAAGGAAGGTCTAACAGCTTATTTCATTTCTTTCATTTTAAACCATTCAAAAGACTTTCAAGAAAAATATAAAAATTGAAAAATAGAACCCTTGTTTAAGTTTCAAAATTAATTGAAATTCCTTAATGAATTAATTGATGACATCATCGTGTCGTCGCTCCATAGTTTGTAAACTATCTATTTTTGTAAACTACACACTACGTTTTCAGAAAATCGGACGTTCCATAGTAAGTTTAACAAAATCACGTTTGCTGAGGTCACGACGACGTCACACATTTCTCCTAATGTTGGGCATACATTTCTTTGAACTTGCAAACCTCTTGCAAAAGATTTTAGAATTTAGCAACTTTTGTTTGTAAAACTGGCACATAAGAGGACTCACCCTGTACACGTATTTAATTATTCATAAAACGTTTCAGTAAAATGTTTCATTTAAGACTGCAATTTATTAACAAACTATTCGTCTTAACCAATCATAAGATGATGTAGAACGCATGTCAGTAAATTGTTTCTTGCAACCAACAGCGGTACCATCCATGATCAAAAATTATACAGCTAAAATAACTACAACATCCCCGCAAGCAATGTGATATAAACATTACAGTTATATTTGTGCTTGGATACTGTAATTGTATTGGTCTAGAATGGCCATGTGTCTGGGCAATAAAAATGCATGTCACACACTGTACTGAGGGGGACATTGCATGCACTGACTTCATTGCGCGTTGTGGCACATGAGGGCGCGCTAACTTTGTGCAATGAGAACTGCAACGTCAGTCTCATGTCCGGCAAGACATCAAAACCTTCAGCTATCGAAACTTACATCACAATGATTCCATTTATTTTTCACGCAGTAAGTTACAACCCTTTATTTTTTTTAAAGTTATTGGCACTAAATAAGAAAACAGTTTTTTGCACTGTTGTGATGTGGGATATGCCGTTTTAACTTCGCCTCGGATGTCATGCGTCCCTATGCGCCCCTCGGGTGTTAAAAAGTCATATCCTACATCACAGTAGTGAACAATTGTTAAATGGCATTTGTGCTTTCTGGATTTCTGTTTTTATCAAACGACACTAACAAAAATAGGATCATAAATGTAAAACTTGTTATTTTATTACTTTCAAGTCTTTCAGAACACACTTTGATATACGAAACATCAATTTGTCTAGTGCATAACAACTGTGTCAGTTGCACAGAGCACTTGAGCTACTATCCCGGCCAAAATGGTTGGGACACTTCCTGAGCCTGCCACGGTCCAAGGGCGGATCCAGGGGGGGGGGGGGGGGGCCAAAGGGGGCCATGGCCCCCCCAAAACGAAACCAATTTTTTTTTTTTTAATGTGACATCGCAATAAAGGCAGGCAATGAGTTCACCACCATCTTTTCCTCCAAAAAAATTGGTTAAAGTGGTCAGAAATTGCCTCAGATCGCACCACAGAGCATCTAGAATCTAAAAAATTTTCGGGGCCCTAGCGGGCCCCGAACCCCACGCCGTAATTTTTTAGACCCACTTTTGGGGGGGACCAAAATGTTTTTTGGCCCCCCCCAAAATTGTGTTCTGGATCCGCCCTTGCCACGGTCACACACTCCCCCGCTCCCCCGGTCAATGTTGTTCTCTCCAGCTGATAGAGTACACACTGCGCAATGAGAGACAACATTGAATGGGGTGCCGGTGCCGGGGGCTTTGGGGCCCAGCGAGATTTGGCCAGGATTGTAGGTCAAACTCAAGCCCCCACCCCGAAACAAAAGTACATTAGAATAATCAATGACGGATATTTAAATCGTATCTCTTATGTATATCGAAAGGTATTTTCTCTTTGTTTCACCTTCAGTCTTGAGCTGCCTTTCTAGTTATCGTCGAACTCGGGCTTAATCACGTGATTCTCGTAGATATGACGTGTCATGTAAATCTGAAATATTAACAAAATGTTGATTTTTATAATAGATTTGAAAATTAATTCAAAGACAATTTTCTGAGACAATTTTCTGAATGACTCTCATGAAAGTAATCGGAAAATACACCGTTCTTTAAGTTGTTATAAAGAACGTTTGTGATATACAAAGAAGAGCTGGGAATAAACGGTACACATACGTTCTCATCTGAAGGATCGTTCATTTTCTTGAGCGTCACCATAAGTTCTTTGAAGCTTGGGCGTTGGCTTGGCTGTGGCTGCCAACACCTCATCATCAGATCGTAGCTACGAGAGTAAGAAACACAATAAAGCTTATTGGAGTTTTTGTGGAGATGCTGTGGCGAAAGGTGTACTCTTTTGTTCCTTTTTAAGTACCCTTGTATTTACTTTACAGACTCCGGGCTTAGGAAGCACAATTTTGCACTAAAATAATTGAAGGAAAATTTGCTTAATTACATTTCATCGGCGCAGTTTTCTGGCTTGGGAAGTCGGTAACCTTCCTGCAATCGTTCGGCCAACAACTTGCTCTGAATTCCCGGATAGGGCGTCGCACCTGCAATAACCGATAATACAGTAAATACCCGTCAAACAATAACATCTTCAATGTTAAATACGACAATGCCAGTATTAGAACTCAAAACCTATCGTGATCTTTATTCATCGATTGAGACTCTGATGAGAATAAAAAGATTTGTAGAACTGAAGAAAGGTGACAAGATCGGAACGTGCAGGTGAAATTAAAAATGAATATTTCAACACTTTATCACGGTTCTCTGATAGCCAAGTTATCTTTTGATTAAACCTCCATATTAATTCCATTCTGCTAGAATATAAAGATATTAAATATGACAAACTAACTTTACTTACCAAATGTGGCTATCTCCCACAGCACGACCCCAAAAGACCACCTGGAATACGATTACCAGAACAATTCAGGCATGAAAAAGATTCATAAATCTCACATGTGAGGAAAAAATAACAAATTTACTTGGAATTTGCTGGTATTTATGATCTGAAAGTCGTATAATGTTTTGATGATTGTACTTACACATCACTCTTAGATTTGTACACCCGACGGGTCAAAGACTCGATGGCCAACCAGCGGAAAGGAACACGGGTCTAACAGATAACAGTTGTAAATAAAAACAAAATGAAGAAAAAAAAACGAAGCCATTAAAATGAAACTTGTTCATTTGAAAAAGATATATCAAAAGATCATAAACTGTTACAGAGGTTCAGAAATCTTCACAAATTGTACATAAAATGTCTAAAGGATAACTAAGATTGTCTTATCTTGTGCAGTATTAATTTTGTTGTTTCCTCTCTGCTGGTTCTCGAGTGCTATCGGAAACTGTGTTAATATAACGCGGTGTTAGCGTTTTATATCAAAGGTCTCAAAGCGCTTCACAATTGTATTACCACTGTTCATCAGGTCTTGGGACCTGTTTTCTGCAGCAGCTCGAGATCAGTGCATTCAAGTCTGTACTTTCACATGTTCCCATTTACATTTGTAGCCAGGTGTCTTGCCCAAGAACACATGCATCGTGTTTTCCGTTAGGGTTCGAACCCACGTACCACGGCACATGAATCGAACACCGTACCATTGGACCAAAGCGCTCCACAACGAATTTCACAACAAGATCAGTGTTGAGATTTCACCTGTTATAATTCTGCACATGTGCACTTCATTAACACTATATTAACAACTGTATTGAGAAAGTGACAACTTTACCTGCGACTTCTGAACGTAGACGTCTTCTCCCCGAGAGAGTCCGAAATCAGAAATCTTTGCAGTCAAGTCATCTCCAAGAAGTATGTTTCTCGCAGCCAAGTCTCGGTGAATTATCTACATTAGAGAAATATATTTTGTTAATAATAATCACCCAATCGCCATTACCATAAGTGATTTCACAGTACCTGAAACAAGAGATTTACTGCCTTAAGAGATTTACTGCAATCTGTTTTGCACCCTTAATGTTTCCATATAAATGTATACTCTTTGGTGAAGGGAAGAACGTTGGGATTTGAATTCCTATACCACCACGCACGCGTTGGAAACGTAGCCAATAGGCAACGGAGTCTGTGATATTTTTTAACCTGCCAAAAAAGAAAGATGGACACTTAGAAATTACGACACCTTTACCCACAGAACAACCCCTTTATTGGGGCATATTTCAATTTGATTGAAAGTCCGTACCCCAGTGTCAGAGAGGTGATCCATTCCTCTGGCTATATCTATGCCGAATGTCAGTAAGTTGGAGGAAGTCAGCGGTGATACACCATCATCTGACTTCCCTGCCACCTGCTGCTTGGGGCGAGTACTCCTCAGGTAGTCACGCAGGTTGCCGTTGGGGAGATATTCAAGAGCGACGTACAAAAATGCTAGAATAAAGAAAGAAATCACTGATCAGATTTTAATAAAGAAATTGGAGGGTAAATCAAATGCCCAGCGTGCTAGAAATGTGGAGTGTGTTAGGCCCAGATTATTACTTTGAATTGTTGAAAACAAGAAGCAGGAAAATGGTTTGTGAAGTCTGAAGTCACAGCGTATAATCATGTTAACGATGTCCCAGATGTGTGGTTTTCCATGATCCTTTTATACTTGAGTCCAGTAAAAAACATTAAACTAAAACTAAAACCAATTCCCATCTGATTTTCACAGAATGATTGTGAAATAATAATAACAATTTTTGTATAGAGGGATCAAATGTTTGATAACACAGTTGTACCTTCGTGCATACACGCGCCCATTAGACCAACTACGTTCGGGTGTGGCTTGATCTGAGCCATTGTCTTGAACTCGACCAGAAAGTCCTCGGAAGCAGTCGTTGTCGCTCCTGTAACAATAAACAAATTAAGATTCAAACTCTCGTTTGCATTTCAATGAAAGATGTTCCACAAGTCAAATATGACATGATCAAAATAACTCACGGTTAAAAATTTAACCACGTAAGTACAAGTGGATTGTGTTATCGGCCTGAGATTTAAAGTAATTTTTCTCTTACCTTTGAGAGTTTTGATGGCTACTCTAGCCAGTCCTCCTCTGATTTTGAGGCTACCTGCTCTCACTTCTCCAAAGTTTCCCTTGCCGAGTACCTTATCCTCAATCGTGAGATTCCTCCATTGGATTTCCAGTCCCTTAGCCCAGACTGGTAAGCCAACGTTTTCGTAAATGTCCTTTTCAATGTCGTTCTCTGCGATCGGCGACCTATTAATGGCGTGCATGTTCGGATCTCGGACAAGAGACAGTTCCTATTTGGACCAGGACAATTAAAAAAAAAAAATAAAAAAAATTAATGTTAATATTCCACAGCAAATAATATGAGTTGCTATTATGTACCTTTCTAAAGTTAGTTTTCACAGTGTCTTTCATGAACTGTGAAGACCTTACTTTATATTTTCCCCTTACCAAAATGCCAAAAAAATAAAAATAAACAGACTTGCAGCCTTTTGACTAACACAAGGACTTACAATTTCTTGATCGTCAAGCAATTTAGTTGGAGCACTGTCTTGGTCTCGTTTCCTCCACACCACGCAACTGATTATGTTGACAATACCGGAAATAGTCAACAGGACCCCGAGAACGATAGCTGCTACGTTCGGTCCATTGTTCTGTGCATTGGTTGTACCTGCATGGTGCAGAGAACATGAACTTGCGATTATTATATATAGCTGCATACAGGCCTTTAAGGATGTAAAATACCTACAGTAGTACAGTCCTACACATAGTAAAATAAAAAAATAACGGCTGTGGCACTAAGTGGATCAGAAAACTCACATTGGCCCCCTGTTAGTCCGAGAGCAATGATTCCAATAAAAACGATGAAGCAAATTTGAAGAATTTAAAATGAAAAAGACATTCACCCACCGCTTTGGTGGGACTTGAACCCTCGAACTTCTGCTTCTTAGTGCAGACATCATACAATTGAGTTTGCCGTTGTTGGCTAGCCGGTTCCAGTCTGATGTAGCAGTGCGTACTGCAACTCAACATTTTATAAGATGGAATATTGCGTCGGAAAGATGTATATCTTATATTGAGCTTTTCCCATCGAAAATGACTCGAACCGCCCAGCCAACCCTAACATAAGCACCGACGCAAACCTCCTCCAAAATTACCTTGTGCAGTTTGTACAAGGTACAAACTATCGGTACCCCGTTTGTTGCCTCTTCATTGAACGTAGAGAAGATTTTTGAGTAGGGAAGTGGCTTACAGGAATTTATCAGTGGGTCGTACGGAAGGTAGGAAGGTAACAACAACATACTTCGGCCATTTCCCTAAAAACCGGATAACGAAAATATTTGTTTTGGAGAAGACATGCCCTGCGTCTTTGTGTGGGAGAGAAACTCTCGTAGTACCTGTGTTTGATGGCCCCCCGTACACCTACGGCTTCCCAATTGTGGAGGTAGATATTGTTGTATCTTGTCAAATTAACAGTCCTGTTACTTGCTTTTTTTCAGGATGCTATGGCTAGTTCGTACAAGATCTGCGGTAAACCAACACATTAAATAAGCTTTGGGATTCAGAAGTAAGTCACAAGAGCACTATTGCATGCTAACGGGGAGAAAAACAACACTTACGTTTGTTTTGTTTAGTGTAAACTTGCAAGAGTTGTGGCACTCCCATATGCCACTGGTTTTTAGCTGAAACGATGAATTCATATATCGTACTTGGTTCGAGATTGTCCTGTACAAATGGAGCGCTGGCCGTCTCATTTTCGATGAAAGTGTCCGTTGGAGTAAAATCTGGTTGATAAGGTTTTTCTATTGCCCTGTGTTGTACCTAGTCAAGAAAAGTATTTGTTAGTAAATTCTGGCAGTATTGTCAATTAATACAGGTCTTGTAAACAAATATACCATTTTACACTTGGTATGATATCCAAATGATGCAGAATTGCTTGCATGCCGGTAGATAATAAGATAATTAACCTAAAATGTACTTTCCTTAATACAGTATTTGTCTACGTACAACATAGCCACTTATTGGTCCCTTAGGTTTTAGTGGGAGATCCCAATCCAATGTAACCGCCTCTTCAGTTCGATTTGTCCAGCGAAGGTTCTGTAATGGTCCCGGTACTGCAAATTTAATGGACAATGAACAATTACATTTACAAGAAGCGGGAGGGAGCTCAGTTGGTTTGAATTTTTCATTTGAAAGGTGACAAGGGGGAATTCATGCTCCAAGAAGAAGGCGTAAATGATTGTGTACTTGTGAATTGGAAATACAGACAGGTTTTTACCTCCCACAACTGTCACACGTATGGCTTCGCTCCAAGGACCCGGCCCGATTACCGTCTTCGCTCTCACCTAAAATTGAGAACAATGTCAATGTATACATTTAATATTTTCAACTCAATGAAATCTTTTTGGATAGTAAATGAATTGCAGCATAGTCTGACAAAACCTCATATCTGATCCGAGTGGTGGCCTCATGCGAAGGTGTATAGGGACATAATTAAATAGTAATTCTCTTCGACCTGCGCTATATGACACCTATATGACCTGTACGTTATAACCACTATCTGGTGGGACTTGTCCAGCAGAAGCAGACACTAAATCAGTGTGTCCGCATGAATTTAAATTCACATGAATTTAAATACTTCTTTGGGCCAAAAGTCATACAATTCGCGTGCGAATCAATAGTTACATGACCAAGTTACATGACCTTCATTGGGCACAATGCATGTACCCAGTCAGTCCAGCGTTACTGAGCTCTAACTTGCCTGTGCGATATTTAAACTTCCATATGATAGTGTATTTGTTAATAAATGTACGCTTTGAAGTATTTACCTGAACATCGTAAGTAGAATTCAGTAGAAGACCTTTGATCCTGTATGCCACAATAATGCCGATATCTTGCATCGCTGGTGTACCATCTCCCAATGTCCAAGTAGCCTCGTAAGCTGTTATATTGCCTTGTGGAGGATCAGGTTTCATCCAGCCAACCGTGATGGAATCTTCGCTGACATTCTGGATGTTGACATTCAAAGGGACTGTAGGTTCTGGAAAAGCGAAGATATTGATGTTGATGCGGCTGTCATATGTAACTTGCATTTTTTTGTTTAACCTTATAAGGGCTGTTACCCTCCACGAGATATGCTACTGTCGTGATTATCTTCACTTAGGCATGCGCAATACAACCAAGGAATCTGTAGTACGACTTCCTTATCATGACTCTGACAGATGAGTAAAACTGAGAACAACTTGGCCAACACTTCACTAACGATATCATATTTATGAATTAATTCAGCATCGCACAAAATGCATGTGCATTAAATGTCTTTATCAAAGCATGGACTCTTCTTAACATAGTCACATTGACTGGAACTGTACGGCCACCGGCAATCTCAGCGAGGCATTATTACGTATACTGTCATTTTTGTGTGAAGTTTGGGGCTCAACTAACAAAATACTTCAGCTCGCCCTTAATGTCTTTTACCAAAACCTGCCTGCTTCTGCTGTCCTGACAACCACACTGTTACTGTACGTCCCCGTCCCTTCACTGGTGATAGCTGCAACTTTGAAACTGTATTCAACATACGGTATCAGCTCATCTAATGAAACTGATGTGTCAGGAGTGTCGAATTCAAACGGTGGTTGCTGTCCGGAAACCCTACCACTCAGTTTGTATCGGTATCCGGTGACGGGTGGATCTGGCTGACCTCCGCATTTTGGCTCACTCCAGGAGAAACCAAGGCTGCGTTGCATGATGGATGTTGATTTCACTTCTCCTGTGAAAGGTTCCGTATCTGAAATGGAATCCCCCAAAAGGGAATCATGTCCCAAGTTAGAACTTTCCTGTTGCACCATGTGATAAAGGTGTCTTTTCATCAGAGAATTGAACTGAGGTGTACCAAGAGCCAGTGAGGGGATCGAAAGAGCTTAACGACTGCCGCCTCGATTCGAATGGGGCCCCCAGGAACAATTTTGGCTAGTGACTTACAGATCGTGATTTCTTTGTCTTACATTATATTGTGTGGATTTGTAAATCTATGTCGAGGTTTGGCAATGAAATGTTCCCGAATCTAACCATCTCCGACAGTCGCTTTTGTTTTCGCATTAATAATGTGGATGCACAAAAAAGAACGCACTTATTTTACAATGGACAACCATTTATAGATATTTTGCACCACTTTGAATTCAATAATTGTATCACTGATTTGAGTAATAAGGGGATATTCAATCATGCATTTATCTTACTTGAGCATTGACAATTGTTTCCGAAGTATGACGAGTCACAATTAGCGCCATTGGTGCATTCTCCTGTATCCTTACTGCAGATTCCTGCACAGTGACATGTTTGCGTACAGTCAGCTCCATACTTCCCCTCGGCACATTCTAATAAAGGCAGAGAAATCAGTTACATTTTTCAATTAGTAGTATGCGTATAGTTCATAGAAATTAGCCTAAAGCAACAACGGGGTGTAATGATGTTAACTTATACTGACATGTCTTAACTGTGTAGATATAGTATAGTATGTAAAAAGGTGATACTTCCTCAATTGTAGTGGTTGTAACAGCTTGTCGTTAAGGTCCTATGTAAGAAAACAAGCATTATGTATGACCAACTCGACAAGGTTAGCTGACTTGCAGACATTAAAGCCTTTGTTAATATTCTCTGGATTTCACTTAAGGCAGTACTGGGCCGTTTCCCTGCGATATTCCCCCTCACCTTGCATGCAGTCTAGTCCAGTGAATCCTGCAGCACATGAGCATCCGTAAGGATCAGGAAGACAAAACAAACGACCCCGGCAAGCATAATCGTGATCACCGCCAGCAGAACAGTTATGAACACCATTTTTACCGAAGACATTGCGGCCGCGTACTGTATGCAAATTATAAGTACAATGTTGTAAAAAATAAACAGAAATGGTGATCTTTATGTATTTTCCGGCCTCAAAGCAAAAGCACAAACCTCCATACGTAACAATATGCCTGATAACATACCTAATTTTATCCAAACTACCAAGCGCTTTGTTGAATTCGGCATTGTTGAAAAGTCACGCATGTTAATTACTCAGGCTAGCGAATTAAGAACGTAAGCGTTTCCATCCTATACTTTCTTGTTTCTTGATTCTTGATTCGGATTCAATTTGATTCAAGACATTGCGTCAATAATACTTGTATACCTTGTTCACATTGTTCTCCACTGAAGCCCGGAGCACATGTACAGGATCCAATCTTGGCATCACAAACGCCTCCGTTGTAGCATCGACGACAGACATTGAGACAGGGAGATGATGCTGACCCCCACTTTCCCGAAGAACAACCTGTCAATAGAAGTTGACAAAATTAAGGAAAACATTGATTGAGAAGAAAGCGACCTTTCCGGGGTCCTTCGTTGGTTTGGGATGTCTCACTCTTCAGTCGAAAGTTGCTTGCAATTGGCATCTTTCGTCGCTTTTGCATTATTGCAAATGCTCTTCTTTTCAGGCATATTCTTATAGTATGTTCAGCCATACTTTTAACAGCTCAATGAAATTGCACGAACCTTGCACAATAAGTGTCATGATTCCATGCAGTTGTTGATCCTCCTGGCCCGATGCGAAGCAGCTGTAGACCCCTCCATCACTCACAGCAACGTCATCAATAGACACGCTGAGCTGGTCATCCCAAGATGTCATGACGTCACCACCATTATGCCGCCATCTGTAGTTGGTGTTTGGTGCATGTACATTTCGCATCTCAAGTCGAACCGAGTCCCCTACACTAGCTACCTGCGTTCGCTGTGCTGGACGGATATGGACGGTGGTTTCTAAAATGGCAATTTAAACTGAGAGGATTTTTTTTGGTAGAAGCCGTGAGTATCAAGATATGCAGTTACGCCCTGGTAGTTAACGATGGGCATAAGGACGACGACGAACATAATTTAGTGTTTATCCATAGACAACTCTGAACACGCTATCGCTGTACTTTTAAGGAGGCCCCTTTCAATGGCGAAATCATTATATGAGCTATTGTACATAACGAATTACCATACAATATAAATGGTACAATGCATTCTCCATTGACGGAGACCTCCTTGATATTCAGTGATAATGAATTGTGTTCGAAATGATCTAATGACTAATTAGGCGTACAAAGTTTGAACTTGATTACCATCTTTAGGCAAGATTACGGTCAGTATCTTCGTGTTTGTCCTGCCAGCTCTAGTCGCCTCACAGTAGAAGACGCCCGTTCTGTCGATCCCACCCTGCTCGGGTAGGTTGAGCTGTCTGACCTGACATCCCAGTAGAGGATCTTGTAGCTGATTGGACCCTGACGGAAGGTCATTACTCCCTCCTGTTATCACTTGTCGACCGAATGAGACATCAGCGGAGATATCGTTGGGACCTTTGTAAGCTGCAATAATGGCATCGTCGTCTCCAGTTTGACCCAGTAGAGCAGGATTGGCGACAAGAGTAAAATCCACCTCCCCATCTGTTTGATTAGGAAAACGAGTTATCAGCGATGGCTTATCGAAACCATAGCTAGTCGGCATTTCTGATTCTTGAGTATGCGTATATATGTACATACATGTGCAAGCAAACGGTACTTTCGGTTTTTAGGTGGTATCAAAAAATAGGCAATATTTACAACTGTAACGACGAAATCTTTTGATATCATGTGACAACGAAATACATTACGTAGCCATCTTTAAACCAAGTTTGGATACTTACAGGATAGTCAATAGTGTTTTGGGAGAAATTCGGTAGACGTTTAAGGTTGGTTTATAGAAGTAAAAGGTATTCAATGAAAGTGCCTTGACTGGTTCATAACATTGTACGTGACTGACATACTTCCATTCCGACACTCACCCCCTCCTTCATCCAAGTATTCTCCAACCTCGACCTCACGCATGTGAAGGATATTATTTGTACCCGGGATATCCACGCTGACGAAATGGGCGGTGACCATCGGGTTTGCTATTATCTCAATCGGTCGCGTTCTATCTATGGCTTGCGCTTCAGTGACTGTTCCAATCTCTCTGTTTGTTAGGTGATCTTGATTCAACCCTGCTCGTATTACAGCACCTATTATACGGCGAGCTGTAATGTTGGAAGCACATGGGAGTGAAGAGTTTGAGTTCTAGTTCATTTTAAAACTGAAATGTATTTAGTCTAATCAATTTCCAATTTGATTTTTTTTGGGGGGACTTGTACCCACATAGACCTTTAACAATTAAAGTTGTTTGACCTTGTATTGCTCCTTAAGTTGAAACAAAAATAATAAAAAAAATATCTTGGAAATTGATGCTTTACACATTGTATTTTCATGTGAAACAAACGTTGGGGAGATTACAGATGTAGTCATTGAAAATGGAATTCTCTGCTATAGTGGGAGCTCTGATTTATAGGAATAGAAGTAAGCCACTATGACACAAAAAAATGAGTGCTGAAGGAGTGCCCTGGTAATCAGGTCCAGAGAAGATCCGCTTTTGTCTAGAATTTGGCCCCTTCTCTTTTTATTTCTTAAGCTCAGCTACTGCACTTGGCTTGGAAACCTGTAAAACTATACATTAACGAAATTCGTCACCGTTTTCACGAGGAGCCACATATGTCAAAAATTACATTTTTCTCAATTTTTCTCAATTTTCAATACTTCGCATTAAAACAATGTACTTAACCATTTTGACATGTTTCTGCAAGCAAAACATCATTAATTTCTAAGTTACATTTATGTTGCAAGGGGCAGAAATCTCGATTTATGCATTTTGCGTTTTCACGAAGAGCCACATACATTTTTGCCCTTTGAACGCGTACAAAACCCATTGCACGGAAATACGTAAAAGTAGGTCAAATGAGATGTGCGTTTTCACTTAGAGCCACATATCTTTGTTACATGTTCAGCTGCGCGCGCGTACTCACGCGCGCCTATGGAAATACACGTTGAACAGAAAGGGCCAATATGTCGGAAACCTGAATTTGCGTTTTCACGAAGAGCCACATATCTTTACTAATTAATTTTCACCAATTATATAATGTATTAAGTCTAATTACTGGGTTCATGTAAAAATTCAGCTCTCGTAGAATCGTTTAATGGTTTCCTTGCTGCACAAAGTTGTTGCAAAGTGGTATTTTTTGCAGTTTTAAAATAGGAGAAACTTCTTTTGCGATTATCTCGAAAACGCTTTTTCTTCGAAATCGACATGTGGCTCTTCGTGAAAACGGTGACGAATTATGTTCAATTATGAGAAGCTCAAGTAACAGCACATACGCTTGACGGCAATATTACCACAATCGTTATTTGGCGGTCTCTTTCCGCAATCATAATTTTGTCTGTTATATATGGTGATAGTTCTCAAGCAGTAGATAGCTTCCAAGTCCAATCTCCACCACGGATCTGTCTTTAGTTCCGGTGGATTATAACCTGTGGATAAATCAGAGTATTAAGACGCCACATAAGAGGCTTCCAAATTCGCGCCGGCATGTCGGTGTCATATGAAAATCCTAGTCCTATGGAAATCGGACTCTTTTCCCCTATTATTGGTTAATCCCTCGCACGTGACAGGTCACTCTCCTATAAAAAGGCATATTTATAGGCTATTGTTATGCTTACACATGCACAATACTACCAACAAGTCCATATTTCATGGAGTCGGATATTAACGCTGCACCGGCATTGTCCCTGACTTCACATGTGACGTCATAACTTGGTGTTTATCATACACAGTCACGTACGACATGTACATGACTGTTAACTGAACTAGCGGCCTGATGCCTACCCGTCTTCGCTCATACTTTTCATTTTCCGCTGATGTACATTTATATTCAACGAGAAGTTCATCTCGAAGTAATTATCTGTATCAAATCCACAATCTAACTACGTCGTATAAAAATGGAACATAAAAACGCGGCATCAAATACCTTACAGACACCATAAGACAGTCCCTAAATGTGTTCGCAAAGACACTCAAAACCAAGCTTATGTTAAACATAGTATAACTTAATTCTTTGTTATGGTCTAATCTCCTGTTGTTTTTTCATTGTATTGTGTTGTTATTTGTATTCTTGTAATAAGTCACTTGTCCTTGTACTTGTATGTTTAACAAAGTTATGTTACAATGAAACTACAATACGGGTGATATAGGCAATGGGATAGGGGGAGGAATAAAAGCCCTTGGCTTCTCCTGACCCCTGATGCTGAGGCTTCTGTGTTTCCATTTTAAAATAAGTCAAATCTAAATTTAATTTATGACTTGTTTTTTCTTGCACATTAATTTTACTACTTATAATGTATACATCCAATGTTAATGTCAGCATGAATAAAAAATAGTTGAAACAGTGAAAAAAGAAGAAGAAAAGAAACTTTAAAACTTTAAATGAGAACGCCATATTATGTTAAGCTACGTACGAACATCAGGGATAACCATAGGCCTATGCAAGGCAGTATGTAACTTTTAAAGAGGTGCCATGTTTACAGTGACTGTGTTTGGCACTGTGCCATGCTTCAAAAAAAAACAAAAAAAAACTCTGCGACGCTTTGAGTCCAGTCAAGTTACGATTTGACCTAGGACTTAATGCAGTAAAATTATTCAAGCGTCGAACAACTCCAACAAAATAAACAAAGAACATGTGAAAAATCATTTTTTTTCTCCAGTTGAAGTATGTTGATGATCTCAGTATAGTTGAGATTGTTCCCAGAGGTGAACAGTCAAATTTGCAATCTGATGTTAACACACTTGTGGACTGGTGTAATGTAAACGATATGAAATAAAATCCTTTGAAATGCAAGGTAATGCAGATTTCTTTTCTTCGTAATCAGGTTTTTTTCCCCAGTCAATTGCAAGTTAATGATGATGATGACCGGCAAGTTCAACAGAGTGTCAGTATGGCTTCATGTCGACTTTACATCCTCAGTAAATTAAAGAAAAATTAAGTTGAAGTTAGTGATCTTATTGTAATATAGGTTTTCCCAGCTATTTTAAACGTTTATAATTCAAATTCACCGTTGCTAATATACTAATTCGTCTATCAATATCGATTAAGTGCACTTCCAATGTTTAATTTCGTCTTTGTCGGTCAATTTTAAATTCGGATGAAGTAAATTCAAACAACGAGCACACGTTTTCATCGCGAAGTATTCGATTTCGTCTCGTCCACGCCAAATCTTGTTATTTGTTCAATACTGGAATCTGCAGTGGTTGTGTGGTCATCGGGAATTACGGAAATCCAAGCCCAGAACATTGAGAGAGTAGGGAAAAAAAGAATTGGCGTATAATTGTTTATCCGAATACTGTCCTGTCCTATCACGATCTCATGCATTTTGTTTAACATTTAATCATTATTCAAAATACGCGAACAACTGGATTCTAAAATTTGCAAAGTCCTTTCTTATTTCCAATAGACACAACCACCTCTTGCCACCAGAACGGAAATCCGCTTATTTGTCAGAGCATACTTTAAAAAGCACGCAGATATTGAAAAATTTACCAATAAGAATTCAAAAATACAAAGACTCACCGGTACCATCCATGGTACAGATGCTGAATTCAGCATTCTCAAACTCATTAGGCTAACTGCAAATTCCAATCCATTATTTTATTGTAGCTCTTGTCATATGCCCTTAATTCTATATCCATTTTTGCACTTGTCATTATTGTTCTTTTTTAATATACACGGGGACGAACGCCCGTTGTTAACATTGTTTTCTTCTTGCTGTTTTAAGTTTTAATTTATTGATTAATCTTTAATTTGAACTTAAAGGGAATATACATCATTTGCTTTTGCTGTAATTTTCAGAAATGGATGGAATTGGGGGGTTGGAAATATATAGCAAATATAGTTACACTGACTTTTTTGAGGTTTTGGGTTCGAAAATCCTATAAAACCAAGAAAAAAACGATCATTTTCCTGTAGTCTGGTTCCCTGACTCCATATAAGAAGAAACAGAGCAGTTTACATACATTGGGGAATTGTAAGGTCAGGGAACCAGTCTAGCTGGCTCGTACCCGTTCATAGGTTTGTAATCGATTGCAAACAAGTGCGATGGTCAATTGGGGCCAGTATTTGAAAAAAAGCCAGTTGTTTCCAACGCTGATCGGCCGATCAGCGTTGGAAATTGATACAAAAATACCACTTTTCTTGAAAATGACAATATACCAGGTGCCATGATTTTACAGGATGCTTTACACTGTCATTCACTAACAGTCCAGCAAGGTATTTCAAAATGATTTGGTAGTTTTATTTTTTGATGTTTGCAAATGTTGTATTTTCCCTTTAATTTAAATTTTAGAATGCTTACGTTACAGCTTGGTATACATTCGTAAATTTTATCGTAATATTGCAAAACCGAATTATTTTAGTCTTTGACTTTTTATGTGTAGTGGTATTTTTTATCAAATGAAAACCAAAATTTATTTAAACTGAAAAGGTGTTTTTCCAAGCACCTTTGAAGATGAAAATTTAGGCCTTTTGTACCTGAACAATGGAGAGCGCACTTTCTTGATTAGTCTGGTTACATGTTTCGATTTACATGCACTATGAAGGCTAATGTTTAGGATCAATGACCCACATGCGATTAACTTCAGCATAGACGACTGTCTGTCGCAAACATTATACCTAAGGGGCCATTAAAAATGTTCAATGATTTTGAATTTTGATTTTTTTCAAATTGTGGGTGGGTGGGTCAAGGTTAATAATTAAAAATCCAAATTCAGCTTTCATTAAGAACAAACGTAAAAACTAAACTAGATCTTTTGACTTGCCTGTACTACGCGCGAGCGTTCCGATTCGCGTTTCTTGTCCAACTACGTCCCCATATACAGACAATGACCTCTGCACATTAAATAGCGCCCGCTAGCGCTGCATGTATATAGCGCATAATGAACAAAAACATGGCCGCCATCATGGATTTATGCGAAATGCTGGCAGTCCTCGCAGTTTGGACGGAGCAAAAGCCGATCATGAAAAATCCATGTTCGTCGTAAGAACATTTTGATCATGCGTCCAGTTTGCCGTCCCAAAGAAACAACTTTTGCCACCACTCCGAAACGACATGCCTGTCGTACAGGAACGCCAGTGGAATGATGAGTTAGGCCTTTCGCGTATGATTTTTTTGGTAGTTATTGTTACGGTCCTTGCTCTTTAGTTTGGGTCACGTCTTTCCTCCATGATTAAAATGAAATATTTCTTCATCATTCAAATATTAATTTTAGAAGACTTTTTGGAATTGTGGAACACTTGTCCCCAGGGGTGAAAGTGTACTGTTATACGGACTCCTACTTAGTCCAGTTTGCAAATGAGGTTCATAGATACGAAATGAATTCCGAATTCTGAAACAGACTTCTTCATTGAGATTACTTTTAGAACAACTTTTGGAAAAAATGTTTCAACCTGACGCCACTTTTTCTTCATTATATCATCTCAATGAAGGTCAGTCATTGCAAAAATGATGATAAGACATGAATCTGGGACTGAGAAACATTTCCAATCTTTTAAAGAAATACTTAGAAAATTTGTTTTGACTCTCCATACACTTTGTACACAACCGCTGAAGTGGCGTCAGGTTGCAAAGTTTTCCCCAATTGGGATCAGTTAGTTCTATGAAGAAAATGCGACGTTCTCACAAGTTATTTTTTGTATTTTTGTGTATTTATTATTTTTTTTTTACAGAGAGGCCTAGGCTTAAACTTTAAAGACGTACGAGTAACAACATACATTTTGTTCCCTTAACGGAACGGGGCCCGACACTACACCGTTTTACTATGTTTTGTTATTTGGCCTGGCAATACGGATTTTTTTTAGGGTTTACCGTCCAAAATCCTTGTACTTAATGTAACCTTTTCCAGATGATTTAAATTTTTGTTATTTTTAGTTTATTTTATTAAAAAAAAGGTTCATTTTAAATTTGTATCTTAACGTCACGAAGCCATGGGACAGATCTAGCCTATTATTACTTTAAACAAATGAACTCACTGGCATGCGGGCAGGGAGGTTCGTTTGAGAACCACCCTCCCCCAATCTCTCACCCAGCGTAAGGGATTGGCACGTATTATTATTATTTGTTTACAATTGTCATATTGCCTTATTTCATGTAAAAGTCTTCACCTCAGCTAAATTGTCACTTCTAGAAATTCCGTTATATTTTTCTTCGTATGGGCTTTTTGAGTATAAATATACACGAACAATTTGACATTTAATAACATTTTGCCAGAGATTTAAGATTCTCAATAAACAAACACATGAATCCCAGATTTCGTATAATATCTCTAAAACGTAATTGAAACTTGACTCAGGCGTGGATACAGGCCTACATTTCAAATGGGTTTCTTCATGATGTCATTTCCTGTCCCTGTTTAAAGGAGACCTATAATTATGTGCAAACATGTAGTTAATTTTCTTGAACAATAAGAGATTAATTTTAACCAATAAATAAGGCCAATATCTTATACAGGCAGTACAAATCTTTAATTCCCTCTTAGTTTTGCGTGGCAAGGTAATTCCCAAAGTTTTAACAATCTCCTGCGTGGTGTGCAGCGATTTCCTGACGGATAACAGACGGAGAAATAAACATGGCACCCTCCATACTGCTGTTTTCGTGTGATAAAAACTGAATAAAACGATTGCACTATATGGATGAAATTAGATTGGAAGTATGTTAAATAGTAATACTTCCTGCGTCTGACAGTGTAAATGTAAATTCTATTGCAATTAATTCTAGGTCAGGCCCTATTTTGTGTAAAGTGACCAGAATATTTCGCTTGTTTTTGTACTGCATAAATAATAAGAGAACGGTGGTGAATGTTTAAATAAAAAAACAATAGGTTCCTCTCACCGTACGGTATCTAATTATCGCAAATCCAAGGAAAATGTTGTGATATAAAATCATACAGTTTGAGCTATTTCACGAATGTATTTTAGCTTTCCGTTATAATGAACACTCCATTAAGTTACACTAGTAACGCAGAACGCATCCAAAGCTATTCAGGGAGTTAGTAATCGCGGAAACCTTTGTGGCAGCGCTCCTCGGTTTGTCTCCAATCTAATTCAGTTTGTAAACAAATGATCGTACCAATTAAATTGCAATCTAAATCAATAAAATCTTATGAGTCTGTACAATATACTTCAATGTATTAACTTACCCGTATGCGTGAATGTGCTGAGATCTCCATCCACAGCTTTCCCTGCCACGTAAGTTACGTCATCGTTATCTGGAGCAGTTGAGCTCTGAGTGGCCGGTTTCCCAGTCACATTCAAGGATACCACTGTGGGTTCAAATATATAGGACAAGAATGAAATGAGCGAGTGAGTGGGTGATAGGCGGAGCCTTCACCCCCCCCCAAAAAAAATCCCCTTCATAAATACGTTGGTGACTTGAGCTATATACGACTTTTTACTTTTTCCTAACATTCTTGGATTTGATCTATATATAGTATTACCTATGAAAGTAAGTGAGCGAAGGAAATTTGCGGGTGTCGCCGGATCCATTAGAAGTATACACAGCTTGATTCGTGGCTTTAATGGGTATTTTTTTTGGCTTTGCTCATAGATGCTTTTTAATTTAATGTAACAAACCTTAAACGAAGCATCTATTAATCACGCGCGTATAATATTAATGCCAGTTATAGTGTCAAGTCATTCAGTAAAATATGTGCAAAAATGACAATGATCCCTAAAAAATCGTCTTGAACCAAATGCATGTGTCATGATTATAGAGTCCGAGTGCGCTTATTTGCAGGGCGAACATTTTAAAGCGGCAGATAACATATGTGAAATTACAGTAGGAAATCATCGAAGTATTCTGAACACTTCAGTGGGTCAAAATCTTATTAAATGTAAAATTGGATTTGAAAAGGGGAACCTTATAAAATTGTAACATTATCTGGTAGCCTACATGACAGGTATTCCGCAAGAAAAAAAATCAGAAAACAGAAAATATAATTTCTACCACGTAGTCACAGATAACGTATTGTATTTGAAACGATGGATTTTTAAAACAGAGGAAACGATCTTAAAGAGAAAGTCAATTTTAGCTTGCTTACCTCCGCTGAGAAGACAGGCGTCCATCAACAGCAGCATCACACCGATACGATCCGAGCGTAAAACCGACGCCATTGTTAGGCCTACTCATATAGGCCTACACGAAGTTCTGTTATTTCAACGTTCTACCTCCGAGCCCAGTCAACAACCCCTGTTTACTCAAGCGTGGCGTAGCTAATACTGCTTTCAAAGCCTTTTAAAACCTTTCTTTGTATGCAAGTTCACATCAAGGGGAGCTTGGATCATTTTGCTGCCGTTCATACACTGCTGCTCGTTAAAAGTGACTGTGTATTTATTGTGTGGAGTTCCATAGCATGGACAGCAAATAATGCCTCAGTTACTTCCTGGTGAACCGAGCACAGTTAGTTCCTTCTATCTAAACATCTCATTAAAATCTGAGAACCACCAAAACCATAACTTGTAAAAGAATGAAAAATGAGTGAAAATTCGACAGGAATGAAAATCACGTCGTGCATGTCTAGTAGCATAACAAACAATACAAGCACTTAAAAGTCAACTCATAATTATTTTGATTCAAACCCTTAGTTTTGAATTAGGCCTGAAAATTGCGTATGCTGATCGCAAGGAAATCTCATTGTCGCGGGCTATGCATTAAAATACGTGCAAGGTGAGGTGAATATGTAGGCCCTATCTGTAACTTAATAAAGAGAAAAATTACCCTCTCAACATAAAAGTAATTGTTGTGCACAATGTTTTTACCTCTTTCTGCCTTTTAATATTCTAAATGTAAATTTGCCCACAATATAGCCTTCTGGCTGCGATGAGAGAGTGAAATCAACCATTTAATAATAATAATAATAATAATTATACGAAAGCGACGAGTTAAACCCTGTTGTATTTCAGAACCACTTCGGTCTTTGAAGAGCTCATTATAAGAAAATTAAAAGTCAAACACTGAATAACATTTTGCGATTTATCTGAAACTAAAATTGACAAAGGCGCATTAAAAAAAGGGATGGACTTCAGTAAAAAGTGATCATAAATTTTTTGACATTTTGCGACCGAGAGACGTAAATGTTTTACTTTGAAAATATCCTGCACCGCCAACGCCGCCTTTAAAAGGAAAAACCCACTAATGATAAATTAAATAGTATCTTTAATAATGTAACTACATGTATCAAGGAGGGGAAATTCACAGTTCTCACCACGTGTGTCATATCCAAGTAGAGTTGGCAAACGTCATTATTTAATTACAAACCAAAACCAAAAGTGACCTTAACCCTGTACAAGAAAGCAAACACCAAGTCATGTTTACTTCTGCTCGGAAGTAAACCTAGTTGAGACAAGTCTTCAACATCCTTTTGGATTCGTTCCAATTGTAAACACAGTGTTTCCCCGCAGAATTTACAATTATTGTCCTGATTCTGTGGTTTTGGGGTTAGTGTTCGGTTTTATATATTGTGTTTTGTTTTGTTATCTTCATATTTATGTACGATACAAATCACATTTATAACAATAAATTAACATTGCAATCTGTTTAAATTAAACTTGTCTCTTTTGTTAATTTAAGTTGTAATATCATTGTAAGTGACCAACATGTAATTTCAACAACTCATTAATGGCCTGATAAAAAGCTCTCTTTTCGTTGATATACCAACAACGATCATTTTTGGCACTATATTCATAAACCGATGCATTTTTGGGTGGTTTTCCTTTGTTATGATTCTTTTCTTTAATTACGACTTTTTTGTAAGGAAAACAATATTGCGGTATATTTTAGGAAATTTTCCCGCACAAAGAGAATCAACGCTCGTTATATTTCCAATAAGGAAATATGGCTGTATATTGTACTTTTGACTGGGAAGTGCCGTTATTATATCTTAAATTTTGTAACTTGATTTAATTTTGTAACTATATCATAAACTGATGCATTTCTTTGTGGTATTGCCGTATCATAATTTATTTCTGCAATGAGGGTTTTTTGGTAAAGAAAAATGCATTGCGGTTATATTTTAGGGCCATTTTTTTCTTCGCAAGGGGAAGCAATGCTAGTTTCACGTCGAATAAGGAAATATGACTGTATATTTTATTCATCTTATATTTGTAACTTGATTTATTGTGCTAAAAGTTAATCTGGATTGCCCATTAACTTTAACTGAGTTAAAGACAACACATTCCAGCCTAGGCTTTAGATTACAATTGTGCCTTGGTTCTAGAATGAGAGTTGTCCTTTGCGGATACAAATAAATTCACTTCCGCCATCAAAACCGATTTGGTTATGGAGTGGGATAAAATGAGCTAGCAGAACACTTTTACATGGTACTTACACCTTTTGATTAACACATTACCACATTTTATTTATCAATCTGTGTACATTGCTTATCTTGAAAATTCCCGAAGAATTTAATGATATAAAGCCTTCTCAATTAAAATTTAAAAAAAACACAACGAATTAAACCATTTATTGAATCATTAGACTGAGTATCCAGTGCAGTATTATGATTAGTGACAAACATAACATTAGGATTAGTTACAAACTATATGTTTGATAGTTTATACACTATTTTCACAAGAAACAAAAGTCGTTATCCTTTCTAACAAAAGCTAATTCTCCAAATAAACGAATGAAACAACATACAAATATATCAAGGGATGTAGTTGTAGAGTCCATCGCAAGCCCAGTCACAAGTAAATCGGAAGTCTTGTCACAAGTTATAGTGGATGAACAATCACTGCGGAATGACTTTGCAAAAGCTTATTTGAAAAGGTTGTGAGTTGAATTTGGACTAGAGGACTTCTGATGAACCTATATAGACTTGTGGACTGACTCAACATCCCTGAATAATCTGGGCGATAAAATATTCGGCCACGTGAACTTCGCTCAGACACAGTGTTTTAATTCACACTGTATAATGATATCTTTAGACTTGTTTGGGAACATATAATCAATAACTAAATAATATTTCAATTTAACCAACGCCATATGACAATCTGATATGTTTTTGGTGTGCAGGTGAATAATATTTGAAGAAGTTTATCTGTTATTAGTACATATGAGAACATGTAAACCAAAGTACACACACAAAAACGTTTTCAATGGAAATCTTTACGCACAAAAGATTGACAACGTCGGCTTAAAAACTCATAATCTAAGTATATTAGAATTAAAAAAAAATGATTTTCACAAGGGTTTACAGTCATAAGCCACTTTATCCCTTACATTTCTTGAGTGCACTACGTACTTTAGCAGTATAGAATATGGACTTCAAAATAATTTTTGCAGTTCTCTAAGAATATGCTATTTTGGTTCTTCTTTAATTGAATTAACAATAAACTAACTCCGATGCTCTGGTTTCAGAACCGACTGGAGCAAATCACAGGGCATTGTGCATTTCGTGTAAACCCCTTTTTGAGGGCTAGTCTTTGAAAACATTTTGACAACAAAATATTATGCAATCGAGAAAATTACACTCTACAGACACTTGTACTGCCGACTGTAACTTACAAACGCCACAGTGAATTACGTCTGCTGTAGGCCTAAACTTCAGTCTGCATTTAGAGCAGGGAAAAAACCCGATTAATTAAACACTTGTTGCATTTATTTCCGCCATTATTAGTGGGACCGATACTTTGAACGGGACATTTTCAAGCACCATTGATCTCTTTATAAGAGTCACGAGTTTTGTACCGCGGTTGTCATATAAAGGATTAGTCTTTTTTTTTATAGAGAATCTCGTAGACAACGGACGAGTCCAAGTTAGTCTGGAGCCCGTGTGTCCTTGTAACACGGAAACGATACACATATAAAAATACAATTCGGTAATTAAGGCCTCCTTTTGAAAAGCAGGATACATAATAAAACTCTCGATCGATAATCTTTTGAATTGCTCTGCGTTGATAACGTGCATTTGATGTCCCCGTCATAGAAATCGAGGAACTGTCTTAAATGGTTTCGACCACGAGGCAAAACCACAACGGAAACACAAATAGATCATTTGTAGCAGATAAAATGTAAAAACAAAACACTCGACTAGGCTGAACATTAACCTTTTGCAATATGACTGACATAATATGAGGGCGCTAAATATTTGGAGTAGATAAATTCCGGTAAACAAAAAAGCCACTAAAAATGGCGCCCTCCTGTTGAACCCAGCATATCTAAAAAAGGCTCATGTGTATTTTAGAAGTAATGAATAACTGAGAACAATTTTAGTTTTACTCCATTAGACAAAAATGATCACCCCTGGAACTTTTCCTGAGCCCTTTGCCATTTTGAAAAACTATGCCTACGCTTAATTGCAGAATAAAGCAAGTGCGGTCCCATTTTCATCTAAATTTCACAAAAATGCAAGCTCGCATATCTATCTAAATAAATGGAACCATAACAATTTATATACTAATGTATAATTGTTAATTTAACGTGTAAGCAAAACTGTTTCACAGAAATTGCAGTAAAGTAACATACTATTCCTACAAAATTTCAGTAAATTTAATGCATCCGACAGTGATTTTGGAGAAATTCCGGAGATGGTTAAGGTTGGTTTATAGATGTATATGGTTAACGTATACTACGAAAGTGCTTCAACTGTTCACACCATTGTACGTGACTGATATACTTCAATTCCGAAACTCACCCCCTCCTTATTTATCTTCGTATTCTCCAACCTCGACCTCACACATGGCCAGGATCTTGTTGGTACCAGGTAGATCCACGCTGACGTAGCGGGCGTTAACCACTGGGTCCACTGATATCTCAATCGGTCTCGTTTTATCGGTGGTTTGCTGAAGTGTGACTTTTCCTATCATTCTGTTTGATAGGCGATCTGGATTCAACCCAGCTCGTACTTCAGCACCTGCCAAAAAATTAGCTGTAGTGTGGAAAACAAATGATGAGTTTGATTTTATATTATAGTCGGCTGAAACACATTTAGTCTTATTCATTTCGAATGAAGGGGGGGGGGGGATTAAACCCAACAATTTAGCTCTAAACCAAAACACAAAATTCGTATGTGCTTGCATTAGACCTTAAAACTGAAACTAAAAGCAAGGCAATATCCTTAACATTGTTGTATTTGCACATTTTTTTTTTCATTTGATACAAAGTTGTGGGAAATATTACAGCCTAAATGAAAAAGGACTATATGTTTAATATACAGTTGAGGAATTAAGTTCTGATGTCGAGTTCGTGTTCATGATTTTGACCCCTTGCCTTTTCATTTGTAGAGTGTATCTACTGCAGTCGGATTGGAAACCTGTAAACTATTCATTAACAAAATGATCTTCAATTTTAAAATGCTCGAATATCATTTTAATACGCTTTATGGCAGTATTACCATTGTTTTGTCTGTTGTATATGGTGACATTTCTCAAGCAGTAGACATCTTCTAAGTCCAGTCTCCACCATGGATCTGTCTTCTGTTCCGCTGTAAAATAAGCTGTGGATAGGTCAGAGAAAGACGCCACTTAGTAGGGTTCAAAATGCCGCCGGTAATCCTTATGACTGCACATGTGACATCACCACTTGGTGTTTACATATCGTGTGAATGTAAAACCTGTACAAGTGTTTATAAACGGGAAGCACTACGTGTATGGGGGTACTGGCGCGATACAGAAATTTAAAGTAGAATACCACACGCACGGTTCCGATTTACATGACCTGTAAATGCTAAATTTTAGTACTTCTGACCCATATGTGATTATAGCAGACGACAGTCCGTCGGAAACATTAAAAACAAAGTGAAAAATCCTTTTTTTCTTACATACATTTTAACAAAAGGTTTTTTATTAAGAGCAATTAAAGTTTGTAAGTGTGTTCACATTAATGCATTCGACGAGGTTGTAGTCTCCTTCAAGACGGAATTCCATACATGGTACTTCGGAAAGGATAGTCAGGACGGTACCCCCCCATGTCCAATTGCGGAATTGCCGCGTTGTATTTTTTTCTGGTGATATTCACGGGGAACCGCAACACTCAAACTGAATTTAGGTAATTTAGTTTAGGGAAACAAAACAGAAGATGTAGTGATGAATTAACAACACATAGTGGCATTGCATGGCAACAGACAGCTCAAGATTGAGTGAGATGGAAAATTGGTCAAGAGGCTTTCCTTCTGCAGTGGAACGAAATAGGCTAGACAGACAGTTGCTTTTGTAAATCCACAACTATGGAATAAGAGACAACGCCTTCAATTTTTCTGTGAAGGTTAAAAAAAATAGGGGTCTAGAAAATATTAGAGGTTCCAAGACAGGTTTTAAGTCTACCCTGTTTAAAACTTACCTTAAACTAAAGGGATGGGGAGGGGTCTGACTGGATAACAGGTTATGCAGGTACGCAATTTTACTCTTGTTAACAAGTACTATAGAAAAATAGGGTTTACATCATCCTAAATTCTTGTACTTAAGTTAGCCCTTTCTTGATAATTTTTTTTTTATGTGTCTATTTTAAATATGCATGTAAAAACCATGAAGCCATGCAACAGATGTAGCACATTATTACTTTAGGTAAATAAACTGAAAAGGGGTCAGGGAGGTTTGTTTGAAACCCCCGTCCCCTCCCAGCGTGAGGGATGGAACTGAGGGGCACCTATATATATTTGTTTGTTTACAATTGTCATATTGCCTAATTTCTTTCCACCGACTAGGAATGTCATTTTTTATTCCTTACTTTAGACTGAGTATAGGTATATAAAGTTTTGACATAACGTTTTGCCAAAGACTTAAATGTCTCAATAAACAACACATGAATCCCAGGATTCGGATAATATCCCTGAATCTTAAGTAAAACTTGACTCAGGCCTGTATGCGTGGATACACGACATTTCAAATGGGTTATACTTCGTGATGCCATTTCTCGCCCCTGTTTTAAGGAGACTATGTGCAAAATGAACGGTATTTACTTCCTAATAGCATCAAGTGTTCCAACAATCATCAATAATTTTTAAGGGCAGTGAAAGAACATTTCCCTTCTTAGTCCAATTTTTAAACAGCCGAGGTATCATTCTTTGATACTTCCTTTGTAATTTTATTGATCTTTCTTGGTAATGTACACATTTGTTTATTTTTGTGTTTGTAAAGACCTGGAATGGAAATAAGACGTCTTATGAACAACTTTTTTGGTTATCCTTGGGTTTGTATGTACATGTAATAAGTTCATATTTTGTGTATCCCTGCATGTTTGTTCTTATGTGCCAAAATTAATGAAAAAAATAAATAGGCCTACATAAATTAAAAAGCTTTAGTTTATTGAGCAATAAGTGATTTATTTTAACCAATATTCAAAGGTTAATATCTTATTCAGCTAGTTAAATCTCTACTTTCCTCTCAGTTTTGCGCGGCAAGGTAATTCCCAAATGTTCTAAGTATTGATAAAAAAGCAGTCTGATTTGACCAGCCGTTTGACCAGTCTCCTGTGTGGCCTGAACCGATTTAAAACGCAAAGGTAAACATGGCTGTTTTAACGTGATGAAAAATTGAATAAAAGCGATCGCACTATTTGGATGTAATTAGATTGTTAGTATTTTAAACAGTGATACTTTCTGGGCCTGGGTTAAAATAAATTCTATTGCAATTAATTCTAAGTCAGGCCTTAAGTCTGTGTAAAGTGACCAGAATATTTCGCTTGTTATGTACTGCATAAATTAAGGAAACGGTGGTGAATAAAAACAATAGGTTCCTCTCACCGTACAGTATCTAAATATCACAAATCAAAGTTAATTGTTGTGATAGATAAAAACCATAGATTTGGAGCTATTTCACGGATGCATTTAAGCTTTTCCGTTATGCTAAACAATACGAGTTACACTTGTAACCCGAATGAATCTAAAGCTATTCACACGGTGAGTCGTCGCGGAAACCATAAGGTTTCTAAGATCGTCGTGGTTACCATTCGCATCTCAAATATGATTCCGTTTGTAAACAAATGATCGTAGCTATTACATTGCAATCGAAATCAATAAATCTAACGATTTTATACAGTATTCTAGTAATTGACTTACCCGTATGCGAAAATGTGTCAAACATTCCATCCACAGCTTTCCCTGCCACGAAAGTTTCGCCAATGTAAACTGGAGTAGTTGAGCTCTGAATGGCCGGCTTCCCAACCACATTCAAGGATACCACTGTGGGCTCAATTATAGGATAAGAGTGATTACGTAAATAGGTTGGTGAGTGGGTGACCGGGTGAGCTTTATCCCCCAAAACTTCCAAAATACTTTAGGGGAACTTGAGCTATATTCGTCAGTTCACTTTTTCCTTCAATTGTCAGAGTTAGTCTGAGTGCGACTTCTGAAACAGGGTGAGCAAAGAAATAGCGGGTGTCGCCGGATCCATTAGAAATAAACACAACTTGTTTCGTGGCTTTATTGGGAACGTTTTTGGCTTTGCCCATAAATATTTTTTTAATTTAATATATTAAACCTAAAACAAAGCATTTGCATCAAATGCGTATAATATCAATGTGTCAAGTCATTCAGTAGTACGAACGAAAATTACAATGATCCCGTAAAACAATCATCTTGAACAAATACATGTGTCAGGATTGTGGAGCCCGAGCGCGCATTGTACGCATGGGAGAACATTTTAATGCGGCCGATACCGTCTGTGACAGTAGGAATATGAATTTATCAAAGTATTCTAGACACTTGATCAGTGGTTCCAAACTCTTAATGAATTTGCAAGGGGTACAATCCTAACGTTATCGATTGCATGAAAAATATTCCACAAGAAAAAAAATAGGAAAGAGAAAATATAATCTACCACGTAGTCACAGATAACGTATTGTATTTGAAACGATGAATTCTTAAAACAAAGAGAAAATCTACTCGAGGAAATCAGCTTTTAGCTTGTTTACCTCCGCTGAGAAGACATGCCTCCATCAACAGCAGCAGCACACCGATAAGATCCCAGCGTAAAACCGACGCCATTGTTAAGCCTGCTCAAGTCCGGTCAGCAACCCTTGTCGTTTTCCCCTCAAATGTGGCTTAGTTAAATACTGTTTTCAAAGCCTTTTCAAACCTTTCTTTGTATGCAAGTTCACATAAATGGGAACTTGAATCGTGCTGCTGCCGCTCATATACTGCTGCTCGTTAAAAGTGACTGTGTATTTCATGTGTGGGGTTCCATAGCATGGACAGCAAATAATGCCTCAATTACTTCCTGGTCGACTGAGCACAGTTAGTTCCTTCTATCGAAACATCTCATTAAAATATGAGCACCACCAAAACCATAATTTGTGAAAGAAATAATGAATGAACTTAAATTCGACAGAGGTCACAGTCACATGGTGCATGTCTAGTAGCATAACAAACAATACAAGCACTTAAAAGTCAACTCATAATTATTTTGTTTCGTGAACTTATAGTTTTGAAGTCCAGAAATCGCGTTGCGGGCTATGCATTAAAATACTCGCAAGGTGAAGTAAATATGTATCTGTATCTTAATAAAAAATAACTTAATAAAAACAAATGTTTTGCAAAATGTTTTACCGCTGTCTGCTTTTTAATATTTTAAATGTAAATCTGCCCAAAATTCAGCATTCTGGCTACGATGAGAGTGAAATAAATTATTTAATAATAATAATTACACGGAAGCGATGAGTTAAAACCTGGTGTATTGTAGAACCACTTTGGTCGCTGAAGAGCTTGTTACACGGAGCGTTCACTTCATTTTCATTATTAGGAAATTAAAAGTCAAATATTTCATAACATTTTGCAATTTATCTTAAACTGAAATTGACAAAGGGTCATTAAAAGTGATGGACTTTATTAAATAGTGATCAAATAGTGATAATAATTTCTTTTGACCTTTTGCGACTGAGGGACGTAAATGTTTCACTTTGAATTTTATCCTGCACCGCCAACACCGCCCTTTAAAAGAAATAAAAACCACACGAATGATAAATTAAATAGTATCTATTATCCCCGCATGCTACCAAAGACACAAGAGACCGGCATCAGAGGCTGCACACTCAGCATTCGTTGTTACCTGTGGCCTGAGCAGCCATTTATTCAATATGCCAAACATCATGTTCCCGCCCGAAGCTGACAGCGCAGAACTGCAATTTTATTTGGCAATAACGTAAACGGTTTTCCCGCCCGAAGCTGATGGCGCAGAACTGCAATTGTACATAACAATAATTTTAAAGATTGTTCAGCATTATTCTCACAGATTGTTCCCGCCCGAAGCTGATAGCGCAGAACTGCAATTATCAATATATCACAGATTGTTCAGCAATATTAGCACAAATTGTTCCCGCCCGAAGCTGATAACGCAGAACTGCAATTATACTTAACAAGTATAGTTAAAACAATCTTGTCAAAGTGTGCTCCCCTCCAAAGCTTGATAGCAAAACCGCAATTATAAGCAATAGTCCTAAACTACTAATACTGTTAATTCCGGTCCGAACTGGTGACGCGGAACTGCAATTGCCATGAGCAAGATAATTAAGATGCAAAACCAGAATCAGTAATGGTACACAATGCAACCGTCATTAGCTGAGTACACAAATACCACGAGCAATATAATAAGAAACAATTAATAATCCATTAAACCACATCAGAATGGCCAACTATTAAAAGCAATATCTTAATACCAAAAGCAATATTTGTGAGGCCGTGTTTCGGCATAAGCTTGTTGGCGATATTGCTCAAATAATGATATATTAACTTCAAGTGTAACTGATGTATAAATCAATCAACAAAATAGGTAATAGTACAGACTGCCTTTTGTGATTAATCCCGTAATCATCTTGTGCCTGAACCGACAAAGGCAGGGGTCAAGTGCTTTGCCCGCAAAATCCCTGAAGCATCATAAAAAGTGAATAAAATGGCCAAAACTGAGGCCTATTTGTGGTCTCGGAATGGAAATCCCGCCAAACGGACATGCTGCGGACGGAGGTCCGCAACATGACCGCCGCTAAATAGCCTCAGGTCACTCCCCTTGTGGCCACAATGATTTAAGTGCATGAACTTGTTCACTTTTATGGAACTTGTAACTGAAAGTTCGAGCACACGGTCACTTTTGCTTGAGCAGCCGCGCGGTTAGAAGAACACTTTACAGGGAACCAAAATATTTTGAATAACACATTACCACATTTTATTTCTGAATCTGAGTACACGTCTTGTATTGCAAATTTTTCAATACCGATAAAGTAATGATATAAAGCCATTATGACTTAGTAATCAAAACCAAACGGATGAAACCATTAATTAAATCAATAGACTGAGTATCCAGTGCAGTATAATGATTATAGATACCCATAGTCCCACAAATCAAGAAGTGAGGAAGTTATAACTAGGCCTACATGTGTGTAGTTATAACTTCTTCGTTATTTGCATGGCATTTTTGAATCTGATTACATTGCGTAATTAGCAAACTTCCGAATAATTATACTGATGAATTAAAGATAAACTAAAATTCTGTAATGGAAAACATTCTATATATTCAGTGTTAAATGAAATGTATACCCATATTCAGACAAAATATGAAGTGGGTTAGTGATAAACTACATGAGGTAGTTTATAAACTGTTTCCATAAGAACCCAAAGCTGATATGCTGTCTCAAAAAAGCTACTTCCTTTTGTAGCTGCCACACTATACTTAAAATTTTACCTATAAACACATAAATTCAACCAACAATTTTGTATGTTTTCGGTGTGCAGCTGAGTAAACATTTTAAGATTTGTATTTGTACCCGTGGGAAAATGTAAACCAAAGTAATACATCAACAAAACATCTTTTTTAATGGAAACCTTTACGTACACACATGTAAATAAAGTTGGTTTAAGATTCAGTATCTGGGTACATTATAATTCTTTAAAATGATTTCCACAAGGTTTTATAATCCCAAACTATTTATTCGCTCACATTTCTTGAGCGCAAGACACTAGCAGTAGCATCTGGACTTCAAAATAATGTTTCCGTTCTGAGCAGTTTTCTAGTAATCATCAGTTTTCGTGTAAACCCGTTTTTGGAGGGATCGCCCTTAAAAACATTTGGACTACAAAATATTTTGCACTCAATAGATGCCAGCTTGTAGCCGACAAACACTGCAGGGAATTTTATCCGAAAAAACTAATGCAAGCCTAACCAACGTCTGTCTGCATGCAAAGCATGAACAGTAGATTAATCAAACACTTCTTGCATTTATTTCCGCCATTATTAGTACGACCGATACTCTTAACAAGACATTTCCAATGACCATTGATCTACTTTATAAGAGTCACAAGTTTTGTGCTGTTGTCACACGACGAACTAGTCATGTCTTTAAAAGGTCTCGTAGACAACACACGAGTCCAAGTTGGCCTTATTGAAGCACACCGCATAGTGTTGCTCAACACGGAAACGATACACACATAGAAATTGCAACTTAGTAATTAAAGCCTACTTTTGAAAAGCTGGGTACATATTGAAAGTCCAGATCAATAAAATATTAAAATGCTCAGCGTTCATTACAGGCCTTTGATGGCGCCGTTCAATCTATCCCGGAACTTAATTTAAACGGTTAAGACCTACGAGGCAAAACCACAACGGAAAAACAAATAGATATAGCAGACAAAATGAATGTAAAAACAAAACACTCGACTAGGCTGAACATTAACCTTTTGCAATATGACAGACATAATATGAGGGCGCTATATTTTTGGAGTAGATAAATTCCAGTTAATAAAAAAAGTCTCTCAAAATGGCGCCCTCCTGCTGAGTCCAACATATCTCAAAAAGGCCAATGAATGTTTTAGAAGTAATGAATAACGGAGAACAATTTTAGTTGTACGTTTTTAAGACAAAGATGATCACCCCTGAAGCTATTCCTGAGCCTCTCGCCATTTTCGAAAACTATGCCTACGCTTAATTGCAAAATAAAGCAATTGCAGGGCCTAATTTCATCTAAATTTCACAACAATAAATATATCTAAATAAATGGAACCATAAATGGAACCATAACAATTTTAAATAATAGGATATTAACCAAATTAACATTTAACGCATATAAACGTATAATTGTAAACGTGTAAGTAAAATTGTTTCACAGAAATTGCAATGAAGTAACAAACTATTCGTACGAAATTTTAGTAAATTGTTTTATGCATCCAACAGCTGTACCATCCATAGGCAAAATATACAGCAAAACAAGCTACTAAAACAAAATCTTCGAGCAATGTGCTATAAACATTCGTGTGATCATGTGCTATTTGTTTTTCTGACAGAAAAACGATATACCATTAACGTATTATACTTGTTTTGTTATCACTTCCAAGTCTTTTAGAACACACTTTAAAATAAAATCCGTCTAGTGTATAACCATTGTGCCAGTTACAAAGCACTTGAGCTGGGCTAAACTCAAGCCCCAACTCAAAGGCCCCCCCCCCCCGCCGCAGGATAAAGATTCCCAATAACCCTCCTGAAAAAAAAAACAAATAAAAAAAACAACACAATCAGAAAAACAAAACCAGGATAAGCAGTCAAGGATATTTGAATCGCATTTCCAATCTTTATCGCAAGGAAGATTTTGCACCATCTTTCTAGTTATCGTCAAACTCTGGCTTGATCACGTGAATCTCGTAGATATGAGGTGCCATGTAGATCTGAAAGTTTAACCAAACGTGAATTATATTTATAGAGTTGCATATTGTTATTTGAATAACATATTCAAAAAAGAAGAAGAACAGTTTTGTGAATTATTTTAAACTCTCGTGAAATTCAGCGAAAAGATAAACATGTAGCACACATTAATACACTTCTCTAATAAGACTTGGGGGAAGTTTTGGGGACAAACGCAATACACGTACGTTCTCATGTGATGGATCGTTCATGTTCTCGAGCGCCTCCGTAATTTCTTTGAAGCTGGGGCGATGGCTGGGTTGTGGTTGCCAACACTTCATCATCAGATCGTAGCTAGAGAAATTAACAACACATAAACCTTGGATTGTTTTTTGAGTTTTTGCAAAGGATGTAAACTTTTGTTCTTTTTAAGCTGCCTTGTATAGGCACGTTTAATCCACGTTTAGCAAGCAATTGTTTAAAATAAAATAATTAAAGTAAAAAATGTCTTAATTACATTTCATCGGCACAGTTTTCCGGCTTGGGCATTCGGTAGCCTTCCTGCAATCGTTCGGCCAACAACTTGCTCTGAATTCCCGGATAGGGCGTCGCTCCTGCAATAACCAATCAATACAGTAAATGCTTAATGTTCTATACAGCAATATCAGTATCAGCACGCTTAAGCTACAGTGATCTTTATCCATCGAATGAGACTGTGATGAAAAAAAGAACGTTTTGTAGAATTGAGAAAGGGCGACAAGATCGCAAACTGAAGGTCAAATTTATTAATTTATATCACGGTTTTTCTGATAGTTTAAACTACGTTCAAGTAATAACCAAATGCGAAATAAACCCACAACCAAGTTGTTGTTCTTTACGTTAACTCTGTATAAGATTCTCCTGCTGGAATATATAAAGATCTCATACTTACCAAATGTGGCTATCTCCCACAGCACGACCCCGAAAGACCACCTGGAATAAGATTACCAAAAAAATCCAGGCATGAAAAACGTTTCATAATTCTCACCTAGAATGGAAATTACTAGGATACTTTTTATGAAATTAGTTTCAAAAGTCTTGAAATACTATGCAGATGATTGTACTTACACGTCGCTCTTAGATTGGAATACCTGGCGCGTCAAAGACTCGATGGCCAACCAGCGGAAAGGGACTCGGGTCTAATTCAAGACAATAGTTGTAAAACCAATTGAACAAAGATAAGAAAAATACTGTATTCATTTTATAGCTTTAGGATGAGTTAATTGATACTATCTTGCAACACTTGTGTAGTATTTGTTGTTTGTAAAGAGCTATAGTGATGTTGTGCTTATATAAACCTTGCCTTAAAGCGGTTCACATAATCGCTGTTCATGTGACTATTTATCGCAGCAGATCGAGATCAACGCATTGTAGTCTGTTCACTCTAAGAACTAAATTTATAGGCAATATTGGGTAAAATTTACTGTATTATATGGCATCATCATCATCATTATCGAACAGCCATAATACCTAGGGAATGACGTTTAAGTTCTTACCCCATCATGTTGATCAATTCTTGCCAAACCATTTATTTGTGGAGTTTAACATTTCAACATATATGTTTTGTTAACTTATTAATAACTTGAGTATTGAGAAAATGACAGCTTTACCTGCGATTTCTGAACATAGATGTCCTCTCCCCGAGATAGGCCGAAATCGGAAATCTTGGCAGTCAAGTCTTCTCCAAGAAGTATGTTCCTCGCAGCTAAGTCACGGTGAATTATCTATAGTACAAAAATATATTTACGATAATAATCAGCTAATTGCCACAAAATAACGCTTCTTTGATTTCGCAGCGCCTGAATGAAATACCTTATTTGCTCAAGATCGCATCGTTGAGATTTTAAATAACACCACACACGACACGACGTGTGGCAAAAATAGCCATTGGGTACAGCAGCTTGTAATATTTTAAAATGTACAGAATTGATATCTAAACCTAAAAACCCTTAATATGGGCATATTTCAATTTGATTGCAAGTCCCTACTCCATTGTCAGAGAGGTGATCCATTCCTCTGGCTATATCTATGCCGAATGTCAGTAAGTTGGAGGAAGTCAGCGGTAATATCCCATCATCCGACTTCATTGCCACCTGCTGCTTGGGGCGAGTACTCCTCAGGTAGTCACGCAGGTTGCCGTTGGGGAGATATTCAAGAGCGACGTACAAATTCGCTAGAATAAAGAAAGGAATTACTGGTCAGACTTTAATAAATAAATTGGAGGGCAAATCAAATGTCCTGCGTGCTAGTAATTACATAATGATATCCCAGATGTGTGGTTTTCCATGATCCTTTTATACTAGAGTCCAGTAAAAACATTAATTTATACTTTAAAAACAGAAACCAAAACCAATTACCATCTGATTTTTTTTACAGAATTATTGTGAAGTAATATTAACAATTTTTGTATAGAGGGATCGAATGATTGATAACACAATTGTACCTTCGTGCATACACGCGCCCATTAGAGCAACTACGTTAGGGTGTGACTTGATTCGAGCCATTGTCTTGAACTCGGCCAGGACGTACTCGGATGCAGTCGTTGTTGCAGCTGTAAAATGAAGAGACAAATCAAATTTAGACTCTCTTTTGCATTCCAGTGAAAGATTTTCCACAAGTCAAATATGACATGATCAAAATAATTAACGATTGCAAAATTAAGAGGATGGTGTTATCAGCCTCAGTGCCTGAGATCGAAAGTATTGTTTCTTTTACCTTTGAGAGTTTTGATGGCTACTCTAGTCAATCCTCCTTTGCTTTTGAGACGACCTGCTCTCACTTCTCCGAATTTTCCCTTGCCAACAACTTTGTCCTCAACCGTGAGGTTCTGCCATTGGATTTCAAGACCCCTGGCCCAGGCTGGTAAACCCAAGTCCTCGTATATGTCTTTTTCAATGTCGTTTTCTGCGATTGCTGACGTAATGCCGTGCCGGACAGCAGAAAGTTCCTATTTTGACCAGGAAATTGTTTTCAAATTATAAATGTTAAAATTCCACAGTAAAGAACATTGGTTGCGATTGTTTACCTTTCGAATTTTAAAGAACTTCATGTACACTTTTCCCTTACCATAATGAAAAGAAAACCTTTAACAGACTTACAGCCTTTAGACTAACAAATCACAAAGACTTACAATTTCTTGATCGTCAAGCAGCTTCGTTGAAGCACTGTCTCGGTCTCGTTTCCTCAACACTGCGCAGCCGATGATGACAGCAACAGCAACAGCTAACAGGACCCCGAGAACGATAGTTGCAATGACTGGTCCATTGTTCTGGGCATTGGTTGTACCTGATTGATACAGTAACTTGCGATATATAGCTGCATTCGCCTAATCATTATACTAGATTTTAAGGATATAAAATACGTGCACATAGTAGCAGTTTGTGATTCAATCTGTGGCATCCCGAAAGCTCACATTTGTCCCATTTTAGTCCAAGAGCAATTAATTCTAATAAAAAAGATGGAGCGGTGCGGACTTGAAGATCTTGAATTTAACAAGACATTCACCAACTATTCTTAGTGGGACGACCTCCTTATTAGTGCAGACGCCATACCACATGCTTGCTGTTGTCGGCTAGCCGGTTCGAGTCTGATGTGGCACTGCGTTCTGCAACTCAACATTTTGTAAAATGTGACGTTGCGTTCGGAAGATGTGAATCTTATATTGAGCTTTTCCCCACCACGAAGGAATATAAACATCGGACTCGAATCAGTCTATCAACCCCAATATAAGAGCCGACGCAAACATTCCTTCAAAATTACCTTGTAAAGTTTCTACTGTGATGGGCTCCGAAAAAGTCACCGAGGCTTCCTGCATTCAAAGAAAATGTAAAAACGTGTTCCATACAAAACGAACACTGATATTCCTTTTTTTTTAACAAGAGAGGATGCGCATGACATTTTGCTGGCAACCCGATAATACGAAGGTCCTATAGTCCGAAGGTTCCAAAATTCCATAAGAGGGGCTTCGTTAGTCCCAAAATGAAATGAGATTCGTAAATCCGAACATTTGATGTAATAGTCCGAAGGTTCATTAACCCGAAGGTTCATTAGTCCGAAGGTTCATTTATCCGAAACGAAACTTAGGCCAAAAAAAAAAGTCTCCGGTTTCTGGTATGGAACTTGTCCAAAAAGTGGTGCGGCGACGCGGCTTCTTTTTTTTTTTACCTGACTTTTTTGCTTCAAATGTCGGCTGATGACTGCAAATGGTGCCCGACTAAACTTAGTGCAAATATATGGCAGTCCAGAGAGGCCACATAAAGCTTATTCTCGATCATAACCCAATCTAAAAACACGTTAAAATTTTGCAGCAGCAGGATTCCAGTCAAATCAGTGAGTTTGGCGGTTTTGAGACATCATCTTTCATTGAAAAAAAAACCTTTTTCATTTTGCCGACGCGCATGGCTACGGCGACACGCGCGCATACCAGAAACCGGAGACTTTTTTTTTGTCGCCTTAGGTTCAATAGTCTGAAGGGTTCATTATTCCGAATTGACAATAAGGTTTGATAGTCCGAAAAGACTATAGGGTCCGATAGACCGAATCACTAGTGAGGTCCGATAGTCTGAAGTTTCAGACTGACGAACCGTATTGTCCATTCGGACTATCGAACCTTACTTTCCATTCGTATCAAACCTTATTGTCAATTCAGACTATGGAACCTTATTGTCAATTCGGACTATCGAACCCTACAGTGTATTCGGACTATCGCGCCCTATTCTCTCTTCGAACTATCGAACCTTCGGACTATTGAACCTTCGGACTAACAAACCTTCGGACTAACAACCTTCGGACTAATGACCCTTCGGACTTACCTTCGGACTATCGGTCTGTAACCGTCATTTTAACGGGCCAAAGCTGATTGAGATATTTCTTAATCTTGTTGTGACGAGAAATATGTCTATAAATAACGTACGAACATGGGAAAATGGTTTGGATAAAAGAACAAACCTGGTAGCCAGAACCGTTTTTCTTACCGTCTCAATTCCCCTGCAGACTGAGCCGACACGGATTGTGTAGACAAAGCCTGGATTTAGCGGTGCATTGAAGTAGCCTCCATACACGTTCTCATCACCGACTGTAAACTTGTCAGGAACGCTGTCTTTAGGCATTTCTGCTGCTATATAATCTGTTGAGTCCTCAAAATGATTGGGAAACAGCACCTGCCTTTTCTTCACAGATGGGGAGTCGGACTTCTTCACATGTACGATATATGATCTATAAACAAAAACAATCCTTTTGATTAAGAATAATCAGGATCCAATATGTATGTACAACAGTAACAGCTTGCAGCAAACAATGAGAAAAATCTGTTATGCTCTGAAGATAATATTTTCTTGCTAGTGGCTCCAGTTTGGAAACATCTACAATGCATTTTTTTTTGCGCCGTTGTTACGAAAAAATCAAGAGTGTTTTGGGTATTACACAAATGTATTAATGCAATTTACCAATACATGTAACTCAAATCACCTACTTTTTCTGTTGCGACATTGTTGCATGGGTATAAATCTGATGGAAGTTTTCTCAAAGGTCTAGTCATAGCCTTCTAGAAGAAATTTAGTGAAAAACCTTACTCTATGTACTTTCCACCAGAAGTAAGGGTTGTAAGACCAATTGTCACTGTAAGGTCTGTCGTCTCGTCTGCGAATGCCTTCGGCTGTGATGGTGCTGGTATGTCTGTGAAGAGTCATAAGGTTTTTTTTCCATAAAATGTACGTGTTCAGAAAGAGCGAGGGCACTGTTTTCTGCACTGGAGGCGTACCTTGAATCGTGGTGACAAAACGTGTAGTTTACTTTGGTTTGTTAACTTTTGATTGAACCCAGGGAAAAATATTTTGAGTAGGGAATGACTTAACACGATTTTCGAAAGGGGAGTAGGAAGGTAATAAAAGCATTTTCCTTCCATTTTCCACAGATACGTAGGATAACGCACTTTTTATTGGAGAAGACAGGCCTTTTTATGGAAGCGAAACTGTTGTCGTACTTTTGTCTATACCTCTATTTTTCGAACTGTTTTAAATTCCTTGGTAGCAAGATATTGTATTTTTTCCCAATATTAACAGTCCTGTTGCTTTGCTTTCCAGATTGCTATGGCTAATGGGTATCTGCGGTAAACCAACTAATTCAAGAAGCTTTTGGATTCAAAAGTAAGTCTCAAGAACACTTTTCCATATCCTTACGAAAAAAAAGAATACTAACCTTTAGGTGGTTTAGTGTAAACTTGCAAGAGTTGTGACTCGCCCACATTCCACAGGTTTTCAGCTGAAACGATGAATTCGTACTTCGTACTTGGTTCGAGATTGTCCTGTACAAATGGAGCGCCGGCCGTCTCCTTTTCGATGAAAGTATCCGTTGGAGTGAAATCTGGTTGATAAGGTCTTTCCATTGCCCTGTATTGTAGCTAGTCAAAAATATTATAATATTATAATAGTGGTCAATTATTGATGTAGCACTTGTAAAAGATTTTCACCATTTATACACTTCTTTTGCTCTTAAAATAATGCGGTATGCTTGCGGGTAAATAACGAGATAATTCAACGATGAACTCGTTGAATGTTTCAATGATCTGTTGTTCCTGTTTTCCTTTGATATAGATGTTCATTCAGAAGATAAATGATACAAGTTTTTATTACACTTTCCTAATTAAACTTTTTTTTTTTTTACATACAACATAACCAATTATTGGTCCTTTAGGGCTGATCGGGGGTTTCCAATCCAATGTAACCGCCTCTTCAGTTCGATTTGTCCAGCGAAGGTTCTGTAATGGTCCCGGAACTGCAAATAAAAACAAAATCAACAATTACATTTACGAGAAACGGGAGCGAGTTCAGCTGCCTCGGAGGTTTCAATGCCGATGACAGCATACGTTTTGGAAGTGACACAGGGACTCAAAGCTCAGAGAAGCTGCTGCAGGGCAAAGTGAATGATTCTGTTCGTGCGAAATAAAAAACACAAGCCGGTAGTTACCTCCAACAGCTGTCACATTTATGACTTCGCTCCAAGGACCTGACCCCATCACCGTCTTCGCTCTCACCTAAAAATGTCAATGTATACATTAACGTTTTTCACTCTATGAAATGATTGAATTGCAGCAAAGTCTGACAAAACGTCGTGTCGAGGCTGACGCCTTGATGTGGGCGTCATGCGAATGTATAGGGGCATAATCTGCTCGACATCAACGATACAAAAATGCACAGCTCATTTCTTGAAGATGTTTTGGTCGTCATTACTGTCATGCGCCGTGCTGTCGCATTTTATTTCATGCACAGACACTGTGCACATGCATTTAAATTAACATGACTTATGGCAGCCACACGTCATACCTCCCCCGTGCAAACCAGTAATGTGCCAAATAAAGCTTACTTCCTTCACTGTGTACAATATGTACATGTATCCAATCAGTCGAACTGTAGCACTTGCCTGTGCGATTGTGGAACTGCCAGGTTATAATGTTTAAAGATGTATTCACTTTGAAGTTTTTACCTGAACATCGTAAGTGAGATTCAGTTGAAGACCACTGATCCTGTGAGTCATGAAAATGCCGACATCTTCCATTGCTGGTGTTCCATCTCCCAATGTCCAAGCAATCTCGTAAGCTGTGATTTTCCCTTGTGGAGGATCAGGTTTCGTCCAGCCAATCGTGATGGAATCTTCGCTGACATTCTGGATGGTGACATTCAAAGGGACTGTAGGTTCTGGAAAAGCAAAAGATGTTTATCATAGCTTTGTTATCACGACTTATCAGGTGAATATAAATTTATAGTCAATGTACTAACGGTGTACCCCATCAGAAATTTAAATAAATTCGGCTCCACACAAAATGTGCATCAAATGTCATGTAATCAACACGTCTATATTCTTAGACGTCTAGTTAACATAACCACACTGTCTGCAGCTGTAAGCCTAATAAATACCTTGGTAAATCTTTTCACTGATTACAGATGCACACAGCACCAAATGTAGGGCTACAATACCCCTTGCCCTATCCTTTATTGCCTTTTACTAAAGCTTGCCTGCTTCTGCTGTCCTGACAACCACGCCTTCACTGTACGTCCCCGTCCCGTCACTGGTGTTAGCTGCAACTTGGAAACTGTAATCAACATACGGTATCAGCTCATCTAATGAAACGGAGGTTTCCGTAGTATTGAATACAAGTGATGCTTGTTGTCCGGACACTCTCCCAGTCAGTGTGTATCGGTATCCGGTGACGGGCGAAACTGTCTGACCTCCACATTTTGGCTCACTCCAGGAGAAACCAAGGCTGCGTTGCGTGATGGATGTAGATTTCACCTCTCCTGTAAAAGCTTCCATATCTGAAATGGACACACCAAAAGGAAATCATGTCCCAAGTTTACAACCTTGCCGTGTGGTTAGGCCCACCTGTGATCACGGTATTCTTTCATCTGAAAATTAAACTGAAGTGTGAAGAAGCAGTGAGAGCACCAACATTTTTTTTTATAAATTAATTTTATTTGCCCAGTAGTACCCAAGAGCGCGCTTATTTTACAATGGACAAACATTTGCGGTTCAATACTGTATTTAGTCTCAGCATAAGGCGAAATTCAATCATATCTTACTCGAGCATTGACAGTTATTTCCAAAGTATGATGAGTCACAAACACCATTGCTGCATTCCCCTGTATCTTTGCTGCAGGTGTACCCAGGAACACAGTGACACGTCTGCTTGCAGTCAACTCCATACTTCCCCTCGGCGCATTCTATCGAACGAAGAACAATCAGTAAAAATCTGCATTATTAGTGTGCACATGAAATTTCCCTGACACGAGGTTTATGACGGTGTCAGTGACTGATATCGACATGTCATACCTGTGCAGACACAGTATTAAAAGGTGACGTTTCCAGCTCTCGAAACATCTTACCATTAAAGTCGTTTGCAAGAAAAAAAGTCACTTTGTATGACCAACTCGACAAGAGCTTGCAGACATTAAAGCAATCACTATAGCGGCACTGGACAGTTACCCTGTGATATTTTCCCTCACCTTGCGTGCAGTCTAGTCCAGTGAATCCTGCAGCACACGAACATCCGTAAGGATCAGGAAGACAAAACAAACGACCCCGGCAAGCGTCATCGTGTGGATCAGTGCTATCAGAGCATTTATGAGCACCATTTTTACCGAAGACATTGCGACCGCGTGCTGTGTGCAGTCATAAATATAATGTTGCTATTAATGTACAGAAATGGTGATCGTTATTCCATTTTTCTTCTACTGGGTCTCAAAGCAAAACCACAAACTTCCATATTTAACCATTTCACCCCATAACATCCCTTTTTTGATTAAAAACACCAAGTGCTATGTAAAATTGGGAATGCACGTTTTAAGAGCCTAATTGTTTCCATCCTAGCTTTGTGCATTAGATTAATGATTCGGATCAAATTTGATTCAAGGCATTGCGCCAATGATAATTGTATCCTACCTTGTTCACATTGTTCTCCACTGAAGCCCGGAGCACAGATACAAGATCCAGTCTTGTCATCACAAACGCCTCCGTTGTAGCATCGACGACAGACATTGAGACAGGAAGGAGACCCCCACTTTCCTGAGGAACAACCTGTTAATTAATAGATGTTGACAATATTAAAGAAAATATGAAATATCCGTGAGTGGTATGATATCCGGGAGCAATAATAGGTTTGAGGTGTCTCGCTCTGCAGTCGAACATTTCTTGCATTTTTACACAGTGATCGTTGTTTCTGCATTATTGCAAATGCTTTTCCTTTTCAGGTATTCTATTTTTCTCTTGACGTTTCTAAAGATACGTTAACACTTGAGTAGATTTGCACCAACCTCGTACAATGAGTCTCATGTTGCCATGCAGTTGTTGATCCTCCTGGCCAGATACAAAGCAGCTGTAGACTCCTCCATCACTCACAGCAACATCATCAATAGACACACTGAGCTGGTCATCCCAAAATGTGATGACGTCACCACCATTATGCCGCCATCTGTAGTTGGTGTTTGGTGCATTCACATCGCGCATCTCCAGTCGAACTGAGTCTCCGACATTTGCTACCTGAGTTCTCTCAAGTGCCCGTATCTGAACGTTTCCATCTAAAACAAAAACAACAACCCGATTTAGGTTCAGTGCCTCTTTCATCTAATTACTTGGAATAATAATCTTGAATGTCGTTCATCGTCCCGCCCACAAAATAAAGAAAAAAACCCGTCAAATTGGTTGAACGACTTCTTTACAAATACCAAAGTCAACAGAGTTTAACTTGCATCAGCTTCTCCTTTTCAAAACATTGTAGCCGTTCCGTGTATTTTCTGTTCTTAATATACACGGAAGTAAAACCGCCAACTAGTTCAGTGTTGGTAGCCTACAATGCTTGAATACGTTTCACGAGGTAATTTTTATCGCAGTTCCTCATTGTTGCTGCCTTTTTTCTCTGAGCAGTTGTTATATTGGACAGTAATTCCAGTACTTAGGAATATACTACCTTTGGGCACAAGAACGGTTTGGATTCTTGTCATAATGCCGTTTCTAGATGCCTCAAAGTAGAAGACGCCGACTCTGTCACCCCCATCCTCAGCAGGTAGTCGAAGCGATCTCGCAGTGCATTGTAATGATGGCTCATCTTCTTCGGCTGAACCGGAAGTAAGTCCATCCATTCCACCTGTTGCCAACTGACGGCCAAATGTGACACCAGCAGGTATGTCATTGGGACCTTTGTATGCTGTCAGGACGACATCGCTCGTTGTAGTCAGGTGTGTGACAGCAGGATTAGCGACGAGAGTAAAATCAACTGTGGATTAAAGAAAGCGAAATATCTATCTTTATTTCCTACTCAAGCGAAACACTGCAAAATAAGTTTGATGACATATCTTGATTGTATTTTTGTAATTCATTTCCGTTTCTTTTGCCAGAGATTTTGTTTTTTTGTGGGTGAAACGTGATGTAACGTTTTGGACAAACTTTGAAGACATCATTTACAGATAAATCTTCGGGGCGATCAGTCGTTTAAACCAGTGGTCTTATAAACAATCATTGGTGGTTTACCTGTTGGAAGATCACACGGTAACACAACTACCTCACATAATGCGAGGTACGTCCGGCGTGGAATATCGATGCTGACGTATCGAGCAGTCAGTCCATCGGGTGGATTGCAGTCAAACTCCATCCAGTTATTGGCTACGGCTTGGTATGTGGTAACTGGACTTCCACACATTGGGTTATCTGTGATCGGCTCATTACTTGTACCGGCTCGAACAACAGCATCCTCAAAACGTGTTCTCTCGTGTACTTATGTCGAAAAGGGGAGAAAATGAGCAACATTGTCAGCAGAACTGGGGGGAGGGCTTTAGTCCAATGCTTACGGTGTTCGACTTCTGGTTCGAATTCTGACGGGGAACATGATCCTTGTGATCTTGAGCAAGGCACTTTACCATTATTGTCTCGCCCTCGGATGGGACGTAGAGCCGTATTTCCCGTGTGTTGTGTAATGCAAGTTAAAGAACCAAGTGACACTTATCGCTCAGAGAAGGGGTTCACCCCGGTGTTTCTGGCAGTGGCTGCAATACGCGCCGCAGCACCTTGTATACCCTTTATAAATGGTGCTTCATAATGGGCCTCGTATTTCCATAAACTTCATTTACCTGTCTTTAAAAAAAATGACATAATTACCAGCGCCTTGAGTACCTAAGTTTTGGTAGATACGTGGGCTATATAAGACTCCGGTATTATTATTATTATTATTGTTATAGAACTTGATGCAGTTGTGTAAAGAAATAACGGTTTCTGAAGTACTTCCATCAGTAACATAAATTCCAACTTCTTATACAGAATGTGATGCAAATCCTTAACAAAGGGTGCTTCACCAAGGCCTCTTAAACGTTCGCTTTCTAGTTCATATTTTGCCATCCCATGTGAATGTAGCTCTGAAATCAACTCACCAAGGGTAGCATCCCAGCTCTTGACTGTCACCTTTCTGACACACTGCGCAAACACCAGGTCAATTTTCCACCATGGATTTTCTTCTTCATCTGTTAAAAAAAGTAGGCTTATTACATTGAACCGTTGCGTTGTAGTGGTGTTGGTAAATTTATTTCATTCAAGAAGGACAACGTGAACAAATACACCAGTTTCTCGTACTCGCACGCTTCGTTTTTCTCGCCCGCCCTCTTTTTAAAAATCATGCGTTTGTTATATATTTTGCCGGACATTTCAAATCTGTTAGAAACGGTGACGGTTGCTTTGGACACAAAGATATCCGCGTAAAATGTATGAGTCTAGAAAACGAAAGAATACATCCGCCATCTTAGAGAATCCGTGATCTTGGGGGAAAAGGCAGACGAGAAAATGTGTTGTTCTCTTATGATGGCAATCGAGATAGTAGTTTAATTTATTGACTGCTTATACAAAAAAATAGGCATACATAAACCTTTTTTAAGAAGACTGTCTTTAGGTGCAATCATTGAACACACAGGTTAAAGGCAATTCAGCAGTATCTATGACTTTTTTTGCAGTCCATGTATTTCTTAAAAGATAAAATATATATTCTTTATGTGCGTCCTTAAATTGCTATTCTGTTTGACACCTTATTCATTTGTTCTTGTTTGATAGCTATTCATTTATGACAATTCATTTGTATGTATAAAGTAATTTAAATGTTTTGTTATAAATCATTCACAATTCAGCCTTTGGGCTGCGCGAATCGATAATCAAACCCTTGAATTAAATGCGGCCTTACCTGTCTGGCTGCAATGAGGATCATCGTAGATAAAAGCTCTGTCCACCGCTCGATCAGCACTCCATTGGTTGTATTTGGAGCTTTGAGAGGTCAAGCTTCCGCTTAGGGTAATTGCTACAAAAAGAACAGAAAAACTCGTGAGGGAATCGAAACACTTGATATTCTTCATTTTGCGATTTGAGGCCCCCCAAAAGTCTCCGGTTTCTGGTATGCGCGCGCGTCGCCGTAGCCATGTGCGTTGTCAAAATTAATTATATTTTTTAATATAAGATAATGTCTCAAAACCGCCAAACTCACTGGTTTGACTGGAATCCTGCTGCTGCACTTGTTTAACGTGTTTTTCGAGGGGGTTACTCTCTAAATTCCAAACAGTAAAAATTCACTCCATTCGAGTGAAGATTCACTCCTATAGTTGGAAACTAGGGACTAGACGTTTTAGAGTGAAATTTCTTCATTCGTAAAGATCGATATTTTACTCGAGCTTCCATTGAAGTGGCTCATATTTAAGACTATTTCAATCGAAAATGAGAGTGATTTTCACTCTAAAACGTCTAGTCCCTAATTTCACTCTTTGGAATTTTGAGAGTGCGATTGAGTATAAGCTTTAAGTGACGGTTCGAGCAATAACTGTAATCATTCACCTTCAGTGCTCTTACCGGGTCTTCAGGGGTGCGGAGGCCCCAACAAATACGGATCACCGACTATAGTTGGGGCAGTCAAAATTTAGGCCTACCGCAAACCGCCGAAACCTAACACAAAGCAGCTTGATATTAGATCTCTCCTCGACAACATCAGCGTGGACACCAATTTAATACAACTTTGCTGTCAGCAACAAATTTTTTACTCAAGTTTATTGGTTGCAGTACGAACTCCACACCAGAGCGTGACAGTGTGACAGGCCGTTACATTTATTATTTTGAAATGTTATTCATTTCTAAATCACCATAGAATGATTCTTCAAAACATTACTCACCAGTTGACGCAAGAGCTTCTTCATCTACGAATTCTCCAACCATGACTTGCGTCATATGAAGGACTTTATTGTCACCGCGAAGGTCCACCCTCACGTAGCGAGCAGAGACCACAGGGTCAGCTATCAATGTAGTAACCATCCCCGCACCGCCGGTCATGCCGAAATCAACTGTTCCTATCAGTCTGTTCGGTAAACGATCTGGACTCATTCCGGCACGTACTTCAGCGCCGTCCAAACGGTCATCTGCAGTTTATTTATTTATTATTTATTAAATGGTTTATTTTACTCTCCCGTCGCAGCCCGAAGGCTGAATTGTGGGCAGGTTTACATTGGAAAACATTTTAAAAATAGACAGAGGTAAAAAAATGTATTACAATAAAAAATAATTAGAAGACCGGAAAAAAGTTATAATGAGAGTTAAAACATATTGCAGTTTGGAGCGAATGTTCATGCTATGATTCATATTAATATTACTTTTTCGAGCATCGAGCAATGTAATTTCTACTCGTGCTCTTCAACATATTGGATTCTTTCCAAAACGTAGAAATAAGTTGTGTGTTTTGTTTGAACAAGTACAGTTCTTAAGCCCCTGTCACACATCCAAGACCAAAGACCAAGACCCCGCCAAGACCATGAGATTTAAAAACATCTTGAAAATCGTACTAAAAACGTAGGAAATGTGGCGCCAAATTCAAATTTCGTCTTCTGAGCTCGAGTCTGCCTTTCATGATCAGAATGTGCTGCAATGTCGTCCCGAATACTGCGACTCCGAAACGGCCTCGAACCGAAATAGTACGACTTCGCTACAAATTGGATCCGTTCAATTCATTTTTTTTTCACGACTGAATCTCGATCTCGTTACGACGAAATGACGGAGTGACTGTTCAAAGGTCGTTTCAAAGTCGGGTCAACAATTTGGCCGACCATGTACGACCACTGCTGATCTCGAATACTATTGCGATGTCGTTACGACTTCGCTACGACACTATTGCTTGAGTACAGACAGAGAACAGACTATGATCCGTTTTAGATACTTTTGTCGACCATCACGATATGTTTCAACTTGAGAAACTAATTGTGGCTCCACTGCCGACCATGCACGACCTGAAGGATGCCAAAACGACACATAAGAAGTCGTTCCGATAAAGTTCAGATGTCGTTCCGAGTTGCATGATTTCGTCGAGTTTGGTCTCTCTTGCGCCCTTAATGCTAAAAAGATGCGCCTGACTTGTTTCGGACCGCAAACAATTTGAAATTTGTTAAAGTAAACATGCAGTGTAAATTCAGCTCATCTTGTTTTTATGCACATTACTATGTGTTGCAACAGTACATACAAGATCTTAATACTTGAAAGAAGAAAGTGGTATTTTTTCTATAGTTAGCAAACCCTTTTATCAATACATGTAAGAGGACACTATTTTCTCTTTTGTAACACAAGGTACTTCTTGTTAAAAGTGCATACGAATAGTACAAAAATAAGTCTTAAAAAATTACCCACATAAGAAAGTTTCGAAGAAATAGTGGCCGCTACTGCTGTCTAAACAAGCAGTTTAACATGATAAACAAGTAAAAAGAGGAACTTACTCCAAGAACATGATGAAAAAGTTCGATATTTATTTGTACACCAAGCAATGGAGACACTACCGTTCTGCCTTTAATGACATAACGCTTTTGCTAATGAATATGGAAATTTTCATTAGCATAAAAACCAACATGTTGAAATTTCTCCCTTTTTCTTCTACAAAGGAGGTAGAAAGTCATATTAACATGGCAAGAAATCTGTTTTAAATGTATTCAAGTCATAAAATCCTATTCCTAATCCTATTGCATGCTTCCTTTCAGTAAACGTTCCATTACTTAACGTCGGCTTAGTTTTGGCTCTGTCACATTCAGAAGAGGATGCATGACATGTTTTGCTAAAGCAACGGAAATTGAAATGTCAAATGTAGTTTCCCGCCTGAAACTTACAAATTGGCGCTCAGGGAGAGCAACTCTTACTTTCCTCTAGTTATACTCCATTGATATAATTTTGGAAGATCCCAAACATTATTTTAAAGAACGTGCATTTGTAAGCCCTGTTTCTGTAGTAGGAACTGTTAGTTTTCGCATTTCCAAGGCCAGGCATTTTTTACACCACTGCATATAGAGGACTGCAGATATTGGTATATATGATCTTACACCATTCGTCCATTCTGTTGATGATAGTTATTTTCTCCAAGCAGTAGACAGCCTCCAAGTCCAATCGCCACCACGGGTTTGATTCCTTCTCTGTTGGCACATACAGAAATAAAGAAATGTCTTGTTTCTACTGGTTTCTCCACTGAAGACAACGTACAAATCCCTTTTTTCTTTGGTTTACTTTGATCTTGTTTAAATAAAAATGTCTCGGCATATAACACAATAAAGACTCAAACTACGTCATCAGAAAATGAAATAAAATTTGTTTATGTTTGTATACAGTATAAACGGTTACATGACATAATCACAGTGTCATTCAAGCAAAATTGTTTACTTTTGTTTTTTTTTAATAATGATTGGGTGATGGGGATGTGTCCATAACCCTTTGAGTTTGTATATTTGTTCTTTGTTTTCTGTATTTTGAAATTACCAGCGATTTTAGATGAAATAAAGACCGTTTGTTTCAATCAAAAATCAGAATGGTAAATATTGTTCACACTTTGCGATCTGATAGACCACTACTTGATAAACTGTTCCCCGCACGTGATTTGACATGGCTTGACCTTTTAATTACCAGAAGGTAAATGTTCGGTAAACGTCATAATTCGGAAAGAGTGTGAATATTAAAACAAATGGAGCTCCAAACGGTTCAACTTACAAATCCGTCCAAAACGAAAATTGTTTCAAGCAATTTTGGATTTTGTTTATATATTCTTACACTTCATGATGTCCCCAACGTGGACAACTAAATTTTGAAAATAAAATTGCAGCGTTTGTTAATTCTACTAATTACAAAAAGTGGCGAATGTGCAGCCATTCAGTTGTTCGTTATGGTAAAGTAAGAATCTGTATGCAACCAATGGCGGATCTAGGTGGGGTAGGGGATGGACAACGTGGGTTCAGCCCCCCCCCCCCCAATAAAAAAAAACCGAACAAACCCAATTTTTTTTAAAAGTGATGTCATAAAAGAAATTCAGCCACTGCGTACACCACCCACAAAACTCTACAAAATTTTTTGTTTGGGAGGAACAAAAAACAATTGTTTACACCAAACAAAAAATAAATGCATCCATCCATCAATATACAGAATGCTTAATGTAAACGATCACATACTTAGAGCCATACTAGTAATAACTGGTATATCGCATCAGTTTTGTTATTTTACAATTTTGGAGAGACAATTACACGAAATCACAATTTGAAATACGGACCTACTAGGCCGTCAGCTGAAGGCTGTATCGTTCAAGTTAAACTTAAAACCAACTAAAAAGGTGCATTTTCACCCCGAAACTTGGCCCTGATTATTCCCGATACTTGAGCCCCGTCAGCGTATGAGATAAACAACAGTCTCAAGCTCGTGCTCAGGGTCAACGCAGCGCTGTGCATACTATTTTACGTCGCACGTCGGGAATTAATTTCTGCACACAAGGTTGTAAACATGTCATTTTCAGGAACTGTATACCACGGAAGCTTTAACACAAAACAGATGTTTTGCAGTCATCATAAGCCTTTTTTAAAGAGTACATTTATATTGAAGGGACTACCACTTCTGGGAAAGAGCTTATAAGAATGCCAGTTGGATATAATTATATGGAGTGCCCCATGTCCATGTTTTTTTCCTACCATTATTGATGCATATTCACTTCCATTGGCCATAGGCTTTTTGTACTTGAGGTTAAAATGCATACTGGGAGTAATGCCCCTTTAATTTCCCGGTAACTTTATTTGAATACAAAGTGCCTAAAAGCAAAGTGACAAACAAAAATAAATCCCTCCTTTTATTAAATTGAAGCTGCAATATACCTGCTTTCAAACATGTCTGTAAAATCACTTAGTAGATTTAATGAAGCTTAAAATGTAAACAAATAATTAAATGATGGCTTCGATATAACTTCATTGCAAATGTAAATATAATTAACATTGTTTTTAAATAACTGTCATGAATGTGAAAGCATTTTTGTGTCTTGCCTACTGTCCAGCTTAATTGTGTAGTATATCAGCGAATTGATGCAATGCATCTTTAAGAGCATTTACAGCCAAAACGTGCAAGTATGGCACCAGGGGGTATCCAGATTCGGATTCAGCACCCTCAAATTGTCTTAAATCCGCTGTTTGCAAGTTGCCTAAAAATTGTAAGTCGAACTTTTTTTTTTATCAAAACTCATATTTTTTTCTGCTGTGTGGGTATTATGACAAACAGTCGTTTTGCATGTCAAACATCCGTGGATTTGAGTATTTTAAAAAGCTTTTTTGAAACTATTTCGTGCATAAAGTATGTGTCTTGCTGCGCAATGACGTCAATCGCTTTTCAAAAGTGTGTGTGTGGGGGGGGGGGGGACACTCGTTGATCGGAACTATTGTGAGCGCGAAGCCCTAACGGCGTCAGGTTCAGGGCCCGCTGAAGGGCCCCGGAAATTTTTGGAATCTAGACGCTCTGTGATGCGGCCTGAGACAATTTCTGACCACTATCACCATTGTTTTGAACAAAATATCATAATTTAAACAACATTTTTGAGTTCGGAGTAATCGAATAAGCTATTCTGAGCTTTAGAATCATGTGTAGGCTACATTTGTTTTGGAGGGGGACGAACGGGGGGGGGGGAATGATATGATATCCCCTAAACTTAAAAAAAAAAATTGGGGGGGGGGCACTTGCCCCTCCCCGTCCCCCACCGATTGACGCCCATCTTGATGCGTGTTCAAAAAAGGCTTCTATAACGTCTCATTAATTACTCAGTTCAGTATTTTAATTAGCTTCACAACTGACAAGCGCTTCACGTTCAGGTAATGAATCGTGAACTCCGACTGAAACTTTTTCTTCGGACAACCTATCATTATTTTGAGTAGTAATGGCTCATTGTCATTGCGCAGAACATATGCAAAACGTTGAGGCAAAGGGTTTGATGTGGTAGTTTTATAGTAACACAAACCCACACTGAATCTCTTCCAACGTCGCATATTACGAGGTGTGCTTCAAATTGAAATCAATGTTAGCCTTTTGAAGATTTATGGAATCTGTAAAATTATAGTTATAACTACTGCAGTATTCTATTAGTTTGTTATAATCTGGAGTTCCGAGCCTGACTATTTAGGAGATATACGTTAATTTATGTTCCCTTTTTGTGCATTCTTGCGTATTCTTGTCATGTCTACGTTATATGAAGAACAGATGATGTATTACCTTGGTGACAACAGTTTTCTCTCTGTAATTTACCTGGTTGCTTCTTTAAAAACAAATACCTGTTACTGACCGTACCTCACCCTTAATTCATATAACTTCCTCTCCCCGTTTCCTCTCTTTGCCCCTTTGGTCCTCTTTTGCCCTCCCTTCTCTGTTTATTCATTTACCTCCGTTTATTCATTACCTTCTTAATACTAATCCTCTCCCCCTCCGTCTCACCACTTTTCTGACCCCTCTTTTCGAACCCCGCCCTACTGTTATCCCTTCGTCCTCGCCTCGAACTTTTGCACTCTGTTCAATTTGTGTTTTGTATGACGACTGGTTTGGGCTTTATGTTTGTATTCTATGTTGTGAAGGGTTTGAGTGACACGCCCTTATGGCGACGGTGTTTAATACACTTTTAGTCTTTCTCTTAGGCAGCCCTTCACGGTTCTTTGTCGTGCTTGTTTGTTGTTGTCCTTTATTTGTTTTTTTTCATGTTTATTGTAGTTATTTTGGTTACAATTTTTGTCTCCGACCCAACTCACCTGCATGGTTTTCCAGTTGGCCGATTTTGGGACAACAATGCTGACAAAGTATTTAGCATATTGCGTGATTCGGCATGACTTCGCGTGGGTCTCGGTATCGACTAATGTGCGCCAGCAAAAAGGTTGATATTTATTAATTAATAACTTGTCGTGAAGGAGGCGAATACCTCAAATTTTTACTGCACACCATAAATTATATATCATAATTAATATTCGTGAGGCTTGAACGGATTACAGATATTGCAAATACCAATTTTACAACTGTTAAAAATGAAAGTAAAGAGGCATATTTTTCCAATTTCAACAAAAAGCACTGAACATATGAAAACGATTTTTTTGCACATAGTTGGATCACTACAAACCCTGAAAATACATGAAGATACAGTTTTCAAAACGGGAGAAATTGATTTTCAAAGATTTTGCCCGCGAACATTCACATGTCTGTGTGCTTGTTGTTTCATTCAAAATAAAGCATTATGTAACCTTTAGAAATTTGTTGCAATATAAAACAATCACTCATTTGGAGCTACCAGTATTGCACACATTTATTTTAGCTTTCCATTATGCTATTCAATCAATAAATGTTCAGTAACACAAAACGATTCTATAACTATTCAGATAATTAGTCGTCGCGTAAACTTCTGAGGTTCTTCGGATCGTTGTGGTTACTGTGCTCATCTCCATTCTGATTCAGTTTGTAAACAAAAGATCGTGGTAATCAAACTGCAAAAGCGGGTACATTATGTATCTCATTTCAAAATCAATAAAATAATGTGACGGTTCGATACGTCTACGTCCAATAATTAACTTACCCGTATGCGAAAGAGTGTTGAAATTTCCATCCACAGCCTTCCCTGCGTCAAAGTTTCCGCCGAGGTAATCTGGAACAGTTGAGCTCTGAGTGGCAGGTTTCCCAACCACATTCATGGATAGCACTGTGTGTTCAGATAAAAAAGTTAAAGAGTGATAGAACCAGTAGGTGAGTGAATGAGCGAGAGGGGGAGTCCCATCCCCAAAACTCAAAACTCAATAAATACTTAATATAAGCTGTTTTCGTCTTTTCTCTTGTCCCTTACATTGTTGGAGTTGGTCTACCGTGTAAACTCTAAAATATCGAGAGTGGGCGTAGAAGTTGGTGTCGCCGGATCGAAGTATACACAGTGTGATTCGGGGCTTTATTAGGGGATGTTTTACTGTTTATGTAGATGCTTTTCAGTTCAATAGGACTAATAATAAACCTAAAACAAAGCATCTACATCACAAGCGTATAATTATCAGAGCCAGTTATAATGCCAAGTTGTTCAGTTAAGTATATACATGAACATTAAACATCCTCAAAAATCTCGAAGCGAATAGTGAAGAGTCCGCTTGCACATTGTACGCAGGTAGAACATTTACATGTATAGACTACTGTGGTATGTTTCATCGAAAGCGGCCAATACCGCATGCGAAATCACAGTACGAAAGTATCAGAGCACTCGGAGCACTTGGTCACTGGCTCAAATCCTTAATGGATTATAAGATTTGAAAGGGGCACATTATAAAAAAAAATAGAGGATACAGGAAAGGTAAGTTGCAAGAAAAAAAGAAGGGGCGAAAACCACGTAGTGACAGATACTGTTTTTTTTTTCAAATGATTTTAAAGGAACTCTTTCATTCATCAGAGAAACCAACAGGTGGATTTTACAGGGAGAAACCTTGATTCATACACAGAGAAAATAATGAACTTGAGAAAATAAATGTTTTGGGTTGCTTACCTCCGTTGAGAAGTAAGGCATCCATCAACAGCAACATCACACCGAGACGATCCCAGCGTAAAACGGACGCCATTGCCAGGCCTACTTACAGGCCTATAATGTCCGTTATTTCAACGTTCTACTACCGAGCCCGGTGAACAACACTTGTTTTCTCTCAATTGTAGTGTAGCTAACCGTTTTTAAAGCCTTCTGCCGCTCATATACTGATGCTGGTTAAAGTGACTGCGTATTTATTGTGTGGAGTTCCATAGCATGAACGGCAAATAATGCCTCAATTACTTTCGGGTATAGACTCAGCACAGTTAGTTCCTTCTATCGAAACATATTAAAATATCTGAACAACCAAAACAAACTGTGAAACAATGAATAAATAAGCGACGATTTCGACATGAATATAAAACATATAGTGCATGTTTGGTAACGTAATAAACAATACATGCACTTAAAAGTAAATTCCTTGGTAATTTGTTTCATGCCTGTAATTTCGAAAGCCTTGAAATCGCATATACTGATATACCATTTATGACCCATAAGGAAGTCTCGTTGTTACGGCGGGTACATTAATACTGTATCTTTAAGTTAATGAAGAAACAAAGTGATCTTCTCAACACAAGATGGAAGATAAAACTTGGTTTACTTCAGAACCACTCTGCTCTTTAAAGAGGTTGTTACACGGAGTGACTACATATCATTTCCATTATTGGGAAATTAAAAGTCGAATATTGAAACCATGTTCCAATTCATCTCAAGCTGATGATGTTTGATACAGGGTCATTAAAAAAGCGATGACCTAACCGTACTTGTTCGATCACATTTTTATTTAAATTAGTTTGTAGGCCTACTAAAAGTCTTAAATTAAACATATATCATCCATACAAATACACGTTTCAAGTATGAGGAAATTCAAAACTGTTACCACACTCACATCATGCGTCATTTAATTGCAAAACCAAAACTCTGCAAGTAAGCAAACACCAAGTCATGTGTATAAAAGCTCTTAATCAACACGTAACCACATTATATTTCTGAATCTGAGTACATCAGTGATATTGGAAATCCCCGTATACCGATGAATTAATGAAATAAACCATTACAATTCAGTAACCAAAAACAGTAGAATGTAACCAATTATTAAATCAATAGATTACGCATACTGTAGGGTATTATGATTATGATACCCATAGTCCGACTATTCAAGAAGTGAGGAACTTATTACTGCAATTGTGTAGTTATAGATACTTCGTTAACACGTCATTTCTGATTTCTGAGTACATTGCGTATTTAGCAAATGTCCGAATAATTATACTGATGAATTAAAGATAAATTAAAATCAGTCATGGAAAACAACTGAATAAAACCGTTTATTATACAAACAGGCTAAGTACCCACTGCAGTGTTATATTTATTTTATGCCCATATTCGGACAAAATAAGAAGTGGATTAGTTATAAACTACATGTATGTTGGGTAATTTATAAACTTTCCATAAGAACCCAAAGCTGATATCCTTTCTCACAAAAGCTACTCCTTCTTATAACTGCCACTTAAAATAAACTAATGAAGCAATATACAAATGTATCCAGGGATGTGTGGTTGGCGAGTCCATCACACGTAAATCACACGTCCAGTCACAAGTTATAGTGGATAAGCAATCACGAACGAACGCCTTAGTCAAAAAATACTATGAGTAGCTCGTGAGTTGAATTGGGACTAAACGACTTGGGATGGACTTGCAGGGACCTGTGATAGACTCGATTACATCCCTTAATATATCTGGGTTATAAAATACTCGGTCACTTGACCTTTAATATATATATAACATAAAACCATTGACAGTGTTTAATAACACATAAAACAAATTATTGTGTGAGAACATATACAAGTACTACAGTCAACAATTTATTTTTTACATTCAACCAAAACCATATAGCAATCTTATATATTTTAACTTTACAGCGCAATATAGATTTCAAGAAGTAAAAAGTACCCATGAGAATATGTAAAACAATATAATATACAAAAATATATTTTTTTGGTGAGAAAAATATAAATTAACTCCGTGTAATATATAAACTGAATATATTTTAATTCTTTAAGATGATTTCCACAAGGCATAAAGTCCCACACCACTTCATTAGCTCACACTTCTTGAGCGCACTACGAACTCTAGCCTTAAAATATGGACCTCAAAATAAGATTTGCAGCTCTCTCAGAAAACTATAGGCCATTTTAACAATACAATAACCCCAATGCTACATTAGAACAAAACTGGAACAAAAACAAAGGACGTTCTGGATTTCGTGTAAACCCATTTTGGAGGGCTCGCCCTTGAAAACTGTACACATTGACTTCAAAATATTTTGAAATCAAGAAAAAATTAATATACTCTATACATGCTAATTTGTAGCTTACAATCGCCAGAGAGAATGTTTGTCCGAGATGAATGCATACAGTTATGTAGGCTTAACTAACTTCAGTCTGCATTTAAAGCATGAACAAGTAGATTAATATTTAACACTTTTTGCACTTATTTCCGCTATTATGAGTAGGACCGATACTCTACATGGAGCCTTTTCAATTACCATTATATCTACCTTGATAAGAGTCGCGAGTTTTGTGCCGTTGTCATATGACGAATAAGTCATGGTTTAAGGTCGAAGTTCTCGTAGACAACGGACGAGTCCAAGTTAGCCTGGAACACATCGTAGCACATCGCATAGTGTTCCTGTAACACGGAAACGATACACACATAAATATGCAACTCGGTAATTAAGGCTTACTTTTGAAAAGCTGGGTACATAACAAAACTCCCGATCGATAACCTCTTAAAGTGTTCTAGCAATCGAGGATGTTGTTTGAAATGGTTTAGACCACAAGGCAAAACTACAACCGAAAAGTAAATAGACATAGCAGACAAACTGTAAAAAGAATATCGCACGACTAGGCTGAAAATTAATCGATTGCCATATGACAGACATAGGCGCTGTATTTTTGGAGTAGATAAATTTCGGTGAAAAGACCTTCCTGTTGTTTGTTAACATTGAGCGTCATTCTGTATGGGCTGCCGCTGGCGCAAAAATGGAAGCCTTGGTTGGCAACATACTCTTCCAAACAAGTTCTCATAACACCTCAGTACATCAGAAAAATGCATGGCTATGAATTAGTCTGTAGCGTCTGTTGAATATTTTGTATTTAAATAATATTTTTGTAATCATTAATAACTATTCTTCATTTTTGCAGTGTTGGGCCTTCCATAGTTGGGCAACCCGTGGCAACCCGTGGTTGGCAAAATGTGCCAACCACGCGCCGGCGATAAAAAGTGCTATAGAAACAAATAGTCTCTCCAAAGGGCGCCCTCCTGTTTCTGTGCAAACAAATAGTCTCTCCAAAGGGCGCCCTCCTGTTTGTCCAACATATCTCATAAAGAATAATGTATACTTTTTAGAAGTAAAGGGTAATTGAGAACAATTTCTTTGTTGCATTGTTTAAGACATACAACGAAGAGAATAACAGACGGGGTACAGACACACGATCAGTGTCATATCAGATGAAGCACTCAGCATATCTTGAAAAAAAATATGCAAAATACTCACCAGGGAATACATCATGCTGGGATGTACAAGACGTAAGCGCAAAACTGTTTGAAACACGTCCACAACCTTTTCTTCTTGAAACTGTTCCATCATGGACATCAAGGTGCAGTACACCGCTGTGCGACCCAATCCATCACTTGATATCAAATAACATAAAGGAGAAATAGGTATAATATTTAAATATTATATATTTACGGTGGTCATGTGTGGATAGCCAAACCTGTGGTAATGCTTAAAACTACATGCCTACATCACTATATGGCGAAAACTAAGCAAAATGGTCCCTACTTAGCAAAGTAACAACTGCAAAAAAACTTAAGGAAATGTAGTGTGTTAAATTATTACATATCTACCGGCACGTGACAGTATTGGTACCTAAATCCATAACGCTGTTACAGTTACTATAGCACATAGGGGAGAAAGATCTTCTCGTCATGGACATTTCGAGATATGTACAGTTTCTAGCATGGCAGGCAGTTTAATTACAGTCTTCCTTGTTAAGAAGAGCACTGTTATTACAACATCCTGCTTATAACAAGGAAAATGTGAGGCCCCAAGTCTTTGTTTTCCTTTGCTTTCCTTTGTTTTCATTACTAATAATACAAGGTACCTGTTATTACAAGGTAATTTTGTAAAGACCCTGTTATATAGGTGTTCCAGTGTAGAGGTAGAAGTTGAACTCATGCAAGCAGATGGTTTCATGACAAGTAAACTTGATTTTTGAATCGATTCAGGAGCCAACTTTAAGGTGTGTCTTTTTATGTTAATGTATCAACAATGCATAACAACAGGTCTGCTCATGCGTATGTATGCCTGTTGAACAAAAGCAGACCATCACCTCTAAGATGGCTGCACTGCAAATGATCTATAGATGTTCGTGGAAGAGAAAAAGGAACAGCATTAATGAACTTACATGCAGTGAACCACGATGGGTGGTCTTTCCTCGTGCCGTTTTTGAGTCAGCTCCATGAGAGTGAACAGTCCTTGTCGAGAGCTGGGCACCTCCTGATCCGACGGCCAGTCTTGGATTTGGAACTGGCAGACGGTGCGCGCGAGCTCGGACTTGGGGAAAAAATTCAAGATTTAGGCAAGACAAATGGTGGATGTGGTGTAAATTGCTCTCAAATTATCCAAACTGGAGATGCGAAGGAATCAAAATGCGACACTAGTCAACCTACGTATATTGTGGACCCAGACAGGCAAATTTATGCACTACTTTTCTATTGAGTACACTTTGAAGTGCTGCTATAGTCGACGTTACTTTTCCCAGCGTCTAGACTAGTACCCGTGTTAATGTTTTGGTTCGGCGCGGTTCTGGAAGGGTGACAACTTGCCGTCTTGTAGATTGAATACTCAGTTGAATGAGCACCCTGACGGTAGTCAAAGTATTATTTTCAGTGAAAAATATTTATCAGACAGTTTTGTAAGTACCCGTCTGTCGTCTTAATTTTTCAGTAAAGAGCAAAATTCTAGGAGCTTTCCAATGTCAGTTCGGCTTTCATAGATGTGATTCCCGGTAGATTAATAAAAGAAAGTATTCAGGAAGGAAAAGTACTTTTAATTGCAAACTGCTATTCTGCGTTTGAAGTATTTTTTATGGTCATGTTACCTTTGTCTTGTTTTGCAGAGAAAACGTGTTCTCAATTACACCCTTGTGAGTTGTAGTGCGCAACAGTTTGACAACAAGAGGTCCAAATTCAAGGCTTCCTTCGTCTGGCCAGTAACGACACATTGTCTGTTCAGAGGAAACAAAACAAGGTAATGTGATTTTTTTTCTGTTTACTTTATCAGAATCATTTTCATTTGGAGTAAGATATCTGGAAATGCAGGATCGCTATAATCGTTGGGTAACCACTATCGATGCCTCTCTTTTGGTCAAATTGAGATAGAATAGTATACACAACTGGGTCTAGTTAGACTTACGTCGTCGTCTTCATCCAGAGGGTTGAGCATGACGATACACGTCGCTTTCTGGTCGTACACCAGACGCCAAATGTCGGCAGTGGTGTTGGGCATCGGCATCTGGGTCGCGATGTACCTGTCCTTCTTGCGATAGCCCTGTAAAGCAAGCCGGTACTTGAAATATTCATTCATTCACTTGATGAGTTGATGAGTTGGGCCCAACTGTCCCTTTCAAGCATAGTGTTGGAAAGAGATGGACCGCTCAGACGAGTTTCTAGCTGGATGGATGTTTTCAGGGTCTTGTTGAAATACACAAAATAGTATTGAAGCACAGGTACACTGAATATTGACCAATGTTCACCTTTTGTAGATAATCCTTCAATGCCATCAACAAATGAAGCAATATCATTGTATATTCATTAAAACAAAACAGGTTACATAACAAGAAACACAGTACCGATAGGAAGTGTGCATTGATGTAGTTGGTATCATCGCCGTGTGTATTGGTCATCAAGAATGGTCTCGCTCGGTCAGCTAAAGAGTAGAAAAAATGAATCATGATAAAGTATGAAGCATTAGTAGTAAAGCTATATTGGTTATGTTTTCCTTTTTTTACTTGTTCGTTTTTTTTAAAGTTATATCAAGTGCCATATGTCTAAACGCAGGTACCTTCTTAGATAGGATTTTAGAGTATCGGCGCCAGTTTTCGGTCTTTTGTAGTTGCTAGAGTTTTATTCATCTAGGGGCAGGAATCGAGTAAAATCACTCACTTGGAATGAAATCTTCGTAGCGGTTCTTCTCCACATTTTCTGGAAGCTTTCCCGCCTTACTGGTCCCGTTGCTTCGATTGGCTCGCAGTTCACCTAAGTTCTGAGAAAGGAAAGTACGTGAATGTCAACATCGGAAGTCTGGATATCGGAGAAAATGTCACAGACATCCTGAAAATGTGTCGACAGATCCTCGATAACAGGTTTTCTTGTTCTATAATCTGCAAGTTCCAGAGTTGACATGTCAACTTCAACGAATGCACAAGAAGGCAAGAGCCCGAGAATGAACAGCAACATGCGACGAGAGAGGCGATGACAATGACGATCAAAATAGTATAGTGAATTGATGCTAATTTCAATGCTATCTATGTAAGCCATACGACACACCTGTGTCTTAGGTTGTTATTCATTCTTTAATACCTGGAATTGTTTCTCCATGCCGGTTCCCTGGGATCCAGGTTCCTTCTTGTTCAGAGCAGTTAGCTGCCGGCGGAGGGTCGTCATATCGTAGGTAGTCTCGCCAGTCAGAGAGGCCGCACGGAGGGCGTCGAAGAGAAATTTGTACTGCTCCTGGATATGCAAACAAAGCGGTGTGAAACGTGTATGGCCTATTCAATCTGCTAGCCTTTTGAAAGTACTTTAAGTTATTTTCCGAGAATCATCTACATGGTGTTTAGTTGCTTGGTTGATGACTTCGTTGTGCACGAAGCATCTTGACTTACCGGAGTCTGTACCATCTTGATGCGTTTTTGTCTCATGCGATGGATGAAGGCAAGAACATTGACTTGTCCCTCCTGTTTCATCTGTTCAAGCATTGACTCAAGGCAGATGTAGGTCCCTGTGCGACCAACGCCGGCACTGTGAAAGAAGAGGAAAAATCGAGCCTTGCATAATGATGAGAACACCAAGTTGGAAGGAGATCCTTAATTTTCTGATCTTATATGAAGTAATTGAAACTATTCACCGATTGGAGTCATACCTGCAGTGTATAATGGTTCGTCCTTCGTTGTGTTCAGCGTTTACCACTCGCATGAAGTTGAGCAATGGAGCGGGATATTCAGGTGGTTTCATGTCTGGCCACGTGGTGTAGTGGAACTGCTTCACAATGCGAAATCCTTCCTCGTCATTGACCTGCCAAACAAGTGATGACAACACAATTAACAAAATGTTCAAAACTGGTGTGCAACAGAGTTTGCCAAGTTGAGATAAAAATGGTTTGTAATAGAAACCTGGACGCAGGTATACATTTGTGAATTGTATCAGCTTGTTAGTTCCTGTTTATTGTCGCTGTGGTGAAGAAACGAAATATTTTCATTCTAATTAAAAATTCCAATTTGAATACCAAAATCATAATGGTTAAATTTGATCCGAACTTTGACCAAGATATGGCTATTTAGTAAAGAGAGATATAGATATCTGTTGCTTGATTTGTCATGAAAGCTTTAACGTAATTCAGGTCAAATTGTGTGCTTTTATGAAGTTACCTCGGTTATTTTGAATTGACGAATGGTGTGGTCAAGGAAAGCCTGCTCGTCAACGATGGTCACTGTGATGTTAGCGTATGTAGAAGCTCCGGTATCCGGCCAGTATTGCATACATTTCGTCTAGATTATAAAGAAGATAAGATTTCTTTCTAAATTATTTCGCATGAGCTTACAATTCCATATCAGATTGGTATGTCTACATTATCTGTCTTATTTTTTACTATTACTTTTCTGGTACTTAAAGAGTAATTCGGCAAAATACCGTAAGGAAACATTGAGATAAAGAAACCCAGCAGACGGAATACTGAATATACTCAATATCAGGAAAGCAGCTTTTTAGATTTACTTAAATAACAACGAAAGTAAATGCAAACAGTCTTATAGTTTACAGTACCTTTCCATTTTCCACCGGATTTGTTAGCATGACAATCTTGTCCACGTTCATCTCCCACACCATCCGCCACATGTCATTGAGAGACGCATTGTTGGGTCCTATTGATAACATCAGATAAAAAAACCCTCCTAATTATCTAGTTTGATTCAATTTACCCGAATAACTGGTTAATAGTATTACAGAATTATTGTAACAGAACCTAGCAAAGAGCTTCGAGAATTTCGAGCATCAATTTTCAGTTGAATCACTTTCAGACTTCTTAAATTACCCTGGCTTGCGATGTACTTGTCGGTGTCGCTGTAACCCTGCAGAAATAAATGTAATGAAGGACGTAAAAGTTTAATATTGATTCACATTTTAAAAGGTACACAATTTTATACAAAATGTTCCTAAAAACCAAACAAATTATATCGCAATGAGCTTAAAATCGTACTGTTCGATGCAGCTTCCGAGTAATTCAAATAGCAAGGATATCAGAGAAATAGGGCTTAGTTCGTTGTTCTACCTACTTATACAAGACTTACATCTATATAGCAGGCATTTATGTAATCCGAATGTGGGTCTTTCTCTGTACGCGTCAACACAACACGAGAATGATCATCTGCGTGAAAAAAACACAGATTGAACATAATAAGAGATGGTGTTTCTTCCTGTGGTAAAGGTCTTATGATAACCGGATCAACATTTAATTAAAACCACGTCCATGTAATATTGATTAAGAAACTCAACGAGATTTAATTTCGGAGTTCATACATACAGGGAATGACGTTGGCAAACCGGTTCTTCTTTTTGTTTTCTGGTTTACTTGCCACAGTCCACGGGTGTAACTGGCCATCTGGAAGACTCTTAAATGAAAAAAAAGCAATTTCGAATTTTCCCTTTTTCCTCGTACAAGTATTTATCAAGGGGCTCAAGTGTCATCCTTGTTACAAGATTAATTGACTGTTTTGCATCGAAAGGAAGCTATGATAGCCGTTACACTAGCCATTCATGGAACTCTTAACATTTTTGCACAAATGCTGCGAAGCTCTTTTCATCGGTATATTTCAAGATGTTCTCTAAGTCGTGAGCCCGGTCAAGTTTGGAAATCAGGAATAAAAGTGCGAAACATTTAGTGAAAGAAAAAGCAGTGATGTGTGCACCTTGTAGTCAGCTTTGAACCCATTTTCTCCTGCTTCTTCCTTTCTCGTGATATAGTCAGCTAGGTCGTTAATACGAACTGGTGGTGGCGCCTTGAAAGGCTTCTTTTTGAATGATGGAGTCGCAGGTGCACGTGTATCTGCTGCAGGTGTAGGTGGACTACTCGGATGCACCTCTTGAACGTCAGCGTAGGCAATCGATGTTTCCGTCGGCTCATCTTTCGATAAAAACATTACAACTTCAATTGTATACGTAAACACGTTCTTAAAATATGCTCGAGTGGCCCTTTAACATTTGATTCTTTTCCATTTCCAAACTGCAGGAAAAAAAAGTAGTCAACCTCTTTTGAGAAAAACCCTGAAACTGAGAACCATCTTATTTTTTAAAAAATCAGATACAAAATGATGCAAATTGTTTGGCATTCAGAGATTGTACTGACTCGAGAAATGCATTCTACAGCAATTTCATAAGGACAAAAGGCATTTCTGTTTCGTTATACACCTAATAGCTGACGTACCCATGACGAGACTATTTTGAAAGCGTTCACTAGGTTTTCACCGCGGGACGAATGGTTCATTTTTTTGGGCTGTAAGTTCAACACCGTTTTACCTTGCATGCCGTCATCTGTCAATTCAACTTTAGACTGCGCCGTGACTCCATTGGTATCAGATTGGCGTCTTGTCGCTTTGTTTCGTCTGTAATTTTTGTACAGATTATTAATAAATATTATTTTGGTATGAGTAGGTGTCATAACAAATGTTCTGAATACAATTTTTGCTGAACTGAACAATTACTAAACAATTTATTAAATTTACACAGGACTATCGATGGTTTACAATGTATATAGAAATGTGTACCTTTTGTATACAAAGACTGCTATAACAACGGCTATGAGAAGCAATACCGGAACGATGACGCCAAATGCAATTCCCACTGGGTTCCCAGCTGTAACAAATGACATTTAATTTGAGTATTACAAAACGCCAAGAGCAAACTTTTTTGAAAGCGACTTTTTTATCTCATCTTTAAGTCTCCTAACCTAAACCAATCATCTCTTTATTTTGATCTGCTACGATCAATTGTCAGTGAACTATGATTAGAACCCAATGCGTTACTCGACATACAAAGTTTTATTCTTGAAGTCTGTTCCTATATAGGATTCAAAACTTCTACACCATCAGCTTCCAGAGACGATGCAGTCCTCGTGTAGACAGGTATTTTAGTAACAAGGGAGGATTATTGAAAATTGAGTAAATGGACCATTTGCACCAATCGATTTGATTGCCAGAGTGATATCCAACATTGTCAGTTGCATTTTTAAAAAGTTACATGGAGATATCATGTAATAACTAGATAAATCTCTCGTTTCTCAGTTTGAGTTGTTTTATTTTCACTACAAAATATAGTTGGTTGTTTGTTAACTGATGTTGAAATCGCCTTGAGCGTCTTTGCAGATAAAGGCGCTGTGTACGTTTCATTATTGTATATTATTATGATTTCTTCAATATTACCATTTGGTTCAGGTTGTTTAGTTCGTTCAGTTCGTACAGTTATTGGATCCGAAAAAGACACAGACGCTTCCTATAGGAAAAGAAAATGTACAAGGCAAACATGCATGGTTAAATTAAAATAAAAACCGGTAGTATTTCCAGATTTACACCCTCCTGTCTAAAGAAAGAATGCATATGCCATCTTTATTTCACATGACCTACAATTTGTTTATAAGTCACGTTGAAACATGGGAAGAATGTTGGAAATTAAAAAAGAATACCGTCTCGTTTCCCTTGCTGACTGAGCCCACACTGATGTTGTAGACAACGCCTGTTTGCAGCGGTGCATTGTAGTAGCCTCCATACACCTCCTTATCACCGACTGTGAACTTGTCAGGAACGGTGTCTTTAGTCATTTCTGCTGCAATGTAATCATCTGCAGAGTCCTCGAAATGGTTTGGAATCAGAGCCTGCCTTTTCTTCACTGATGAGGAGTCGGACTTTTTCACATGTACAATATATGATCTATAAAAAAAAATATTTTGAAATTTAATAATCAGGATCCACGATGTGAAGTAAGCAAAGCAATCTAACGATGAGAACAATCTTACTCGACAAACGTGTCATCTTCCGGGATCACGGCTCGAAGGCCAATTGTCACCGTCGTCTCTGTCGCCTCGTTGTCAAATGTCATCGGTGTCCTTGGTGCTGGTGGATCTGTCGTTGATTTGAAGGGAATTCAAGGGGAAAAGTAGGTCTTCAGAGTGAAAATATTTTTGGTATGTAATTTGATTAAAACACTTCCAAAGTAAACATAATGTCCTAGGTTGACAACATGTATCGTTATATATTCATTTGAACATTGAAAAAACACGTGAGTTGTTTCTGCTGTTCAATGAATCGCATTTTGTTTCTCATTAAATCATTAAAAATGATATCAAGCCTTGTTTTAAGTCCCTTGCATTGAAAAATATTTTAATATAACTACTGAAATCATGACTGTAAAATCGATATGTGGAGTGTGCCTTAATGACGTGCTTTTAGTGAGTTTGTTTCGGTTAGTGTGGTACTACTCATACTTTCTATTAGTTTGAGTTTAAAAAGTAGCATAAAAGAAAAGTAGAACTATATACATGTTTAGTTGTCCTTTCACTAGCGATGTAACGCATATATTCTATGAGTTTGAGATTATAAAGTGGCAGAAATGAAATGTAAAACTATTTTCATTAAACTAGCGATATAATTCCAGTCAAACAATACATCACCTGACAGTGGTTTTGTGTAGACTTCTAAGACTGAAGGCTTTCCTACAAATTTTGTATTCCTTGCCGAAACATTGAATTCATATTTGGTGCCCGGTTGAAGATTCGCTTCGGTATATGGTGAACTGTCAACTTTGCATTCGGTGTACGTATCTCCTGCAGTAAATCCAGGTTGATATGGTTTCTCTACGGCCCGGTTCTTCACCTAAAGATGATGATTAATTGAATCATTTGATGTCATAATATTCACATTTAAGAAGCAAGGCTCTGAAGGCACATTGTGAATTGCCTTTGTATATTCCATTATTATGATAATAATAATGGAGTTGAACATTCACTATCACGTGTCCCTCAAAGGAGAATAGGCTAAAAGACCTTAATAGATTTTGTTTGCTTCAGTTGCATTGGTTGCATATTCAGCAAGATTCTCCAAAGTTAAATCTCATAATGGAAATAGATTGATTCTTTTACATACAGAATAGAATGTGATTGGTCCCATAGGATTTAGCGGCTGCTTCCAAGCGATGGTCAGTGAGGTTTCAGACCTTTCTGTCCATTGAAGGTTCTGCACAAGTCCAGGAACTGAAATACAAAAAGACATTGACTTTGATATTTGAATTTTTGGTTATTACCATTCGATCATAGCAGCCAAAAGTTGAACTGAGGTCAATTTACAATAGAAACATCATAAAAGTGGCACTTACGCGTACTTAAATAAAGAGGACATTAGCAATGACAAGAAAAGCACTGATAGGAGAGCTTTTTTTCAAAAAGACCAGAGATAAAGATTTACAAAATAACGCCAAAATATGGCTTAAAGGTCAGTTAATATATTAGTAAACGATTCAAGAATTTGCAGCTTGAAATCAAACTCATGGTATTTTCCTTCTTTTTTTCTTAACAAGCTACGTTGTCAAAACAGTTAGCATTTGCATCTGCAAACAGAAATAACTGGGATATGCGTCAGTTAATTATTGTTAACACTATACTGTCTTGGGTCGGATATTTATTCTGGGGTCGGATGAGGTATGAAAATCTATTCTTACCTCCTACTACCGTTTCATTGATGACTTCGCTCCACGGGCCAACGCCCACTACTGTCTTGGCTCGCACCTAAGACAGAACATTCACAAAGAGAGTAACACTGATCTAGGAAACATCGTCTTCAACACCTCGCTCATAAATATATGAATAACCTAAATTAATACCTCACTAGTAAGATTTATTTTGTAAGTCGTTGAAACATATGCATTGTAACAGAAGGAACTTTTATCGTTCAGAGTAAGCCGATACCCGGCCTAATACTACACCGGACAGAATTTGTTTTTAATTACCTGCATGAAGTAGGTAACATTAACAACAAGATCGGGTAGTTGATAAGACAGCATGGTTGTGCTGAGATTGTACACATCAACTCTCGATGATTCATTTCCCACGACCCAATAGGCCACATCGTAGTTTGTGATGATCCCTTGTGGAGGATCAGGCTCCGCCCATACAACCGCGAGATATTGATTGTCAACGGTCGCAATGCTGACATTCAAAGGGGCTGTTGGCTCTGCAAAATTGAAGAGACGAAAAGCGTACTTTTAAATATTGTATACTTACAATGTAATGTTGAATGGATTGGACCATTCACATCCCTGATTCTTGACTGACAAAAAAATGCACAAAATATCCGACTATGATGATTATCCGAGTTGGAAGAGGCTCTTTTTCGGAACACTTACCTGCTTCTGTTGTCATTACGGTTACACGTTCACTGTACACTCCTGTTCCCACGTTGGTAATGGCGGCGACCTGAAACGCGTACTCTGTGTACGGTACCACGCCGTCTATCGTCACAGTTTTCTGTGTTGTGTTTGATGATCGCAATTCTCCAGAACCCACATCTGTGAGTTGGTACGAGTATCCAGTGATGACTCCACCTATTAAGCCACAAGGAGGCTGACTCCAAGAAAAGGTCAGGTTACGTTGTCTGGCAGTTTCGGACACTTCGTGTGGATAGATTTCCTGACCTGAAACAAACCGAAGTGAATATAATTTCTAAAAACTCTAACATGTAGACCCAAGTTATTTCTCAGGACGCAAAAGGTCTCTTACATGACTGATAGTTGTCAGGTGTATATATAGAGGCAAGTGTAATCTTTCTAACCTGAACACTGACAGTTGATCCCGTAGTATGTCGGGTTACAGGCGTCATTGCTGCATTCGCCTGTATCCTTACTGCAGGTGTCCCCGGGTGCACAGTGACATGTCTGCTTGCAGTCTGCTCCATACGTCCCATTAGGACACTCTGACAAGGAGAAAAGGTTCGAGGAGGAATATACAAAACGAAGCACTGTCAACAGTTTTGTAAAATTAAGCAACAGCTCTTTTTTTAATAATTCAGTGAAAGGAGTGTTGATTTTAAAGGCTTCTCTAAAGGCACGGGTCTTATAGAGACAAGTAATCGTACGCACAACGACCCAACCTGATTTGCATGCTGTGTGAATAGCTCAAGAGGTATCATTTCCAAGCCATAAGAAAAGTATGAAATCAGCATTGTGAATGAGAAATATTTTTAATCACCTTGCAAGCAGTCTAGTCCAGTGAATCCTGCAGCACACGAGCATCCGTAAGGATCGGGCAGACAAAACAAACGACCCCGGCAAGCGTCGTCGTGTGGATCGGTGGTATTGGAGCAATGATGACGAGCGTTCTGGCCAAAGACATTACGGCCGTGAACTGTAGACCAAAGAATAAAGTAAGATACTTTCATAATAAATAAATGTCGTGAACTATGTTGATGTGTCACATTGTGTCATTTCGATATGTATTTATCGGAGATATTGCTCACCTTGTCACCTTAACAGGTTTGTAAACAGAGAATCTGAAAACACTTTAAGAGGTACAGTGTTAGAAGTTGGAAGCCTTATCCCTTACCGTGCTGACAATGTTTCCCACTGAATCCCGGAGCACAGATACAACGTCCCGTCTCCTCATCACATATACCTCCATTATAACATCGACGACAGGTGTTTTGACACGACGGTGGACCCCACATGCCCTCAGAACAACCTGATATGTACGTCATCAAATCGCAAATGAAAAGTACAATATAAATATAAAGTTCATGTTTCCACATAAATTATCAACTTCTACGCTGTTCTGTTATAGTCGTACCTCGTACAATAAGCCTCATGGTGCCATGCAGTTGTTGATCCTCCTGGCCAGACACGAAGCAGCTGTAGACTCCTTCATCCCTCACAGCAACATCATCAATAGACACATTGAGCTGGTCATTCCCAGATGTGATGACGTCACTTCCATTATGCCGCCACATGTAGTTTGTGTTTTGGGCAATCACATTTTGCATCTTCAGTCGAACTGAGTCTCCGACGTTTGCTATCTGCGTTCGCTGAACTGGACGTATCTGAACATTATCTGTGTGCAAATTTAACAAATAGAGATAACATGCAGCATATTCTAAAATCGGGTTTTGGACAGGTATGTAATTATCGTCCTCGTATTTTAACCAGTCCATTGTCGGTCTTGTCGGATCTACCACAATAATTTAAAATTATGTTGTTCAGGAGCTTTTTTTTCACAACCTCTACACATCAACGTGGTGGAATTTAGACCGGTAATTTATTTTAAACTGGTGGATGTTTTGAGGGAAAAAAGTAATGTGGTGTTCTTCAGCTTGGTTTGCTGTGATTGTGATCTAAATCAAGAGGAATGTTATCTTACCACCATTCGGCAGCATAACGATCTGAATCCTAGTCTTGACGCTTCGCTTAGTTCCTTCGAAATAGTAGACACCAACTCTGTTAATCCCATCCGCCGCAGGTAACCGTAAAGATAAGGCTTTACATCCCAAAGACGGCTCGCCTTCTGTGGTTGATCGGGGAGGAAGTTCATGCATTCCACCTGTTGCCAACTGACGGCCAAATGTGACACGAGCAGGTATGTCATCTGGACCTTTGTATGCTGTCAGGACGACATCGACATCGTTGCCACCAGTCGAGTCGATGAGAGCAGGATTGGCGACGAAAGTAAAGTCCACTGAGAATTGAAATTGTGTTTGCAATATGCTGTTAGAAACTTTTTCGGACTCAAATAAAAAAACATTGTTCGGATGAAAAAATTAATTGTTTCGATTTGCATAATGGGAGTTGTCGCATCTGGAGAGATGAGCAGTAGCATAGACAGAAACAGGTAGTTGACGTCTTCATTGCGATCAAAAGATATTACTACCTCGACTCCATAAATTTTGCCATATACGCTTTTTGGTATGAATGGGTTAGCGACATTTGGTTCACTTTTTAATATAATAGAAATCTGTTGGGAAAGACTAGTCCACTGCCATTTATCTTGATAGCTTATTTGCTTTTTGTTTTAAATCAAACTTTTTCCCAGCTTGTTAGAATATAATTACCTGCTGGAAGGTTAGGCCTGCATGGAAACACTAAGACTTCACAAAGGAAAAGGTACTGTCGTCCTGGATTATCGACGCTGACGTATCGAGCAGTCAGACCATCAGGTGGATTGCAGTCAAACTCCATCCAGTTATTGGCTACGGCTTGGTATGTAGAGACTGGACTTCCACACATTGTGTTCTCGGTAGGCACACTGCTCATACCGGCTCGAACAACAGCATCCTCAAACCCTTTTCTTATATTTACTTATTACGAAAAATAAAAGAAAATGAGTAACACTATCAGCAAGAATATTGTGTAAAGAAATGACGGTTGACTAAATTGACAGATCACTAAATTGAATTCCGAAATCTGTTTACAGAATGTAATAAAAATTCTTTATAAAGGGTGCTTCACCAAGGCCTCCTTGGTTTTTGTTTTCCAATTTGTATCTTGTCATCTCCTGTCAATGTAGTTGGAAAATCAACTCACCATCAGGATAATCAATGCTCTTGACTGTCACCTTGCCGACACATTGAGCAGACATCAGGTCAATTTTCCACCATGATGGCGCTCGATCTGTTAACAAAGTAGGATTATTTTTTTGAGTCAAGGTAGTGTACTTGATAAGTTTAAAATCACTTAAAAGAGACGACAGTTACAAATTAAAAGCTTCCTTTTTTTACCCACGCGTCTCCTTTTTTGCAATATATTTAGTCCTTTTTTTGCAACGGAATCCACCCGCCATATAGGAAAATCCACCTTACTATACTGAGGGTACTTTAATTTATTGTTCAACCCTCAGGATAATCAACGCTCTTGACTGCCACCTTTCCGATACATTGAACAGACATCAGGTCAATTTTCCACCATAATAGCGCTCCATCTGTTAACAAAGTAGGCTTATGACTTTGAGTCAAGGTAGTGTACTTGATGTATTAAATTTCATTTACAATAGACGACAGTTACAAAATAAATGCTTCCTTTTTTACCCATCCGTCTGCTGTCTTGCTATATATTTAGACCTTTTTTTGCAGCAGAATCCATCCGCCTTATAGGAAGATCCACCATCTTTGGAACAAAGTGGGCCACCTCCTTCCTTTTCATTTTAAAAAGTCCGGATAACAAACTGTTTGTATTACTTAGCGTAGCTATAATGAGGGTAATTCAATTTATTGAGTGTGTATGTAAAGTAGGCCTTAGGCCTACATAAGATTTTCAGGAAAAAATCCTCAGATGATATGATTGAATACACAGGTCAAAGGTAATATCGATGTGTATATGGCTGTGTTTGGTTGTTTATGAATATGTATTAAATGAGGTCTTACTTGTGGTGCTGCAATGCCTGTCAAGATCATCGTAGATGAAAGATCTGTCAACCACGCGAGCAGAAACCCTGCTTCCGAATGTGCCGCTTTGAGAAGTCCAGTCTCCATCCACAGAAATTGCTACAAAAAAATGCAGGCAAAACCAAATGACTTCATAGGATTATCTTAATTTTACGGCTTTCCCATATTAATCTTTCCCCTTACATTACAGCAACGTGTTCAAGAAAGCGAACCTGAACTTCGATCTTTACACTTAAATTGAGTATTTTGTTTAATTATTCATTTCTAAACCACCACAGTATGATACTTGAAAACATTACTCACAAGTTGAGGCGAGAGATTGTTCATCCATGAATTCTTCAACTGTGACTTCCGCCATATTAATGATTTTACTGTCACCGGGAAGGTCTATGCTCACATAGCGAGCAGTGACCACAGGGTCAGCTGTTATGGTGGTAACTTCGTCTCCGCCGACTGTTCCTATCACTGTGTTGGGTGAACGATCTGGACTCAACCCAGCACGTACTTCAGCGCCGTTCAAACCGACTCCTGCGTTTTAACAATACGCACATTTATGATACCACTGCAGCTTAACGTTTTGGAACTGGACTTTATATATTTTCAAGGAATGGATTTGGTCAGATCGGGGCTTCCAACTGTACACAGAACCACCATAAAATATACCTTTAAATATATTTAATAGTTATTTATCTATGAAAGAGGGCTGGTATCCTGAGTGTCGTCTGAAACAATGTATTTGCTCTGTGTATAACACTTTAATAAAATACGGCACATACTATTAAAATTATATGCTATTGGATGATACATAATAGTAAGGAAGACCTGGTGGGAATGGGCACCACGACATCACGTGATCAGCCTACCAAAGACGGAGATATAAGACACCCGTTAATTGGTCACGGTTCTCTTCAGATCTGTTCTAGCGTTTGACGTTGTAGCAGACATTATGGCATCTGACAAGCTTGCCAGTATAAAGTGATTCAGCAAGAAAAGAAATAGTCTTTCAAAACTACGAGAAAGATTCTATGGGTTTTGGGTGGGCAGATTCTTACCCTTGATGATAGTAATTTTCCTCAAGCAGTGGACAGCCGCCAAGTCCAATCGCCACCACGGATTGAGCATTGCCTCTGTACAGATATGAAACAGAGGTTATGAACGAATTGTCCCAATGTTTCTTTTATTTGTCAAGAAATCCACCACAGTCTCCCCTGAAAGTGCGTGTGATGTAACCCCCCCCCCCACACACACACAAACGGAAGGAAGTTAGAAACGAAAGGAAGCTATGTATTTACCGTATACAATTCATCTATACAATTAACAATGATTAGTACACATTTGTTGGGAGCTCATTTGAGCACATAGAACACGACAACGTTCCGCAATAGAATCGTTTATCAGAACTGTATCTTTCAGATTTTAAGCAAAGTTGGAGGATGGAGTACTGTCGTCAAGCCCATCACAATTTGGTTCTCGGAAGTCAATCACACTTTTTCCGGTCTAAAGTCAAGTCACAAGCTTTGAACTGTAACACATGAGCATCCTTTTGCTATCGTTTTTGTCTCTCTAACTTCTTACTGTACTTACGATTTACTGTTGAACGGACTTGTGATGGACCCGACCACAACGTTTACAATGTGAAGCGATTATCTCACCTGTTTTCGAAATACTATCAATGTCTCCATCTACAGCCTTCCCTGCCTCAAAATCCGGAGCAGTTGAGCTCTGTTCGACAGGTTTCCCTCGCACATCCAGGGACAATGCTTCAGTTTCAAATACAAAAGGAATAGTTTTTCGACGACCAAAATTGACATGTGTCCGTATTATTGCCATTGCATGAATGCTCGCATTCTTTGCTCAATCAAGCTATTATCCGTAAGAAATGCATTCATGTCTCTACATATGTAGCCTAGTTCGGTACGTCCTTATACTAAATAGCTCGAAGTGAAACCAAGTGACCTAAACCCGTGGAGGGGGGGGGGGGGGGGGGTTGAGAGATGACCAAAACTCCTAAAATTTCTCGGTCTAGGAAATTTGAAAGGGGTGTTAATGTGCATCTAATGCAAAACGTTTTCAAGCTTCATTAGTGTTCTTCGTTGCTCAGAACTATTTTATACATTTAGACAGTTGGACAGTTTTTTTATTTTTATTAATTACCACAAAATTCTGGGCGGGGCAGGGGACGATCTAATGACACATCCCCCAGCTCAAAAAGAAAGGGGGGGGGGGGGAGGGTTGGGTATATCCTCACAACTCCAAGGCTTTACGCACATGGTTACCCCGAAACAATATCTTTTATCTTCTGTGATCTATCTTTTTACGAGATCAGAACTATCAAAAACGCCTGCCGACTTACCACAGAATAGTCTGTTTGCGCAGAAGTAAGCTTGTAAATTTGAAAACAGCAAATCAAATCCGCCCACATTTTGGTACTTTTTGGTTATCACTGTAAAACTTAATCTTCTTGAGCTTCGATTTTCGCTTTGTGCTTGCCAAGGTAAATTATTGTAAACTTTGTGATCACGTCTATAAAAAAAGAAGAAATATTGTTTACCCCTAACAAAAAATCATCACTGGATGAAATATTAATGAGTTAATGAGTTGAGTTAAATTCGAATCAACTTGCCAAAACTTGATGGTTTGGAAATCAAGAATTCAAACTGAACCTGTCACGGTCTGATATTTTTAGTTTTTTATTAAGTTTTTTCGCAGAGTGAAAATAACTCCATCACTGAATTATGGTGGAATTAACGGGAACGGCAAACCATCGTTAATCAATAATACACTTTAATTACCTGTGTTCACATTAATCAGAAGTACCAACGCACAGAAACGACACCATCGAAGCGAACAGGCCGCCATGATTACTGCATGCGGAAATAAACAGAAAATATATCCAACAATTCGGATCTGCTGTACAGGTGTAGCGTGAATATCCGGCTCCATGAAATGTGGACTCATTGGTAGTACTGCGCATGAGTAAGTACGATAATATGCTATTTTAAGGATAATTATGGGAGAGTGACCTGTCACGTGCGAGGGATTAACCAATAAAAGGGAAATGGAGTCCGCTTTTCATAGAAGTCGGATTTTCATATGACACCGGCTTAAACACACAGGTCCAGTAGCTACAACTTCTGCAATGCATAGTATACGTTTTGGTGTTGATGCTTCGAACCTGCAATCGCGTGAGAGTGTTGTGCTTGGCTGGTCTCTTTCAATGACCTTTTCAAAGCGATTATTGTATTCAAAAACCTATATAGCTGGATATCCCAGTACCAATACATCAGGTGAAAGAGAAGTTCACGGTATAATGACCTCACTACTTCCAAAACTGTAAAATACCATTTCCTGTACAGTACTAACATATAGACGATGTTGTGCGATATGATGCCATGACTATGATGATTTTTCCATATTACAGTTCACATATATCCCTATGTGAATTGTTTTTGTTTTGCTGAAAAAACACTTACCTTTTTTTGTGATCCGTGGACAGAACTTTAAAACGGTGTTTGTGTTCCAAATTCCGTAACTTCAAAAATACATGAGTGATTTGAATGATTCTTGCACTAAAAGAAAGCTTATTAATTGGGCTTTTGTATCTTAGATTTTGAAAGTGATACATGCAGAACTTCAGTAAATTATTGGTCCTGCATATACTGGTTTCTATTTGTACTCACCCTGTAAAGAGCAAATAAGTATATAGAAGTACAAGCGACATAATAGCAAGTGAATATTTTATTTTTTAAAGACCTTTTCCTGGTTGAAAAAATTGTCAATGAATCAGTGTCCTTGGCAATCGAATATCCTGCTCAGTGACTGTGACCCGTGACATCGAGTTTTTGTGTTGAGTGCAAAACCACGCGGTGATATTAATTTACAAACTACGTGTATCAGTCGTATACAACAGACAAGGCTAACCTTGCCCTAGTCGTTTGCAGAGTCAATGCCACTGTCGATAGGGTTGGGAATTGTAGTCGTTTCAACGGCTGTTACATGTATTGTTCTAACCCTTAAAGTTTTACTTGTTACCTTTCGTTCGCGAAATGAAAAGGAAAACACACATACTAGAGTAAACTAAATACCATCCGTGCTACTTATTTGGTGATTTTTTTTTATCCTGAAACAAATCAGTACTATCGTAAGCACTAAACTGGCTGTTTAATGCACATTTCAAATTCTTCCCTTTTGTGCAGACTATATGGCACGGTCTCACTTAAACAGAAGGATCCAAACTAAAAAGAGGAAACAGTAGACAAAAATATTCTTTATAACAATAGTCATTTTATATGGATTTCTGTGCATAATCAATCGTGCTTTTATTCTCTATACGGAGTTCTGTGTTACCTTTCACAAGGAAATTCCGTTTCTATGTGGATATTGTAAGTGGTTAGAGAGGAATATGAGAATTTTACTGTGAAGACTTTATGCCTACAGTGATTTGTAAATAAAAAAGGTTCATGCATGGAGATCTGCGTGTAAATTTTGTGACTGAATAATTCATAAAATAATTCAAGGAGTTTGTGTAAAAAAACCCAAATGATACACATCTGAAAAGTCTTATTTAAATTATAAAATACATCTATTTAAAGTTCTTTAAATGTAATATTGGCTTAAACAAATGTGTGAAACAGCGGTTTTATATTCACTCACCCATGAGCGTTCTAGTAATAATTCAAGGAAGTTAAAATACCTCTTGCGTATTAAACAAAACATCTGAAAATACAAAAACAGAAACAAACATGAACCTCAAAATACCATCGACGATCCTTTATCAAAGCCACCGACATGAACCCAGCTCAATGGCTGCTCTTTGTCGAATACAAAAAAACAAACCAGATTCTGCCCCATTTTCATCACGTTGCTTGGGATAAAGGCATTGTGATAATACATGCAAGAAAGGGAAGATTCTGGTACAGTAATGAGCGCCTTCATTATATCAGGTACAACGACTACTCTTTCGAATAAAAGCCCAATCCTTTACATAAAAAAAACATGCCAAACAATATTTTTGGAGTGTGAATTCGTTTGCTGTAGGCCAAATATTAAATACTTCCATAATGAATGATCTTTTGAAACCTAATTGTATGTACAGGCTACTCTTTTACTACTCTGTAGTAGTTTACTACTTCGAAGCGTATGGGTGCGAATCGGGTGGAGTTAGCTTTGGCGACGTCAAACTTACTGATCTTGACTACGCAGATGATGTGGCCATTCTAGCTGAGCTCATGGATATCATTCATCTAGCCCTTGAAGCAATGAATGAAGAGACCACGCCCCTTGGCCTCTCTATCAACTGGGATAAGACCAAAATACAGTCCCTCAGCGACTACATACCTGCTCCCACACCGCCCAACATGGACAACTATCAGGTTGTTGAGAAGTTCTGTTTTCTCGGAAATATTGTCTCCTCAGATTGCCGAAGCAAAGCAGACATCCAGCGTCGCCTTGGCCTCGCCACATCTGCTCTAGCCCGCCTAAATACCATCTGGAAGGAACGCTGTCTCTCAAGAAAAACAAAGCTCAGCCTGTACAACAGCCTGGTGCTGTCCATCCTGTTGTATGGCTCAGAGACATGGACCCTCTCCGCTGAGCTAGAACGAAAGCTGGATGCATTCGACACAAAGGCCCTCCGCCATATCGAGGGTATATACTGGCAGGATTTTATGAATAACAAAGACCTCCGTCTTTTCACCAATCAACCCCCGGTCTCCCATCTCATTCGCGCCTCACGTCTTCGGCTGTTTGGGCATATTGCTCGAGCCGACCCACCAATGGAGCCTGTTCTTCTGCTAAAGGGGCCTGCCCCCAACTTGCCCTGTCCAAGGGGTCGCCCCCGTTTGCGTTGGACGGACAACTTGGAAGAAGACCTCATGGCACTGGGGCTGAATCTGTCATCCGGTTGGAGACTTGCCCAGAACCGGCTGGACTGGAAACTGCGCTGTGGAGACGCTATGTCTTCCCGAGCTTGCGAAATTGATGATGATGATGATGATGATGGTACCTAATTGGGTTTGGGTCTTGTGTACCCACTTGAGTATGGGCCTGGTATACCCACTTGGTGTTGGGTCTGGTGTACCTACTTGGTTTGGGTCTGGTGTTCCCACTTGGTATTGGGTCTGGTGTGCCCACTTGGTTTCGGGTCTGGTCTGTCACTTGGTTTTGGGTCTGGTGTGCCCACTTGGTTTAGGTCAGGTGTACGACTTTTTCCTTTGATTGAGTGTGGCTGCTTTGCAAGAAATTCGGTATCTGGCACAATGGGTAAATAAACTGTGGCACTACATTTTAAACTGATGCATTTTTGATGGTATTTACCATATAATGATTTCCTTTCAGCAGTGAGGATTTTTTTTGGGTAAGGAAAAAGATATTTCGGGTATATTTTTCCTGACAAAGGGCAGCAACGCCAGATTTACATCGAATAAGGAAGAATAGATGTGTATTGTATCTTTAATTTGGAAATGCTTATGTTTGTGCAATTTGATTTACTGTGGTAAAGGTTAATCTGGATCGCCAATTAACTTCAAGGTAACATGTCAGCCTTGGCTTCAGATTTACATTTCCGCTAATTTCAAGAATGACAGGTGTCCTTTTCGGACATCCCCTTCCGCCATTAAAACAATACCATTTTCGGGCATGGAGTGGGAGGAAATAAGCTAGAAGAACACCTCGTGGTACCAAAACAACAGCTTTTAATCCACACGTCACCACAGTTTATTTCTGAATCTGAGTACACTGCATATATTGAAAACTCCCGTGTACCGATGAATTAATGATTTGAATCCATTAAAATTCAGTAATCAAAAACAAATGAATTAAACCATTAAATCAGTAGACCTTGCATCCACTGCGGTATTATAATTATAATACCCATAATCCGACTAAATAAGAAGTGAGGAAGTTAAAACTACATTTTTGTAGTTATAACTACTTCGTCATTCACATGTCATTTCAGACTTCTGAGTACATTGCGTAGTTAGTAAATTTCCGAATAAATATACTGATGAATTCATTCACAAGTTATTTCAGACTTCTGAGTACATTGCGTATTTTGCAAATTTCCGAATAATCATACTGATGAATTAAAGATCATGGAAAACAACTGAATGCAACGATTTGTTATACAAAAAAGCTATACATCCAGTGTTATATTAAATTTACACCCATATTCGGACAAAGTAAGACGTGGGTTAGTGGGCCTAAACTACATGTATGTTGGGTAGTTTATAAACTGTTTCCAAAAGAACCCAGGGCTGATATCCTGTCCCTCAAAAGCTAATCCCTCTCATAGCTGCCACGGTATACTTAAAATAAACCAACGAAGCAAAATATATCCAAGGATGTAGCTGTCGAGTCCATCACAAGTCCAGTCACAAGTAAATCACAAGTCCAGCCACGAGTAAATCACAAGTCCAGTTACAAGTTATAGTGGATGAACAATCGCGAAGGAATGCCTTTGTCAAAGCTCATTTGAGTAGCTTGTGAGTCGAATTATGACTAGACAAGTGTTGTGATAGAATTGTAGGGACCTGTGACTGACTCGATTACATCCCTGAATATATGTGGGTGATGAAATATTCGGTCACTTGACCGTTAATATATCAGACAACCAAGAAGAGTGTTTAAACACACACACACGCAAGTGTGTATTTGCCTGCAATCGGGGACCCTCTATTGTCCCTCTTGTGTTTGTACTTGAACATTTTAGGAAGACCTCCAATATGTTTTTTTTAATTTTTTTATACATGATCGTACCTTCGGGAATTGGGGACCCTATTGTTAAACATCCCCTACCGAATGCAGAAACAAACTCACACACCCATCTATGTAAACACCGGCTATCGTGGACCCCCTATTGTCCCTTATCCTCATTCCATTGTTTGTACTCTTTAGCAACATCTCTCATTGTTTTTTTTTTTTTACGAATTTCAATCGTGGACTATCGGTCAATTGAGGACGTATTGTTTGTACCCTAACTCTTTTGTCCCAGGTCCACGATCACGATTGCCGGTGTTTACATACTCGAAGATACTCTTCGATCAATACAGTCAAAAACAATATTAAATTCAACCGACACTTATATATTTTCGGTGTAAAGCTAAATATAGATTTGTAGAAGTACATCTATTATTAGTACCCATGAGAAAATGTAAACCAACTTAATATACAAACATATATTTTTGTACAAATCAAACTGTTTAATGAAAATTTATACGTACACAAAATGTAAATAAAGTCTGTTTAATACTCATAGTTTGAATATACTATTATTCTTTAAAATTATTTTCCACAAGGGTTTATATAGTTGAGCGCACTACGCACTCTAGCAGTAGAATATGGACTTCCAAATAAGGTTCGCAGCTCTTTCAAACTAGTTCATTTTGTACTTTTTCAACCGAATTAATATTTAAAAAACAACTCTAATGCTACACCCGATGGTTTCAAAAACCGACAGGAATAAAACAAACGGTTATGTCGATTTCGCATAAACCCATCCTTGAAAACATTTTGACCCCCCCAAAAATGTTTTTGCAATAAAAAAAATATACTCGATAGATGCCAATTTGTAGCCTACAAACGCCACAGGAAAGTTCATCCGAGATATTCCTGTATTATATTCTGTAGGCCTAATTATTCTCAGTCTGCATTTAAAGCATGAAAAATAGATTAATTTGTACATTTATTTCCGCCATTATCAGAAAAACCGATCCTCTACCTGGAGCCTTTTCAATCACCGTTATATCTACCTTGATAAGAGTCGCGAGTTTTGTGCCGTTGTCATATGACGAATAAGTCATGGTTTGAGATGGAGGTTCTCGTAAACAGTGGACGAGTCCAAGTTGGCCTGGAACACATCGTAGCACATCGCATAGTGATCCTGTAACACGGAAACGATACACTCGTAAAAATACAACTCAGTAATTAAGGCCTACTTTTGAAAAGTTGGGTACGTAATAAACCCCACATGGACAATATCTTAAAATGCTCTGCGTTGATTACGGGCCTTTGATATCCCTGTTTTAGCCATCCCGGCTTGAATTCTAATTTATTATAATTGGTTTAGACCGCAAGGCAAGACCACAACGGAAAAATACAAATAGATATAGCATCCCAAATGACAAAAAAACCAAAACACCCGACAAGGATAAACATTTACCTTCTGCAATATGACATACATAATAGGAGGGCGCTATATATTTCGAGTATATAGATAAATTTTGATAAAAACAAAATATAAAGCCTCTCGTGTTTAACCAATATGTCTAAAACAGGCTAACGTATGTTTTAAGAAGTAAAGAGTAATTGGGAACAATATTTTGTTTGCATTTTTAAGACACCCTACGAAGACAATAATGGACACGGTACAAACAGGGTCAGTGTGAAATCATGAAGCACTCAGTATGTTTTGAAAAAAATATAATTAAAACTCTCACCAGTGAATACATCATGCTGGGATGTACAAGACGTAGGCGCAAAGCGGCTTGAAACACGTCTGCAACCTTTTCCTCTTGAAACTGTTCCGTCATAGACATCAAGGTGCAGTACACCGCTGTGCGACCCAATCCATCCCTTTATATCAAATAAAATGGGAAACAAATAAAAATTAAAGTCTGTATTAAAGACTAAACTGCACGTCCACACCACTATTATGGCGAGGCATCAAGAAAAATGGTCCCGCCATAGCAAAGTAACAACTGCAAACAAACCTTAGAAAATGTAGTGCTGCTCGTTATTAAACATCTACCAACACTTGACAGTATCGATACCTAGATCCATTGTATAACTTTCTTACGATTACTACAGCCCATAGTGGGGAAGAATGTGCTCGCCGTCGGAATTTGCAGATAATTATGTAGTTTTCTAGCAGAACAGGCAGTTTAGTTGTAGAGTGGTATTTAAAACTCTGCGAGAAGATGGTTTTCAAGGCGAGTGAACTGGATTCTTAGACCAATGGCACTCAACAGCCAACTTTAAGGTGTGTGTTTCTTCGAGGAAGAGGAAGAAGGAACAGCATTAATAAAACTTACATGCAGTGAACCACGATCGGTGGTCTTTCCTCGTGCCATTTTTGAGTCAGCTCCATGAGAGTGAACATTCCTTGTCGAGAGCTGGGCACCTCCTGATCCGACGGCCAGTCTTGGATTTGGAACTGGCAGACGTTGCGCGCGGGCTCGGACTTGGGGGAAAAATGTAAGATTTAGGTATGGCAAATGGTGGATGTGGTGTAGATTGCTCTCCAATACCCGTTTTATACTTGTGATGCATGAACGAACCAAAAAGCGACACTAGTCAACCTAAATATATTATGGGGTCAAACAGGCAATTTAATGCATCACCATAGACAATCCTACGGTGGCACCGGGCTCGCGTGAGTCGCGCTCAGGCAGTACGCACGCACTTCGCTTCTTCGACCAATAGGAATATCAAAATGCGCGCGCTCCGTCTTTAAGAACGCGTGAGCGTGACACCATCGCAGTTAAAGTCGCAGTAAAAGCTTATTTTGGTCGCCCGATTCGACCATAGCGGAATCCACCGACCTGAATGAGCAGCGCCTTTTGGTAACCGATTGGTCGACGTAGCACGACGTGCGTGAGAACTACATGAGCGCGACTCGTGCGAGCCTTGTGCTACCTTAAAAAATGGATGTCGCCGGAGTAATCTAGATTTCACTTGGAAGTTGCTCCGAACTACGGCTATAGTAGTCGACGTAACTTTTCACAGCGTCGAATTTAGTGCCAATATTAATGTTTTGGTTCGGCATGACAACAATCTCCATTGAAAATTAATAAAAGAAAGTATTCTGGAAAAAAAGAATACAAGAAGTGCTTTAACCGCAATTGCAAACGAATTTGTTTTGTATTTTTTTCTGCGTTTAAAGTATTGTTTATAGTCATGTTTACCTTTGTCTTGTTTTGCAGAGAAAACGTGTTCTCAATCACACCCTTGTGAGTTGTAGAGCGCAACAGTTTGACAACAAGAGGTCCAAATTCGATGCTTCCTTTGTCTGGCCAGTAACGACACATTGTCTGTTCAGAGGAAACAAAACAAGGTAATGTGATTTTGTTCTGTTTGCTTGATCAAAAATATTGTCGTGTTTGGGCAAGACTCCTCGAAGTAAAGTACCGCTATTATCGTATGGTAACCCTTGTCGGTTCTTTTTGTTCGGGCCAAATTGATTAAGAATGTAACCCAATTGGGTCTATTTGGACTTACGTCGTCTTCTTCATCCAAATGGTTGAGCATGACGATACAAGTGGCTTTCTGGTCGTACACCAGACGCCAAATGTCGGCAGTGGTGTTGGGCATCGGCATCTGGGTCGTGATGTACCTGTCCTTCTTGCGATAGCCCTGTAAAGCAAGCCGGCACTTGAAATATACAAAATATATTTGAAGCACAGGTAGGCCTAGAGAATATGAACCAATGTTCACCTTTCGTAGATGACCCTTCAATAACATCAACAAAAACTAGCAATATAGTTGCATATTCATTAAAACAAAACAATGTTACAATAAAACTTTGACAATACCGGTAGGAAGTGTGCGTTGATGTAGTTGGTATCATCTTCATGTGCATTGGTCATCAAGAATGGTCTCGCTCGGTCAGCTGCACAGTAGATAAGTGAATCACAATAAAGTTACAAACTGTCTGGGGTTGTGGTGTGTGTGCCCTTCGGCAAGGCACTTTGTCACTCATTGTTTCTCTCCACTCAGGAGTAAATGGGTACCTGTGAGGGCAGAGATGGTTATTGTGATTGATTTTGGCTACTTTGCGCCGAAATGACAGCATCGAGCTGTATACTCCCCAGGGAGCTGAGAATGTCTTTGGAATGTATCATTGGCCCAATGAGCAGGGTAATGATGTACATGAGCACCAATACTGGTGTATATAGATTTTTAAATATTATATTGAGCGCCATCGGCTGGGATCTTCGTGATGTACCTCTTGAACGGTTGGTAGCATATTAGGTGTGACTTGATAGAATCAACGTCAGGTTTGAGGTCTCTTCTGTTATCGAGGGGCTGGAATTACAATGTGGCCATCAAGTAAAATCACTCACTTGGAATGAAATCTTCGTAGCGGTTCTTCTCCACATTTTCTGGAAGCTTTCCCGCTTTACTGCTCCCACTGGCACGACTGACTCGAAGTTCACTCAAATGCTGGAAAAAGTACACGAATGTCAAGTGAACTTCTGCATATCCGAGAGTATTATTACCTAAGAGTTTAGCAAAAATGTCGCAGACATCTTGAGTATACTCGACGAATCGCTGTTCTCCTGAAAAACAGGTTCCCTTGTTTTATAATGTGCAAAGTACATACATGTAAACTTTGAACACCTAAAAAAGCAGGATCACGATTGACAACAGCAGCATGCAGCGGGCGGCGATGACAATGATGATCAAAATAGTATAGTGAATTGATGCTAGTTCCAATGCTACCCGCCATACGCTACACGACACACCAGTGTCTTTTTAGGTTGTTATTCATTATTACCTGGAATTGTTTCTCCATGCCCTTGTCCTTGGATCCAGGTTCCTTCTTTTTCAGAGAAGTCAGCTGCCGGCGGAAGGTTGTCATATCGTAGGTAGTCTCCCCAGTCAGAGAGGCCGCAAGGAGGGCGTCGAAGAGAAATTTGTATTGTTCCTGAAAATGCCAACAGATGTGTGTACAAACATGTGTATTGTCCGTCAAGCTGCTACATTGTTGAAATAGTTGCACGATGTCTGTTGTTTTTGTTAACATGTTAAATGCTTCGGTTGTTTTATTTACGACTTCCTTTTGCACGAAGCATCTTGACTTACCGGAGTCTGAACCATCTTGATCCGATTTTGTCTCATGCGATGGATGAAGGCAAGAACATTGACTTGTCCCTCCTGTTTTATCTGTTCAAGCATGGACTCAAGGCAGATATACGTCCCTGTGCGACCAACGCCCGCACTGAAAAAAAGAGAGTACGGAATGAACCAGTGAAGAGCCTTATTCCGAGCACACCCGGTTGTGAGGCGATCCATAATTTCTCTATTATGGATAAAAATAATGTCTCTATTTTATCAACTGTTCGGAGTCATACCTGCAGTGTATAATGGTTCGTCCTTCGTTGTGTTCAGCGTTCACCACTCGCATGAAGTTGAGCAATGGTGCGGGATATTCAGGGGGTTTCATGTCTGGCCAGGTGGTGTAGTGGAACTGCTTCACATGTCGTGTTTCCTCTTCATTGACCTGCCAAACAAGTGATGACAACAAATATTTAAAACTCAGGTGAACAACAGAGCTGTCTTGTTGACATAAAAGATGGATTGTTGCAGACAACTGGACACACAAACATGCATTTGTGACATGCATCAGCTGGTTAATTGCTGGTTATAGTCGCTGTAGGGAAGAAACAGAATATTTTCATCATAATTAATAATTCCGATTTGAATACCCAAATCATACTGACTAAACTTGATCCAAACTTCAATCATGCATATGGCTGTTAAATAAAGATAAATATAGGCATCTGTTGCTAGATTTGTCAAGAAAGCTTTGACGTATAGTGCTCTATTTTAATGAAGTTACCTCGGTTATGTTGAATTGACGAATGGTGTGGTCAAGGAAAGTCTGCTCGTCAATGATGGTTACTGTGATGTTAGCGTATGCAGTAACCCCAGTATCCGGCCAGTATTGCAGACATTTCGTCTAGATCAAACATAAGAGTTCTTCCTTAATTATTTCAGGGTATGCTTAAACGAGCTTGCAATTCCATTTCAGATTGGTATGTCTACATTATCCGTCTTTATGTTAACTTATAGAGTTATTTGTCTTTAATTCACTTTGCAAACAAAAATGGGGCAACAACACAGGAAATATATCGTAAGGAAACATTGATGATAAAGCAACCCCAAAGTAGGGAATTCTTATACCCAATATTATGATAGCAACATGTTAGATTCACTTAAATAAAAAGAAAAGAAATGCAAACAGTCTTAAAGTTTACACTACCTTTCCATTTTCCACCGGATTCGTCAGCATGACAATCTTATCCACGTTCATCTGCCACACCATCCGCCACATGTCATTGAGAGACGCATTGTTAGGTCCTATTGATAACATCAGATAAAAAACTCATAATTATCTTGTATGATTCAATTTACCCTACTAGTAACTGGTTAATAGTATTACACAATTGTTTCAGAACGAAAAAAGAGCTTTGAGAATTTCGAACATCATTTTTTTTTAATTACCCTGGCTTGCGATGTACTTGTCAGTTTCGCTGTAACCCTGCAAAAATAAAAGTAATGAAAAACGTTAAAGTTTAATATTGATTCACATACTCTATGCAAACGTTCCTAAAAACAACAGATTATCACACAATGAGTACAACAATTTCACTGTATGACGTAGCTTCTGAGTAGTTAAAATAACAAGTTATCAGAGATATTGCTTGCTTGCAAACGTAGTTCGTTGTTTTGTCAACTTTTGTTCGACTTACATCCACGTAGCAGGCATTTATGTAATCCGAATGTGGGTCTTTCTCTACAGGCGTCAACACAACACGAGAATGATCATCTGCGTAGAAAAAAAAGGAAGATTTAAACAAAACAAATGCGACTTTTTCTTCCTGCGCCAACATTGTGTCTACTAATAATATCGATTAAGAAATTAAATGAGATTTAATTTCGGGGATGATACATACAGGGGATGACGTTGGCAAACCGGTTCTTCTTCTTATTTTCTGGTTTACTCGCCACAGTCCAAGGGTGAAGCTGGTCATTGGGAAGAGTCTTAAATGGAAAAAAAGGAAAACAATAAATTTATAAGCAATTATCAAGGGACTTATGTGTCATCCTTGTAACTAGATTAATTGACTATGTTTTCATCGAGAGGAAGCCATAATAGCCGTTGTGTACAAGTTCATGGAACTCTGAACAGTTTTGCACAAATACTGGTTTTTCTTTTCATTAGTACATTTTTAGATGCTCTCTAAAAGTCTTGAACCTGGTGGAGTTTTCAAGTCAAGAAGAAAAACTGAGGAACAGTTAATAAAAGAAGAAGCAGAGATTTAAGAACCTTGTAGTCAGCTTTGAATCCACCGTCTCCAGCTGCTTCCTTTTTCTTGATGTAATCAGCTAGGACGTCAATACGAACTGGTGGTGGCGCCTTGAAAGACTTCTTTTTGATTGATGGAGTCGCAGGTGCAGTGGTATCTGCTGCAGGTGTAGGGGGACTACTCGGATTTACCTCTTGAACGCCAGCGTAGGCATTTGATGCTCCCGTCGGCTCATCTTTCGATAAAATAATGTCTTACAATGTTACCTAGACATTGCCACTTCGATTTTATAGGTAAATAGTTTCTTTAAATATACACGAGTGGCCCTTTATACATTTGATTGTTTTCCATTTCCAAACTTTAGGCAAAATGTTTTAGTAGATGAGTTCTTGTGAAAACTAAAACTCGGAAGCATTTTATGTTAAAATAAAATCAGATATAAGATAAAGACCCTTTCTATTTTTGGCTTTCAGAGCTTGTACTGACTTTAAAAAAAATGTGTGCTTTAACAATTTGATGAGGAAAAACGGCATTTATGTTTCGTTAAACCTAATGGCTGACGTACCTATTGGCATGACTATTTTGAAAGCGTCAACTAGATTTCCAACGCTGGATGAATAGTTGATTTTTTTTTGGCTGCGAGATCAACACCTTTTTACCTTGCATGCAGTCATCTGTCAGATCAACTGTAGACTGCGCCGTGACTCCATTGGTATCAGGTTGGTGTCTTGTCTCTTTGCTTCGTCTGTAATTTTTGTACAGATTATTAATATTATAAAAAGATTATAAATATTATTTTGGTATGAGTAGGTGTCATAAAGTAGGTGTTTTTTCCCGGCTGTTTCGTCTGTAAATATCGTCAAAGTTGTTTGTAAATATTTAGGGGGTATGAGCAAGTGTCAAAAACATCTTCTTGATGCATTTTTCTCTCTTTAGTTTAAAATTACTGAAAAAGCAATTTCATTTACACAGGACTATTGATGGTAAATATATAAATGTGTAATTACCTTTTGAAGACGACGACTGCTATAACAACAGCAATAAGCAGCAATACAGGAACGATGACGCCAAATGCAATTCCCACTGAGTTCCCAGCTGTAACAAATGACATTTAATTCCAGTATTACAAAATGCCAGGAACAAACTATATTAAGACCGTCGTTTGATCTCATCTTGCAGTCTCATGACCGAAGCCAATCCTGGCACATTTGGTATACATGATCCATTAACATTGCTTTATTTAGATCTGCCATGCAGCATCCTCCTCCTCACTAAATAAGCCTATAGGTAACTAGACACATATTTTGATTGGTATACGTACTACCAGTGTCTTATGATGTCTTTTATTTTAGTGGATTTCAAAAATTCTATACCATAATTATAGGCTTCTTGATATGCTACCGTCATCGTGGAGACTAGTAACGGCGGTGCATGGATGAAACGTGAACGGAAAGTTTGCATGACGCGATTTGATTGCCAGAGTGATTATCAGCATTGTCAGCTCTTTAACACTGCATTTTTAAGAAGCTATACATCCACAGATATTGTACAGAGTAGATCTACCTTTTCTTTAAACTTACCTTTCAAACTTGCAGTTTGTATTATTATCGGATCCGAAAAAGTCACGGAGGCTTCCTACATTCAAAGAAAATTATACAAAACATACGTATTTACTACAAATTGAACACTGATAAAATGACAGATTACAAACCGATTAAATTTGTCAACCTTGTGAAGATGGAAACGTGTCTACAAATCACTCACAACCATGGGAAGATGGTTGCCATTTGAAAAAAAGTCAGGTAGCAAAAACCGTTTTTCTTACCATTTCGTTTCCCTGGCTGACTGAGCCGACACGGATGCTGTAGGCAACGCCCGTCTTTAGCGGTGCGTTGTAGTAGCCTCCGTACACCTTCCCATCACCGACTGTAAACTTGTCAGGAACGCTGTCTTTAGTCATTTCTGCTGCAATGTAATCACCTGCAGAGTCCTCGAAATGGTTAGCGATGAGAGCCGCCCTTCTCCTTGATGTTTCGACCTTCTTCACATGTACGATGAATGATCTATTAACAAAAATGATTCGTTTGATTTAGATTTTTGAGAATCATGATCCAAGATGTATCTGCCACAGTAAAAGTTTGCAGCAAACAACAAAATAATCGTTAATGCTCAGAAGACATTTTCTCACTTGTTGTTTCAGTTTAATTTGGAAATTCACGTTGGCAATACCATGGGCATTTATTTTTGAGTCATTGTTATGTCAAAAAACGCGAATGATATTAGTATTGTACAAAAAGGCATAAGTGTAATGGAGTTAGTAGAGCTAATTTCATACGGGACTTTCTGTCTCAATCCTGATGTGTCATAATTATTCAACGATATTTTTTTATTTAAATAAGTATTGTTTAGAGATAGTACGCTTTTTTGGAAGTTGTGCTTTCGATAAAACGTAAAGTAGCTGTGTACAATTTTACGTCGTCACACTGTGTCGAACAATCTTACTCGACAAACGTGTCATCTTCCGGGAGCACGGCTCGGAGACCGATTGTCACCGTAGTCTCTGTCGCCTCGTTGTCGTACGTCATCGGGTTCCTTGGTGCTGGTGGATCTGTCGTTGATTTGAAGGGAATTAAAGGGGAAAAGTAAGTCTTCAGAAGAAAAAATATTTTCATCATAATATGTTTTCATCATAATTATAATGTCCTAGGTTGGGTTTAGTTTTAGTTTAAAACATCAATTAAACATCGTTCAATGAATTACATTGTGTTTCTGATAATATTCAAAATGCTATCAAGCCTTGTTTCAAAACCCTAGTATTGATGAAATCATGACTCTAAAATGGATCTATACATGTAGGTGGGCCTTCCTTACCAGGCTTGACGTGCTTTTATAGCGACTTTGTTTTGGTTAATGCGGTTACTCATATATTCAATGAGTTTGAGATTATAAAGTGGCAGAAATGAAATGTAAAACTATTGTCATTAAACTAGCGATATAATTCCAGTCAAACAATACATCACCTGACAGTGGTTTTGTGTAGACTTCCAAGACTGAAGGCATTCCTACAAGTATGCCATTCTTTGCCGAAACTCTGAATTCATATTTGGTGCCCGGTTGAAGATTCGCTTCGGTATATGGTGAACTGTCAGCTTCGTATTCGGTGTACGTAACTCCTGCAGTAAATCCAGGTTGATATGGTTTCTCCACGGCTCTGATCTTCACCTAAAGGTGACGATTAACAAAGCGAATCATTTGATGTCACAATATTCTCGTATAGTATGAGACGTTTGCTATTACGTGTCAGATTAGGTTTGCATCAATTGCATCGTTTGATTATTCAGCAAGATCCTCAACATTTAAATCTTATAATCAAAATACTTTGACTCTTGTACATACAACATAATATGTGCGGGGTCCCATGGGGTTTAGCGGCTGCTCCCAAGCGATGGTCAGTGAGGTTTCAGATCTTTCTGTCCAATGAAGGTTCTGCACATGTCCAGGAACTGAAAGAAACAAGGGTACTGACTTATTGGATTGCTGTCAACCAACATTAGGCGGGAAAAATCAATACATGAACGGTCTGCAGTCGATTACAGAGTTTGCAGCTTGAAATCAAACTCAAAATGAAACTCAACGTAGTTTACATTTTTTCCCCTTACAATCCTGCGATTTCAGAATTGACAAGCAATTAACTTTAGCGACTGGAAACAGAAGTAACTGGGGTATTCTTCAATTAATTCTTGTTTAGAAAGAACGTTTGAGGCTGGCTACTGATAATTCATTCGTTGGATGCATGAGGTATGAGAATTCATCCAACTGGTGTTTTACATGTTTTACTGTTGAACTGCATTGGATATGTCTGGCTGGCGAAGACCTGTTGTTATATGTTTTTGTAAATTTTGATTGTTGTAATTTTTTTAAAAGATTTTTTTGACGGCTTTGTAGGATTTTTATTGTATTAAACTTCTACTGAAATTTGTTTCTAACTTGAATAGTACATTTTGCGTATTTATTTTTGTCATATAGCTCTTTGATGTGGATTTTCTGCAGTTGTCTGCGCATTATACATTTCCTTTTTTTAAATATTTTTATTTATTATTTATTATTCTTACCTCCTACTGCAGTCTCATTGATGACTTCGCTCCACGGGCCAACGCCCACTGACGTCTTGGCTCGCACCTAAGACACAACATTCACAAAGATAATTATCTAGATCTCGCAAGTATCTTCTTCACCACGCCTTCCATACATTTGTGAATAACGTTATTTAATACCTTACTCCTTTTACTGCATGCCGTATATCAGCAAGATTTATATCTGTGGGTCGTTGAAAAATATGTAATGAATGATATAACATTTGCAGTGGCAATGACGGAATGTCCGTTGTTCAGGCTCGGCAGTTACCAAACTAAACAGTAGAAAATATTTGTTTTTAATTACCTGCATGGAGTAGGTTACATTAACAACAAGATCGGACAGTTGGTAAGACAGTATAGCTGTGCTGCGATTGTACACATCAACTCTCGATGATTCATTTCCCACGACCCAATAGGCCACATCGTAGTTTGTGATGATCCCTTGTGGAGGATCAGGCTCCGTCCATACAACCGCGAGATATTGATTATCAGCGGTCGTAATGCTGACATTCAAAGGGGCTGTTGGCTCTGCAAAATTGACGAAAACGTGCTTTTAAAATTTAATATACTTACAACGTTACAACGTAATGTTGGATGGAATAGACTGATCAACTAGACTCCACTCTACGATGATTTGACCAATCACAGACGTGATTCTTGACCGACATGAATCTACCCAATATCCGACATGCCTGCACTTATTTGACGCACACTTCTGGAAAACTGCAATGTGGCATTGATGAGGCGCTGTAACTACACAGTTGCTCGGTCGGTTGGGCTTAATGGATAAGTCAATGGAGGGTCTTGGATATTCAGGAATCAACGGTAATGAAAAGTATTTGCAAAAGCCGTACCTGCTTCTGTGGTCCGCACCGTCAGAATGCTGCTGAATGACCCAGTCGACATTGTAGTGTAGAAAGCTACTTGGAAGTTATAATCTACGTACGGTGTTAATCCATCAATGGTCGTCGAGGTGTCCGTAGTATTAGTCGGTGGCTTAATCAATGGTCCGGTATTTGCCTGGGAAAGTTTGTACTGGTACCCCTGCAAATCACTGCCTAGACAAACAACTTTGCTCCAGGAGAAACTAATGTTGCGTTGCATGACTGACCTTGTTATAACTTGTCCTGGGAAAGGATCTTGCACTAAAATGTCAACAGAGTAAAAAAAAGGAAAAGTAAGTCTTTACTTTATTGATGTTAATCGTAATTTAAACGTCCTATTGTTAAATACAATTGTGGTAAAAAAAAGATAAAGAGCGGGCGTGGCCATGAAGTCGTGTAAGAAGCATTTGAAGGGATTGTGATGAGTCGTGTTGCGGCACTGTAATCGTCTAGTGGACTATTTCAGTGTCGAAAAAAAGAATCAGCAACAGGCACCGAATGACAGAACGTGCTCACTTAGGCCTGCTGGAAAGTGTTCCGATCATGGAGATTTATTTACATTTGAAAACATTAAAAAACAAAAGTACCAAATTAGTTAGTGTAACAGTATTTGCTGTTATAAAATGCTAACCACAGATGCGTCCATGTGTGAATATAACATCCAAAGCAAACATTGTAAAATAATTTCCTTCAAGTCTTAAGCTTCTTGCAAAGTAGCAACTACAAGTTTTCCAAAAAAAGATGGATATGATAAGCCTAAATTGCAACTTAGTTTGTGTTATTGCTACAACGTACCAGTGTCATAGTTAAAAAAAAAAACATGACGAAATATATTCTTCCTGTGTCGTGGTGGATAGCAGTACAATATTATTCTCTGACGACCAGTCTGAGTTTACCAGCACATGAACATATTGACAGTTTAAGGACAGACAAAGTGGACACACTTATAGTCCATGGTTATCTTACTTGAACACTGACAGTTGATCCCGAAGTATGGTATGGCACATGTACCATTGCTGCAATTTCCAGTATCCTTACTGCAGGTTTCACTTGATGCACAGTGACATGTCTGCTTACAGTCAGCTCCATACTTCCCCTCCGGACACTCTGACAAAGAGAAGTTTGAGGAGGAATATCTTGCAGATAAGGCTGTAAAAAGTACTGTAGAATTATGCAAAGTTGTACTTCTGATAAACAAAATAAAGTAGTGATGTTCACTTAAAAGGGTCTCTAAGGCAATGCAGTCTCCAAATTCATGAGACAGAAATATGCATGTATGCAACCTGATTAACATACATGTTTATGCAGATTTTCTTCTTCAAAAAAATTAGCACAATAGTACCGTCCCTCCCAAAGGAACCTGGCCCAATCCACAACAAAATGTCAATTCACTCTTGGCACCATAGGGGAAAGAGAACTACTCTTGTTCACCTTGCATGCAATTTAGTCCTACGTATCCAGCAGCACAGGAGCATCCGTAAGGATCAGGAAGACAAAACAAACGACCCCGGCAAGCATCGTCGTGTGGATCGGTGGTATCGGAGCATCTATGCCGAGCGTTTTGGCCAAAGACATCACGGCCATGAACTGTGTGCATGAAGTGACATAAAACAACATCACATAACAATTAGATTTGTATACAGCATGAACGAGGTTACTTGTTCGAAGTGACAAAATGTAAACCTGACAACACCAAAAATATCCAAGTCGATAGATTTAATGATTAATGATTCTCTTTTTAAGTTTGTTGCTTTGTAAACTGATTCGTCACACGTGCAATGGTATGTCATAGCTTATTCCTTCTGTATGCGCCAGACTAACGGCTTTCCACCACCTAGCTCGGTCAATTAAGACATTCCACGCAAGTAACAGAATCGCCACCACGTTGTTGTAAGAAGCTATATCTTTTAAATTTGTGCCGTAAAAAAAAAACATGCTGACTTTTTTTTTATTAAGCAGCACCTTGTTCGCAGTTTTCTCCACTAAAACCCGGAGCACAGACACAGTTTCCTGTGTTGTCATCACATACGCCTCCATTGTAGCACCGTCGACAAAGGTTCAGACAGGATGGTAGCCCCCACCTTCCATCAGAACAACCTAAGTGTAGACATGGACATTTGTTTGTGATCGTATTTCAAAATGGAGAGTAATCCTCATTCATCTGTGGTTATCCCCATTTCACATTAAAGGTAAATGCATATGGCTCTGATATTATATTCTTGCATGCTTTTTGCATGTTCGTAGAAAGTGACATTGCAAACAAGAACTTTTTACAGCACGTGCTCGAAGCGAACTTTTTTTTTCAATCCAATATATAAGATATCAAGACTTATACGCGTTTTCCAAAACGCATACTTCGCAGTGCACTCGTTTACAAATATACCTCGCACGATCAGTCTCATGATGCCATGCAGTTGTTGATCCTCCTGGTCAGATACGAAGCAGCTGTAGACTCCTCCATCACTCACAGCAACATCATCAATAGTCACATTGAGCTGGTCATTCCAAGATGTGATGACGTCACTTCCATTATGCCGCCACATGTAGTTTGTGTTTTGGGCATTCACATTTTGCATCTCCAGTCGAACTGAGTCTCCGACGTTTGCTATCTGCGTTCGCTGAACTGGACGTATCTGAACACTATCTGTGTGCAAATTTAACAAATAGAGATAACATGCAGCATATTCTAAAATCGGGTTTTGGACAGGTATGTAATTTTTGTCCTCGTATTTCAACCAGTCCATTTTCGGTCTTGTCGGATCTACCACAATAATTTAAAAATATGTTGTTCATGAGCTTTTTTTTCAGAACCTCTGCACATCAACATGGTGGAATTTAGACCGGTTATTTATTTTAAACTGGTGGATGTTTTGAGGGAATAAAGTCATGTGGTGTTCTTCAGCTTGGTTTGCTCTGATTGTGATCTGAATCAACAGGAATGTTATCTTACCACCATTCGGTAGCATTACGATCTGAATCCTGGTGTTGATGCTTCCTCTTCTTCCTTCAAAATAGAAGACACCAACTCTGCTAATCCCAGCCGCCGCAGGTAACCGTAGAGATCTCTCTTTACATTCCAAAGACGGCTTGTCTTCTTCGGTTGATCCGGGAGGAAGTCCATCCATTCCACCTGTTGCCAACTGACGGCCAAATGAGACACCAGCAGGTATGTCATCGGGACCTTTGTATGCTGTCAGGACGACATCCTTGCCACCAGTCGAGTTGATGAGAGCAGGATTAGCGACGAAAGTAAAATCCACTGAGAATGGAACATTTTTTTTGCAATATGCTGTTAGAAACTTATTCGGACCCCAATAAAAAAAATCGTTTAGACCAAAACATTGAATGTATAATCAATTGGCATACTAGGAGTTGTCGCATCTGGACGGATGAGCAGTAGCATTCACAGAAACATGTAGTTGACGTCTTTATAGCGATCAAAAGACATATAGAGACTTATTGCGTCATATACCATTTTTGGTAATGGATTAGTGACGGTTGGTTCACTTATTAATATAAGAGAAATCTGTTGTGAAAGACTAGTCCACTGTCATTTATCGTGATAGCTTATTTGCTTCCACAAAATGTCATTCTTGCGAAGTATTTTTTTTTTTAAATCAACCTTTCTCCCAGCTTGTTAGAACATAATCACCTGCTGGAACGTTAGGCCTGCATGGAAACACTAAGACTTCACACAGGAAAAGGAACCGTTCTTCTGGATCATCGACGCTGACGTATCGAGCAGTCAGTCCATCAGGTGGATTGCAGTCAAACTCCATCCAGTTATTGGCTACGGCTTGATATTCGGTAACTTTACTCCCACACATTGTGTTCTCAGTGGGCCCACTGCTCATACCTGCACGGACAACAGCATCCTCCAAACGAACCCTCGCACCCACTAATTACGAAGCATGGAAGAAAATGAGCAACATTGTCAGCAAGAAATTGTGTAAATAAATTATCACGGTTTTAGACAGAATGATATGAAATTCTGTTTCCCAATTTTTGTTTCCCAGTTTGTATCTTGTCACATTCCGTCAACGTAAGTAGTTGGAAAATCAACTCACAATTAGCACCACCATAGCCCTTGACTGTCACCTTGCCGACACATTGAACAGACATCAGGTCAAGTTTCCACCATGATGGCACTCCATCTGTTAACAAAGAAGGCTTATGAATTTGAGTCAAGGTAGTGTACTTGATAATTAAATTTCATTTAAAATAGACAATTACAAAATTAACGCTTCCTTTTTTTACCCACTTGTCTCCTTTTGTGCACTTTATTTAGTCCTTTTTTTGCAGCAGAATCCACCATCTTTGGAACAAAATGGGCCGCCTCAAGTTCCTTTTCATTTAAAAAAGTCCGGAGGAGAAACTGTTTGTATTAATTAGCCTTACTATAATGAGGGTAATTTAATTTATTGTCTGCGTACTAAAAGTAGGCCTACATAAGCTTTTCTGGAAAAAAGTCCTCAGATGCAATCATCAAATACACAGCTCAAAGGTAATTTCGAAGTGTATATGGCATTGTTTGGTAGTTTATCAATATGTATTTAATTAATGAGGCCTTACTTGTGGTGCTGCAGTGCCTGTCAGGATCATCGTAGATGAAAGCTCTGTCGACCGCATGAGCAGAAACCCTGGGATTGAATGTGCCGCTCTGAGAAGTCCATCTTCCATCCACAGAAATTGCTACAAAAATACAGGAAAAACCAAATGTCTTCGAAGGATTATCTTAATTTAACGATTTTCCCATATTAATCTTCCCCCTTACATTACAGCGAAACCCAACTTCGATCTTTACACTTAACTGAGTATTGTGTTTTATTATTCATTTCTAAACCACCCCAGTGTGATAGAATGATACTTAAAAGCATTACTCACCAGTTGAGGTGAGAGCTTCTTCATCCACGAATTCTTCAACCGTGACTTCCGCCAAGTTAATGATTTTATTGTCGCCGGGAAAGTCTACGCTCACATACCGAGCAGTGACCACAGGAACAGCTGTCATTATGGTAACTTGGTGTACGCCGACTGTTCCTATCAATGTGTTGGGTGAACGATCTGGACTCAACCCAGCACGTACTTCAGCACCGTCCATGCCGACTCCTGCGTTTTAAAAACACGCACATTATGATACCACTGCAGTTGAATGTTTTGGAACTGGGCTTTATATAATTTCAAATAATGAATTTTGTCAGATTAGGGCTTCCAACTCTTCACAAAATCACCATTTAATATATATTCAAATACATGTAATAATTTTATCTATGAAAGGGCTGGTATCCTGAGTAACGTATAAAGCAATGTATTTGCTCTGTGTATAATCCTCTAATAAAATACGGTATATAAAAGTTAAATGTCAAATGATATTGGATGACGGATGTGCATTAAGTTAGAAAATCTAGTGGAAATGAACACCACGACAAGTGATCACCCTACCAAAGACGGGGATAATTGATTTGCCATGGTTATCTTCAAATCTGTTCTAGCGTTTAAAGTTCTGGCAGACATTATGGCATCTGACAGGTTTACCAATAGTAATTCAACAAGAACAAACATACGACAAACATTCTGTGGGTTACGGGTGGGCAGAGGTTCTGGCATCTAACAAACTTGCCAGCAGCAATTCAACAAGAACAGATATCATATTTCAAAAATGCGAATAATATTCTATGTGTTTTGGGTGGGCAGATTCTTACCCTTGATGATAGTAATTGTCTTCAAGCAGTAGACAGCCTCCAAGTCCAATCGCCACCACGGATTGAGCATTTCCGCTGTACAGATATGAAACAGAGGTTATTCATCCTACCCAATGTTTCTGTCATTTGTCAGGAAAGCCACCACAGTCTCCCAGTCACAAGATTTGAATTGTAACGCATGAACACCCATTAATATTGCTATCGTTTTTTGTCTCTTTTAATTTTTCACTGTACTTGCAAGTTACTTTTGAACGGACCTGTGATGGACCCGACCACAACATTGCTTTATTACAATGTGAAGCGATTATCTCACCCGTCTTTGAAAATATGGTAATGTTTCCATCCACAGCCTTCCCTGCCTCAAATCTAAGGCCGTTTTCATCCGGAGCAGTTGAGCTCTGTTCGGCAGGTTTCCCTCGCACATCCAAGGACAGTGCTTTAGTTTAAAATACAAAAGGAATAGTTTTTCAACGACAAAAAAAATGGAAACATTTGTTTGTAGTTGCTGAAAGCAACAAGTCTTTTAAAAAATGTTAAGCAAGCCAAATCAAATCCACCCACATTTTGGTACTTTGTTGTGTTATCACTGTACAATTTACTCTTCTTGAGTTTCGATTTTTGTTTGCAGAATGAATGTGCTTGGCAAGGTTAAATCATTGTAAACTTGATGATCATGTCTATAACAAAAAAGAAAGATTATTTTCCTCTAAAAAAAATCCGTACAGAATACAACCTGCTAACATCCTGAAATACATAAATGAAATCACTGGATAAAATAATAGCTGAGAATGAGGTCAATTCGCATCAACATGCCAAAAATCTGCATGATAGTATATGCCTGTATAAAGTGGTTTGGAAATCAATAATTCAAACTAAACATGTCACGTCCTGATTTTTTGTTCTTCGCAGAGTAAAAATAACTCCATCACTGAATTGTGGTGGAATGAACGGGAACGACAATTAAACCATCATCAAACAATTATACACTTTAATTACCTGTGTTGACAACAATCAGAAGTACCAACGCATAGAAACGACACCATCGTAGCGAACAGGCCGCCATGATTATTGCATGCGGAAATAAATATCCAATAAATCTGATCTGCTGCACCCACACTCAGAACCTGTACCCATACACTTCGTGCCGAGCATTGAATACATTACGGTTTTGTATTTTTGAATAATCGCTAGAGGGGAATAGCCTGGCTGACCTGGCTTCGCCAATACACTACGTCATAGAGAACTTCACGGTACAGTGACTTCGTTGCTCCCAACACTGTGGAATACCATTTCTTATACAGTTACCAGCATTGACAAGTTTGCAGTATGAAACCGTCATGTGATCATTATTCCATTGTTGTTTCTGATAATAAAACCACTATTTTCTTCAAAACGTGCTTGCATGACAAGGTAATCTCACAAAGATGGCATTGAGGAAGTGGTCCGACTTTGAGGGGAAATCTCATCATGATTTGTTTGATGACCGTGAAGAATTCCTCTATTTTTCATTGGATTGTTTTGGTGTAAATCATATCACTGGCAAATATGTATATTTCATCCGAGCTGTTTGAATGTTTACTTTGACCTCAATTTGCATGTTGACCCCAGGTAGGCGTGGTAAGCCTTGTGAAGCAATTTTGAAACATATTTCATCATCCATGTTATTTTTTGCATAGAGATAATGTTGTAATATTACACCTATTCAAGTCTGAAAGAAACAAATTTGTAAAACAAATAAATCAATCGTTTTTTCTCGTGCCTCATATGAAGTCAGAGGACAGTGAAATTGGAACATATACATATTTACAACTATTGAGCTATAAGATAACTAAGCCTCCTCATTAACCCTTGCATTTTTATGTTTCCACACACTTCTTAGGTATTTTGCAAAAACAAGTGACACACAGACATCAGACCGACAAACTGCGAGACAGACGGACATCAAACAGACAGACAGCGAAGGATCTTTTAATATAGAATATAAAAAAATTACTGTAATAAAATAATAAAGTTGACAATTAATATATGGACCCAAAGTCTTGTGAAGCAAGTCAGTTCATGTCTATACGTGATCCCAAACAAAAGATTTCCGAAAAGAGGTATATATTTTGCCATTTCGTGGAGTTTTTACAACACAGTGCAAATAAGCATATTATAGAACTACACGTAGGCAACATGCCATGATAGCAAGTACTATTTTGATTTTTGGACACTTTTTCCTGGTTGAATAAACTTTCCATTATGCACTGTGCTTGTCAATTGAATAAAGGTGCTCAGTAACTGTGACTATTATAGTGACGTCACAATTTGTAATGTCATGTTGGAAAATGTCAGGCAATAGGTGGCGCAATTAACAACGTTCGCACGACGTAAACATTGGCGTAAACATTGGCGCTCGTGATTAAAATGACACTAAGGGGCACTCTTGAGTAAATATGGGGGGGGGGGGGGGGATACCCCCATTACCCCACCCCCCGGCAAAGTGGCTACGCCACAGCTACAAGTATCATAATTATGCACTAACTAGCTATAACATGAATATTCGATGATCAGAAAACTGGACGGCGGCATCGTTCGTCTAACCAGCTGTGACCCGATCGCGACACGGTGGCTATCAGACATGGACCTTGACATTTGATTCGCCGACCTTGACATTTGATTCAGCGCTGCATACGAGAGAGAGAGAGACATGAATATTTAAAGAATCTTCCCTTTACTGATAATGAAATGAAAGGACGAACTGGTGCAGAAAAATCCCTTATTATCATTATACATTTATCGGAATTTAATAGTCAATCGAAATTGATTTTTCTAAGGAGTTCTGTGTAAAGTTTTACAAACAAAAAATTCACATTTTAAATACTTTAAGAGAAGAAGAGGAATTTGAGAGTGTAGAATTAACGCCTACATTTAGTTAATGAAGAAGGTTTATGTACGAAAACATATTTTAATACATCAAAATAATCTACGTGTCTTGGTAAGGCATTTTTTAGACATCGAAAATCTTTATAAAAAGTTCTTTAAATATAACATTTGCGTAAAAAGTACATTTGTTTATATATAAAAACATTTACCGCAGAAATTATTTGGAATAATTCCAGAAACTTTTACAACATTTCTTGAGTATAAAAACACTTTTACAATACAAAACACAAAAACAAACATGATCATCAAAACACCATCCGTCTGCACGACGATCCTTTACCAAAGTCATCGATATCAACTATTAAAGAAAAACCCGCAGAATAGTTGCCCATTGTCTCATAAAAAAATAAACCCCAATTCTGCCGTATTGAATTAAATAAAGGCAGCTACAAACATATATAGTTTAGATAGGGAAAGTTATACAACCCCTTCGTTATACAATGGTACAACCACCACCCTCTCTTCAAAAGGTCTTTGTTATTGAGGGTGGACATTTCTTTGGAATATTTCACCCGAATCCCTCCAGACAAACTTGACCAGCGATGGAAAACATCAAAATGTATCAAAGAAGTCCAATCGAAAACAGACGGGCACTGGAACTTATACAAAAGTATATATGTATCGTTTTTTGTTTTACAGGTTTTCGTAGACAATGGACGAGTCCAAGTTAGCCTGGAATACATCGTAGCACATCGCATAGTGGTCCTGCACGACAATGGAAATGTGGCATCAATTACAAAAGGTAAGGCTGGAATTGCTGCTAGTAAGGAGAATTATACAAGCAATTGTGTATTATCGCGTGCACCTGCTGGACACGGAAAGTATATAGGAATCAATTTAATCGAAACGGCAAATATTTACGCATTCACTGCTTGAACAATTTTATCAAAAATACTTACTAGGGAGAACATCATACTGCGATGCACTACTAGTAGGAGCGCTGAACGGCTTGAAACACGTCTGCACTAGTTTCCTCTTGAAACTGTTCCATCATTGACATCAAAGTGCAGTACACCGCTGTGCGTCCCAATCCATCACTTGAATGCAGATGCTAATGAATAATATCGGTATAATCTAATTGATGTTCAAAAACCACTTTTAAAGTCAGAGTTAGAAATGGTTGACATTTATGATCACTCTGGACATAACCAGTACATATTCTCTTGCCAAATTTTTGAATATTTGGGAATTTGGCAAACTATTGATTATAGTTTTACTAATAAAACATTACGGATTTCCATGACTCTTTTAAAACAATATTTGTATGCACTCATATGTTGTGACACTGCGGCCTTTTCTGGTATTGATCACACACAAAACTGACACCGAATGTTCAAAGAGGGCGGTCTATAGAAAGCCCACACTTTAATGCATGCATAAAAAAAAAACATCAACCCTTCACAAAATCTGCTAAAATTGCCCAGTTGAATCCCAGACTACAGAGTTGAATGGTTCATCGACTACAAATACACAATACCTTGTCGTTAGGGAAATGATATCGTCGGCAAAATGAGGTAAATCCACAGGTGTTTTTTTCCTGATGAATCACTGAAAATTCACAATGAGATCTTTATGTCCGTAGATTGTCATTGAGTTTACAATATTCTCACGAGTGCCTCTTTTTTCAGGAGTGCCCTTTTAATCACGAGCGCCGATTTCCCCCCCCCCCAGAGTGCCATTTACACGTCGCGCGAACGTTGCAGATTGTACCGTCATGAAGAGCGCCACCCCTGTGTATATTTCTCACAATTTGTAAATGAAAACATTATCACACACGAAAACACAAGTTCACGTTTTAGCGGTAATATTTCGCGCATGCGCACAAACCAAATGTCGCCGTGAATACGTGCGGAGTGTATAAATATACACACTTAGTTTGGAGTTGTTGAACCAACGCGTGAATAATGCCTGCTTCGCGCAGTTCATTGGCCCCTTTTCAACTGCTTTTGTGTCAATAGAAGTGTGTATATTAACATGTACAGCAGGGTTCTGGGTCAAAAGTTCAACCTTTTGTTGCACTTCGCATATGTTTCACATGCAGAAGCTGAATGTAGAAAATAATCCGTTCCTGCTGCTGCTTTTTTGGCTTTTCTTCGACTAAATAATCCTCTCTGGACTTCGGATACCTAATGAATTCATACTAAGGGAGAGTGTGGCTTTGTGCTTATAGGCTCGTGACTCATGATTACATGGTCTGCTGGCCATTATGTGGTGTCCCTGGGCAAACCAGATCACCCCTCTTGCCTCTCCCCACCCAGGAGTATCATGGGTACATGCAATAGCTGGGGGTAAACTGCAATGGACTGCCACCCCATCCAGGGGGAATAGAAATATATTCTGTCGTTTTATGCCAAGGAAACTGGAGACAAACGCCGGCCTGATGGGATATATTGACTCGTGACAGACTTTAGTACTACTTAGGCCCAGGGAATGGGTGGTACCTAATCATTTATATCTCATGGATTTGGTAGATCATTGTTTAAATCAATATAAAGGCACTGACATTGATCTTTCTTTCCCTGTATTGTAGCGTCTCTGCTGAAACAAGCTAACACATCTAAAGTACATGTCTAGTCAGAAAGCTCAGAATTTACATTGTAAATTTTTACGAAGCTCAGTTACTGTGTATATAGTTTCTAACTTACCCAATCTTTCTCATTAATAATTATTGTTATATTAAAATTATCCTCAACATTTATTTGTACTTCAAGGATAATGCGCGAAATATGTTTATCTGAGTATACGTTTACATTTATCGAAAACAGACAGGATTTCTTGGATATGATCCGATTCATGAAAAGATCCCAAACTCGAGAAAAACAAATGTTTCATGGCTAACAAGGTACATCAGATAGTATCATATCTTTATCTAAAAATAAGAAAATCATAGCAGTTTTAAGTAATAGAACATTATATAAAGCATACACACATAAAATTATCATTATTAATTAAAGGTGTATGCTAACTTGTTTCACAGAAATTGCAAAAAAAGTAACATAAAATATTCCCAATACATTTCAAACAAGTGTTTACTGCATCCAACAGTTTTACCATCCATAATCAATATACATACACAGCTAAAATAGCTAACATAATCACCACGGCACGTGCTATAACAGTTAATATCATACTGTGTGGTATCTGGGTTTCTGATTTTATCCAATGACAGTAAAAAATATATATACATGCACGATCAAATGAAATACAAGTAAGTCTTGATTTCAAGTATTTAAGAACACATTTTAATATGAAACATAAAAGGTATCTAGTGCACAGCAATTGGGTCAATAACAAAGCGCCTCCCCAAAAAGAAAAAACAAATCAGAATAATCAGTCAATGATATTTGAGTTGCATCTCCAAGATATCTCGAAAGGTCTTGTTCTCTTTAAGATGCTTCTTCATTAATCTTGCACCGTTGTTCTAGTTATCGTCAAACTCTGGCTTGATCACGTGATTCACGTAGAAATGAGTTGTCATGTAGATCTGAAATGTCAACCAAATGTGGATTTTATAATTTACAGATTTTTTATCGAAAATATTTTCAAAATTGATATTGAAATAATATATTTCTTGAGCCAATTAAAGACGATTTTGTAAATGGCCTGAAGACCGTCGAAAAGTAAGCGAGAATCAATAGGCAAAAAAAATCATACACTTTTATAAGATGCTGTAATAAGCGTTTGTGATAAACAAAAAAAGAAACAACGTTGGGGCAAACACGGTACACATACGTTCTCATCTGATGGGTCGTTCATTTTCTTGAGTGTCACCATTATTTCTTTGAAGCTTGGGCGTTGGCTGGGTTCTAGCTGCCAACACTTCATCATCAGATCGTAGCTAGAGAAGGCAAAAAATGCAACAAAGCTAAGTTACTAGGGGTGTTGTGGAGGTGCGGTGGTAAGAGGTGAAATTTCTTGTCACTTTGAAGCACACTTGTTTTAATCAATAGACACCTTAACGATTTTACAGACTCTGTTGGTAGCAAGCACAATTTTCCAAAAACTGCGATTCCCGACGATTCAGGTTGGCACTGCGTTGATGTCATTATAGTTGAAATTAAAACATTCTTTGTGCGACGCCAAAACTGTCCTTGTCTTGTTTTTGTACCTCTGCGGTTTGCCAAGACTAAAAGAGACAACTAAATCAGCTTTTGTGATTTTTATAAAAAGTAAAGGTTATTTTTTTGCATAATTACATTTCATCGGCACAGTTTTCCGGCTTGGGCATTCGGTAACCCTCCTGTAATCGTTTGGCCAACAGCAAACTCTGAATTCCCGGATAGGGTGTCGCTCCTGCAATAACCAATCAATACAATATATCATCCGTCAAACAATAACATCTTTAATTGTCCATACTACAATACCAGTCTTAGAACTCCGAAGTTGCCATGGTATTTAATTATGGAATGAGGCTATGATGAGAATAGAAAGGTTGTGTAGTACTGCAAAAAGGTGACTGGATAGAAAAGTGAAGGTCAAATTAGAAATACAGATTTCAAAACTTTATTTTTTTTTCTTCTGATAGCATAAACTACCTCAAAATAATAACCAATCACGATTTTAACACACAGCCAAGTTATATTTTGCTTTAAATTCTTTACACATTCCTTCCTATGGAATATAAAGATCTGAAATACACAAAGTTAGTTACTTACCAAATGTGGCTATCTCCCACAGTACGATCCCGAATGACCATCTGGAACAAGATCACCAAAAAGACTCAGGCATGAAAAACGAATCATAATATCATTCTCACTTGGAATTTGACTTGGAATTTGGTGGGATGTCTTATGATCTCAAAGTTGTATTAAGTTTTGATGATACTTACACATCACTCTTAGATTTGTACACCCGGCGGGTCAAAGACTCGATGGCCATCCAGCGGAAAGGAACACGCGTCTAAGACAGTACAGTTACAAACAAAAATAAATTAAATAAAGAAAGTAAATTAAAATCTGCATTTCAAAAGAAATAAACAAACATTGAGATTCATTAGTCTTCACAAGCTACACACAATTTTACTAGCTTACTCCACTTGTGCAGTATTTATTGTTTGCTTTTTGGTGCTTCTTGAGTGTTATTGGAAACTGTATTTTAAAGAATGAATTTCACAATAAGATCAGTGTCAACATTTTACGAGTTTTAATTCTGCACCTGTGCACTTCATTAACTATTCTACTGACAGCATTAATTATTGAGAAAGTGACACTTGTACCTGCGATTTCTGAACGTAGGTGTCCTCTCCCCGTGATAGTCCAAAATCAGAAATCTTGGCAGTCAAGTCTTCTCCGAGAAGTATGTTTCTCGCAGCCAAGTCACGGTGAATTATCTACGTTAAAAAATATATTTATTTTACGATAAGTCTTCCAGCTGTACGCGACAGTTACAGATCTCGACAATCTGTTTTTGTACCGTCACGGGCCCATTTATACTCAAAGGTGGAGAAAGGAAGACAAAGTATCTTGCTCAAGAACACAATGTCGAGATTTGAACTTCGAGATTTCAATCTGTATGAATTAAAAGCTGGACACTTGAATTTGCTACACCTCAACCAAAGTATCTAGAGGCATATTTGTATTCGACTGCAGGCCCTTACCCCAGTGTCAGAGAGGTGATCCATTCCTCTGGCTATATCTATGCCGAATGTCAGTAAGTTGGAGGAAGTCAGCGGTGATTCACCATCATCCGACTCCATTGCCACCTGCTGCTTGGGGCGAGTACTCCTCAGGTAGTCACGCAGGTTGCCGTTGGGGAGATATTCAAGAGCGACGTACAAAATCGCTGGAATTAAGAAAAAAATCACTGGTCAGACTTCTAAAAATTGGAGAGTACATCAAATTCCCTGGGTGTAGGAACTATAGGGTGGGTTTGGCCGGGGAACTAATTCGAATAATGTTAAACATAAGCAGCCGGTGGTTTTTAAGTCTGAAACCACAGTTGCATGTAAGAAAATTTTGTTCTTTGTGTGCTTTTCACTGATAAAGAAACCAGTCAAAACTATACTTTATACTTAAATTAAGGCCCCAAAGGATGTTTACACCTGAGCTTAAAGAATCGTTATGAAATTATTGTGTACTGGTTTAATATCTGAGTAATGGTTGATAGTTGTAGTTGTACCTTCGTACATACACGCGCCCATCAGACCAACTATGTTCGGGTGTGGCTTGATTCGAGCCATTGTCTTGAACTCGACCAGGAAGTCCTCGGAAGCAGTCGTCGTCGCACCTGTAAGGATAAAAAGGAGAGACAATTTTAATCCCTGCTGTCTCATTCCAACAAAACATGTTCCTCAAATCAAGTGTGACAGGATCAAAACAATTCACTACCACAAAATTAACCACCTCTGTCATAGGATGATGTTATCAGCCCGAGATCGAAATCAATTTTCTCTTACCTTTGAGAGTTTTGATGGCTACTTTAGCCAGTCCTCCTCTGATTTTGAGACGGCCTGCTCTCACTTCTCCAAAGTTTCCCTTGCCAAGAACCTTATCCTCAATCGTGAGATTACTCCATTGGATTTCCAGTCCCTTGGCCCAGGCTGGTAAACCAACGTCTTCGTAGATGCCGCTTTCAGCAATCGGTGAATCAATGCCTTGCATGCTGGGATATCTCACAACAGGAAGCTCCTATGCCCAGGACATCAATATTAAACAAGTAAATAGTATGTGAAGCGAAGACTTTCGTGTTACCATTCCAGTCCAAGAATATAACTTGCGACTGCCTACCTTTCAAAACTTAGTTTTCATATTTTCACTTTGAAGAGCTTTTGTTATATTGTTCCTTTTTCAAAATTACTACCAAATACAAACAGACTTCGACTTTTTGACTAAGACAAAGACTTACAAGTTTATCAGTGACGTTAAGCCTCGGTGTATTCTGAGCATTGTTGCGGTCTTGGTCTCGTTTCCTCCACACCACGCAGCCGATGATGACAGCAACAGCTCCAACAAATAATAATACCCCGAGAACGATAGCTGCTATGACTGGTCCATTGTTCTGTGCATCGGGTGTACCTGCTAGTTATTACAGTTAAAAGTAACTTGTGATTGTGATAATTTGCATAAACATTATAGGCTTTTAAAAATTAAGGATATAAAAAATACCCGTACAAATAGTAAAGTAAAAAAAATGAATAATTCAAAAACAATATTTTTTGGTGGGCTTCTATTGAGTGTTGCCTTCGCCAACTTTTTTTTGCAAATACTGTATATACTCATTGTTCCGAGGGCTGGCGAGAAAACAAAACATTCAAAAACTACTCTGGTGGGACTCCAACCCACGAACTCCTGCTGAATAGTGCAAACGTCCTACCAACGAGCTTGCCAGTGTCAACAATCCAGTTAGATTGTGATGTAGCAGTGTGTACTGCAACTCAACATTGTGTAAGATCGACTTTAACGCAGGGTGTAAATCTTAAGAGCCGACTGCAAAATAAGCATTCTTACAAATTTACCTTTTGCAGTTTGCACACCTATGGGATCCGAAAAAGTCACGGAGGCTTCCTGTATTCAAAGAAATTGTGAAAACTTGTTCAATACAAAACTAGCACCGACAACCGATTTAAAGGTAGAGTATATCATTTGTCATTTGCTCATTTGTTTCATTTAAAGCAACACAAAAGCTCAAAATCCAAAAACCGTTTTTCGTACCGTCTCGTTTCCCTGGCTGACGGAGCCGACACGGATGATGTAGGCAACGCCCAGCCGCAGCGGTGCATTGTAGTAGCCTCCGTACACCCTCTCATCACCGACTGTAAACTTGTCAGGAACGGTGTCTTTAGTCATTTCTGCTGCAATGTAATCGTCTGCAGAGTCCTCGAAACGCTTAGCAATTAGAGCGTCTCTTCTCCTTACCAATGACATCTGGACCTTCTTCACATATACGATGTAGGTTCTACATAAAAACAAAAATCCATTTCATTTACAATTTGATAATCAAGATCCAAAATATGTTGTCTACAACAGTAACAATTTGCAGCGAACAATAAGAATTATCTTTAATGCTCAGATGGTGACATTTTCTCGCTAGTGGCTTCAGTCTTAAATTTGGGCAATTCACGTGGACAATATCATCTGCGTGTATTTTTTCGTATTTTTTTCACATTTATGTGACAACAAGACTGTTTTGGGTATTGCAAAAAGGCATTAGTGTAATGGAGTTGGAGAATTGATAATCGTTTCTCATTGGGCGCCTTCTGTCTTGATCCCATAGTGTATGATTTGTCGTAATTAAACAACGGTAACTGATCCCTTTTAAATAAAAATGTTTAGAGAAAGTAATCGTTTTATAGGAGTTGTACTTTCCATATAGTGTAAACTAGCTATGCACAATGTATGTTGTCACGCCGAGCATCTTAAGCCTTGCAAAACATATACGGGTGATCCCGTTCTTCTTATGATGCTAAATCAATCTAACGATGCGAACAATCTTACTCGACAAACATGTCATCTTCTGGGATCACGGCTCGAAGGCCAATTGTCACCGTCGTCTCCGTCGCCTCGTTGTTGTATGTCATCGGTGTCCTTGGTGCTGGCGGATCTGTCGTTGATTTGAAAGGAACTTTGTGTCGATGAATAATTTAATGAATAACTGATGAGATCTTGACTTTAATATCGACCGTCAAGCGATTTTGTTTTGGTCAGTTCAGCAAGTCGTAGTTCCTATGAGTTTAAGTTTATTATATTCAAATCTATTCAAACAATATATCACCTGATAGTGGATTTGTGTAGACTTCTAAGACTGAAGGCGATCCTACAAATCTGTGATTCCTTGACGAAACTCTGAATTCATATTTGGTGCCCGGTTGAAGATTCGCTTCGGTATATGGTGAACTGTCAGCTTCGTATTCGGTGTACGTATCTCCTGCAGTAAATGCAGGTTGATATGGTTTCTCTACGGCCCGGATCTTCACCTAAAGATGACGATTAACAAAGCGAATAATTTGATGTCACAATCTTCTCGTATAGTATGAGACGTTTGCTATTACGTGTCAGATTCTGTTTGCATCATAATCGAAATACTTTGACCCTTTTACATACAACATAATATGTGCGTGGTCCCATAGGATTTAGCGGCTGTTTCCAAGCGATGGTCAGTGAGGTTTCAGATCTTTCTGTCCATTGAAGGTTCTGCACAAGTCCAGGAACTGAAAGAAACAAAGGTATTGACATACTGGATAGTTGCCAACATTGTGAGCGAAAAATCAAATGAATACAGCTTGAAATCAAACTCAAAATCAAACTCAAGATAGTTTCCATTTTTGTTCCTTTGAATTGACAAGCAATTAACATTAGCGTGTGGAAACAGAAGTAACTGGGCTATGCTTCAATTAATTAATGTATGAGGCCGGCTACGGATATTTATTTTTTGGAAGCAGGAGGTATAAGAATTCATTTGTACATGTACAGAAGTTTGACTGTTGTATTGCATTGGATATGTCTGGCTGGGCAAGACCTGTTGTTATGTTTTTATCTATGTGTACTTGATTGTTGTAATTTGCTTTTTAAAAATATTTTTACGGCTTTGTAGAATTTTCTTTTTTATTTAAGTTCTATTGGAATTTGTTTTGAACTTAAAATAGTATATAAATTTTGCATGTTTATTCTTTGTTATATCGCCCTGAGGTGGATTTTTCTGCGATTGTCTATAAATTTACTTTTTTTTGTTAATAATAACTTATTTTTCTTACCTCCTACTACAATCTCATTGTTGACTTCGCTCCACGGGCCAACGCCCGCTACTGTCTTGGCTCGCACCTTAGACAGAACATGCAAACAAATTAATTTTCTCGAAAGTATCTTCTTCACCACATCTGTCATCAATTATTTAACATCTTCCTCCTTACTGCATGCCGCATATCAGCAAGATTTCTATCTGTAGGTCGTTGAATTGGAAAATATGTAATGAATGATATAATCTTTGCATTGGCAACACACCGAATTAATGTCCATTGTACAGGCTCGGCAGTTACCAAACTAAACGATAGAGAATATGTTTTGTTTTAATTACCTGCATGTAGTAGGTAACATTAACAACAAGATCGGGTAGTTGATAAGACAGCGTGGTCGTGCTGAGATTGAACACATCAACTCTCGATGTTTCATTTCCCACGACCCAATAGGCCACATCGTAGTTTGTGATGATCCCTTGTGGAGGATCAGGCTCCGTCCATACAACCGCCAGATGTTGATTATCAACGGTCGTAATGCCGACATTCAAAGGGGCTGTTGGCTCTGCAAAATTGAAGAGACGAAAAGCGTACTTTTAAAATATTGTATACTGAAAACGTAATTATTTATACTGGATCGAACAGACCGATCTACTAGGCTCCACCTTATGATGTTATGACATGAATGCACAAAATATCCGACATGCCTGCACTATAATCATATGACGCACACTTCTGGCGCTGTAATTACACAGTTGCTCACGGGGCTTAATAGATGAATCAATGGAGGGTTTTGAAAGACTTTCGGTCTTTGCTATTGAGGAATTAACGGTAATGAAAAGTATTTGCAAAAGCCGTACCTGCTTCTGTGGTCCGCACCGTCAGAATTCTGCTGAATGACCCAGTCGACATTGTAGTGTAGAAAGCTACTTGGAAGTTATAATCGACGTACGGTGTTAATCCGTCAATGGTCGTCGAGGTGTCCGTAGTATTAGTCGGTAGCTTTATTATTGTACCGGTTTTTGCCTGGGCAAGTTGGTACTGGTACTCCTGGATTTCAATGCCTAGACAGAGGAGTTTACTCCAGGAGAAACTAACGTTGCGTTGCATGACTGACCTTGTTATTACCTGTCCTGGGAAAGGATCTTGCACTAAAATGTCCAAAAAAAAGTGAAAAAGAAAAGGTATGTCTTTACTGTGTTGATGTTTATCGTAAGTATATTGCGTGTAAAGAAGCTATAATGAGCGGACTTGACAACGAAGTCGTGTAAGACGCGTCTGGGGATATTGTGAAGAGTTATGTCCTGGCACTGTAGCCTTCTAGTAGAATTTCAGTGAACTTTTAGGAAAATAGAACAAGCAACACGCACTGAATGAGAGAACGTGCTCACTTTAAGGCCTTTCATGAAAGCGTGCATAGACCGTGGCGATTAATCGAACGAACAGCATTTGCAAACATTACAAGAGTTGTAACAAGTCACTAATTTTTGTGACTCGAGTCAAGTCGAGTCATTTTAAAATAGTGATTCCAGTAAAGGACCATTTACACAATGGTCCGTGCTCCAGTCGAGCCGAGTATGGATGGCAGTGAAGTTATACTACCGGTTTACCAGCACGTTTACTAGGCATGTTCCCTGTCAGGAACATGGTGTTTGTGTCCTTGGGCAAGACACTTAACTACAATTGCCTCTCTCCACCCAGGAGTATCAATGGGTACATGTGAGGGTAGAGGCCTAATGTGCGCTGATATCAGCTGCTGCGGGGTTTCATGGCCCGATGAACGGGGGATTGGGGGGAATAATTGTAAAGCGCGTTGAAGGAAAGTGGTATCATAAGCATCACATTGTATTTTATTTATTTATATCATAATGAACGTTTCAGTCAAAGAGGACACAGTAATAGTCCATGGTTATCTTACTTGCAAACTGACAGTTGAACCCGAAGTATGGTATGGCACATGTACCACTGCTGCATTCTCCTGTATCCTTACTGCATGTATCCCCAGGCACACAGTGACACGTCTGCTTACAGTCAGCTCCATACGTCCCCTCGGAACACTCTGACAAAGGGGAGTTTGAGGAGAAATATCTTGCACGTAACAGTGTAAAACATAGTATAGAATTTTTTTTAAAAAAAGGATGTTGACTTAAGAGAGACTGTTAGGCCATCCAGTTGTATTAGGTCTTAAATGAGACCGGAACATGCACATGTTTGCAAAACGTTCAAACCTGATTTGCAAATATGCATACTTTTTTTTAAATTTTTTTTTAATAAAGCCATACACAGTACTACTAGGCCCAATCCACAAAACATTGTTAATTTACACTTGGCATCATAATGTATAAAGGAGTACATATAGTCTCATTCACCTTGCGTGCAGTCTAGTCCAGTGAACCCTGCAGCACACGAGCATCCGTAAGGATCAGGAAGACAAAACAAACGACCCCGGCAAGCGTCGTCGTGTGGATCGCTGGTATTGGAGCATCTATGGACAGCATTTTTACCGAAAACATTGCAACCGTGTGCTGTGTAGAATAATAAGAGAACCATTATGATTCACTATGTATGCAGTCTGGTGCCTTGAATCCTGCAGCAGAAATTGCGGACATGAACAGTTTTATGTGCATCAATTTAGATAAAAGAACTTCATATAGGCCTAATAATGACATCTGTATATCCATTACAACATGAACAAGGTCAAATGAAACTTAAGGGTTTGCATGGTGGACATGATCAATGAATGGAAGGCTAGCGGTAGCAATTATCTGAATGATATCTCTTTGTGAGTTGTGTGGTACTGAGAAGATCCAGTTATGAAGTTGCGAACACCAAGAATACCCGAGTCCTGATATAGTCAGTGATTACATGATGTTCTTTTCATGGTTGTTTCTTCGGAAACTAACACGATTTCTTAACGTGCAATGGCACAAAGCTTATTTCTTTTGTCAGACTAACACGGCATTCCGCCACCTAGCTCAGCCAAGTTGAATAATGGCGTAACATGCGAGTCAACAAAAATGATACCACGCTGTTGTGAACAAGCCATTTCTTTTTTTTTGTACTGTTAAAACCAAACAATTTATGAAGTTCATAAACAGCACCCCGTTCGCAGTTTTCTCCACTGAAACCCGGAGCACAGACACAGTTTCCTGTGATGTCGTCACATACGCCTCTATTGTAGCACCGTCGACAAAGATTCAGGCAGAATGATGGCCCCCAAATCGCATCAGAACAGCCTAAGTGTAGACATGGAAAAAAAAAATGATCATATTACAAAATGGAGCATAATCATAATTCGTTTGTCGTCATCCCCATTTCACAAAGAAGGTAGATGCATTTGCTGTTGATATTATTTTCCTGCATATTTGTGTACGTTCATAGACACATAAAAAAAACCCATTGTAAACAAGAACGTTTACATCACGTGATCGAAGCAAACCTCGTGATTTTTTTTTGGATTCCAATCAAAATGAGAAAATATCAGGATTTAAACGCGGTTTCGAAAACGCATATACTTCGTGATACACTCAGTTATAAACATACGTCGCACAATAAGTCTCATGATGCCATGCAGTTGTTGATCCTCCTGGTCAGATACGAAGCAGCTGTAGACTCCTCCATCACTCACAGCAACATCATCAATAGACACACTGAGCTGGTCATTCCAAGATGTCATGACGTCACCTCCATCATGCCGCCATCTGTAGTTGGTGTTTGGTGCATTCACATTTCGCATCTCAAGTTGAATTGAGTCTCCGACATTTGCTATCTGCGTTCGCTGAACTGGACGTATCTGTACAATATCTGTGTGCAAAACAAATAGAGATAACATGCAGCATATTTTAAATTGGGTATTGGAAAGGTATTAAATATTCGTCCTCATATTTTAACCAGTCCATTTTCGCTCTTGTTGGATCTACAACTAAAATTGAAAATTATGTTGTTCAGGAGCTTCTTTTTCACAACCTCTGCAAATCTACATGATGAAATCTAGACCGGTTATTTATTTTCAACTGGTGATTTTTTTGAGGAAAAAAGGTCATTTGGTGTCTATGTCAGCATTACAATCGAACGGGAATATTATCTTACCACCTTTCGGCAACATTACGATCTGAATCCTGGTCTTGACGCTTCGTATAGTTCCATCAAAATAGAAGACACCAACTCTGCTAATTCCATCCGCCGCAGGTAACCGTAGAGTTGTCGCTGTACCTCCGTAAAAGGTCGTCTCGCCTTCTTCGGTTGATCCGGGAGGAAGTCCATCCATTCCACCTGTTGCCAACTGACGGCCAAATGTGACACCAGCAGGTATGTCATCGGGACCTTTGTATACTGTCAGGACGACATCGTTGCCTCCAGCCGAGTTGATGAGAGCAGGATTAGCGACGAAAGTAAAGTCCACTGAGAATTGAACATTTGTTTGCAATATGCTGTTAGAAACTCATTCGGACGCAAATAAAAAAAAGAATAGTTAGGACAACACATTGAATGTATATTCAATTGGCATACTAGGAGTTGTCACATCTGCACAGAAGAGCAGTAGCATTGACAGAAACATGTAGTTGTCTTCATTGCGATCAAGAGACAACACTACCTCGACTCAACTAATGGCGTCATATATCATTTTTGGTAATGGCTTAGCGACAGTTTGTTCACTTTTTAATATAAGAACAATCTGTTGTGAAAGACTAGTCCACTGCCATTTATCTTGATACATTATTTGCTTCCACGAAATGTCATTCTTGCAAACTAATGGTTTTTGGTTTAAATAAAACGTTTTCCCAGCTTGTAAGAACATAATTACCTGCTGGAAGGTTAGGCCTGCATGGAAACACTAAGACTTCACACAGGAAAAGGAACCGTCGTGGACTATCGACTCTGATGTATCGAGCAGTCAGTCCATCAGGTGGATTGCAGTCAAACTCCATCCAGTTATTGGCTACGGCTTGGTATGTGGTAACTGGACTCCCACACATTGTGTTCTCGGTAGGCACACTGCTCATACCAGCTCCAACAACAGCATTTTCAAACAATTGTCTTACATTTACTTATTACGAAAAATAAAAGAAAATGAGTAATACTATCAGCAAGAGTTTATGAAAATGTGTAAAGAAATGACGGTTGACAATTGACGGATCACTAAATTGAATTCCGAAATCTGTTTACAGAATGTAATGAAAATTCTTCACAAAGAGCGCTTCACCCAGGCCTCCTTGGTTTTTGTTTCCCAATTTGTATTTTGTCATCTCCTGTCAATGTAGTTGGAAAATCAACTCACCATTAGGATAATCAGAGCTCTTGACTGTCACCTTGCCGACACATTGAGCAGACATCAGGTCAAGTTTCCACCATGATGGCGCTCCATCTGTTAACAATGTAGGCTTATGATTTTGAGTCAAGGTAGTGTACTTGAAACACTTAATGTTATTCAAAGTAGACGACAGTTGAAAAATAAACGGTCCGTTTTTCTCCAACCGCCTCCTTTTTTGTAATATATTTAGTTTTTTTGAGGGGGGGGGCAGCAAAATCCACCCGCCATATAGGAAAATCCGCCACCTTGGAACAAAATGGGCCGCCTTCTTCCTTTTCATTTAAAAAAAATCCGGATGATAAACTTTTTGTATTACTAACTGTAATTTGGGTAATTTCAATTATTGACTGTGTACATAAAGCAGGCTTACATAATTTTTTTTCAGGAAAAAGTCCTCAGATCGATGCTATCATGGAACACACAGGTCAAAGGTAATTTCGAAGTGTACATGGCATTGTTTGGTAGTATATCAATGTGTATTAAATTCATGAGGCCTTACCTGTGGTGCTGCAATGATTGTTAACATCATCGTAGTTGAAAGCTCTGTCAACCGCGTGAGCAGAAACCCTGTCGTTGAATGTGCCTCTCTGAGAAGTCCATCTTCCATCCACAGAAATTGCTACAAAAACGATACAGGAAAAACCAAATGACTTCGAAAGATTATCTTAATTTTACGATTTTCCCATATTAGTCTTCCCCCTTACATTACAGCGAAACCCAACTTTGATATTTACATTTAATTGAGTATCGTGTTTTATTATTCATTTGTAAACCACCACAGTATGATTACTAAAAACATTACTCACCAGTTGAGGCGAGAGTTTCTTCATCTATGAATTCTTCAACTGTGATTTCCGCCATGTTAATGATTTTATTGTTACCGGGAAGGTCTACGCTCACATAGCGAGCAGTGACCACAGGGTCAGCTGTCATTATGACAACTCCCGCTTCGCTGAATGTTCCTATCAGTCTGTTGACTAAACGATCTCGACTCAACCCAGCATGTACTTGAGCGCCGTTCATACCCATTCCTGCGTTTCAACAACACGCACATTATGATTGGGCTTGATATAATTTTAAGTATTGAATGTTGTCAGATTTCGGCTCCTAACTGTACACAAAATCACCATAAAATGTACATTGAATTATATTTAATAGTTATTTATCTATGAAAGAGGGCTGGTATCCTGAGTGTCGTCTGAAACAATATATTTGCTCTGTGTATGTGTAACCCCCTAAAAAGATATGGTACATACAAGTAAAATGTAATATTCTATTGGATGATACGTAATTATTAGGGAAGATCTGATGGGAATGGACACCACGACACGTGCTCAGCCTACCAAGACAAAGATATAAGACGCCCGTTGATTGGCCATGGTTCTCTTCACATATGTTCTAGCGTTTGATGTTCTAGCACACATTATAGCATTTGACAAGCTTGTCAGTAGTAATTCAACAAGAACAAATCGTCTTTAAAAAATACGAGAAAGATTTTCTGGGTTATGGTTGGGCAGATTCTTACCATTGATGATAGTAATTGTCCTCAAGCAGTAGACAGCCTCCAAGTCCAATCGCCACCACGGATTGTTCATTTCCGCTGTACAGATATGAAACAGAGGTTATAAACAAACCGTCCCAATGTGTCATTCATTTGTCATAAAAGCCACCAAAGTCTCCCTTGAAAGTACGTATCATGTACCGAAAAAAAAGTTAGAAACGAAAGGACGTTAAGGTATTTACTGTAATCAATTAATAATTAGTATAATTTATTGGAGCTCATTTGACCACATTTTAGCCAAATAAAAAAAAATATATACATTAGTACGTTCCGAAATAGGATCTTGAGTGATATGGAAAAACTAATGAAAAGATGCATCGAAATGATCATTCATCGAAACAAACATGAACTTGTTGGTTTTCGATTTGCGTATACTGTAAAGAACGAGAGTGTCACTAAAAAAAAAAAGTGGAATCCAAACATATTAAGTACATTCCGTACCTGCGAGAATTTCATGACCAGTTTAACATTACATTCCCAGCAGTAAGTGGTATTTTTAATTTGACAAGAAAGCAAACCTATGATCTTGAAAGGATAAGAAACGGGCTTGTACAGGACCATCATGGGTAATCAGTACAGATCATACTGACATGCGCTCATCCAATGTAAATGGAATATACTTGAAAGATGGAGAGTGGAACATTGTGTACAATTTGCTAATGAACATGACAATAATTCAATAACAACGCACCTCTTCGTTCGAGGATAGCATGCTATGGTAGGAATGGAACAGCAAACAAATAACTCAACTTCCTATTCGAACTAAGTCCTTTCAACAAAGTTCCATTCCTCATTTCACAAACATTTTGAATGTTTTCTGTTTGTGATTTCATTGTATGTTATTTTGTATTTGGTGTTTGTTGTTCCTCCTTATATTGTTCTTGTTTCCTTGGTTATTTGGGTGTTTGTTAACGTGCAAAATACCTGCCTATATATTTCTATTATAGTATTTTTAGTATTATGTTAATTTAAATGGTTTTTAAACTTAATTGCTTTAATAGAACTGTCTCTTGATTTGAGACAATTAAAAACAAATGAAAGAGTGATTCAATTAATGAACAAAGAAACAACATGGTGGATGGATTGCTGTCGTCAAGCCCATCACAATTTGGTTATCAGAAATCATTCACACTTTTCCCAGTCTAAAGTCAAGTCACAAGCTTTGAACTGTAACGTGAGCATCCCTTGGCTATCGTTTTTGTCTTTGTAACTTCTTACTCTACTTGCAATTTTAAATGGACCTGTGATGGACCCGACCAACGTTTACAATGTGAAGCGATTATCTCACCCGTTTTAGAAAATATAGTAATGTTTCCATCCACAGCCTTCCCTGCCTCAAAACTAAGGTCGTTTTCCTCCGGAGCAGTTGAGCTCTGTTCGGCAGGTTTCCCTCGCACATCCAGGGACAGTGCTTTAGTTTGAAACACAAAAGGAACATTTTTTCGACCTCATAATTTGACACAATATGTTCGCATATTACGGTTTCCGTGGCCGTTGCTTAAAGCAACAAGTCTTAACAAATGTAAAGCAACATCAGTAAAATATTCGATAGTTTCTTAGTTTCGTAGTTTGAACAGGCTTTGTTAAAATTGTTATTTGAGTAAATTTGTGTGGCTTCCGTGTTAAATGTTTTTGAATTAAAATAGTTAAATAAAATGAAATAAAATAAAATAAAATAAAATAAGAAAAGGATTGGAAATGATATCTCCCATTCTTTGCTTGAATATTTATCTTATCGTCAAATATCAAGCGAAAATCCGTACGAAATTAATCCTTGTCTACATTATGTAGCCTAAAGAGTTCCGTACGTCTTTGCTCAATATCTCTGGGTTAAAAGCAAGTGGCGTAAATCCATATCGGCGAGTGGGCCAAGGAGGGGAGGGGAATTGGGGATGATCGAAAATCATAAAATTACTCGGCCTAGGAAATTTG